TCGTTGTCTGAGAGCTCCAAAAAAAGGGCCAAACCAACTGAGAAAAAAAGATGAATCAAGATTGAAACCTAAAAAAAGTCGTCTGCATTGTTTTTGATATTAGTCCTCTTAAAATGCAAAAAAAGTTAAAATCTATGATCCCATTTAAAAAAATATTATATAGTGGAAAAAAACGAAAAATGCACAATATGGACGATTGCTTTGCGACAGTGAGCGAAAATGACGTCATGTGACGTCAAAAAACGCTTTTGGTATGGTGCGACAAAAATTGGGTATGGTGCGCTGCCAGTTGGGGAGGGTGCGACATGACGTCACTATTAAATTTAACCGCCGCCCACGTATGATTGGACCAGTTATGTTGAGTCATTGATCCCTAAAGTGCCCACTTAGTGGTCTAGTAGTGGCACTTAGACTTTTGTAGTGGCCACTAAATTTCGACACCTTAAGTGGCCACTAATTTGACTACTATAGAGGCCACTAAAAATCGCTCCAACTTCATTCATTGTTCAGAAGCATGAGGATAAAACATTTCCGAGCTCAATATTCATTTTGCAGATTTATAAAAAAGTTGAGAAAAATAGCAGGCTCGGAGTTTCTAGTAGAATCAAGGTAAGACAAAATATGTGTCGAGCCATCCGTCATGTGGCTTACTACAGTCAGAGGTAGAATTATCCGGATAAAATGAATATTTGTATGTAGTATTATCAAAAGGGATTTTGATTTCTGACGTCTCATTCTTTCTTGTATACGGCCCCTCCAGAAGAGCGCAGAAGGTCTGAAAAAAAGATTTTTTTTTTTGAAACTAATCAGGAAATGGTCTCGACTCACAGAGGGTTTCAGATTAAATAGGTAGATTTTTTTACGCTGATACCACATCTGTACTCGAAAACTGCTGGGGAGGAGGTCGAGAAAAAGTTATGGACGCTTGAAGTTTAAAAAATTTCTAACTTAAAAAAAAACACTCAACAACAAATCCTTCTTTAAAAAAAAACTCAACAAAAGCTTTTTCTTTTCCAGACAATTCGTTTAACGTATAATTTTTGAGCACCACCAAATTGCATTGTGCAACGAAGAAGCTCTATGGCAAAAAAGGACCGTTATTTTTTGCTTATTTTCCGCTTTAAACATTTTTCTGTTAATCTCATAAAAATGTCCGACATGAAAGGGTTCAATAAGTATGCAGTAGTGTTGTATTTGTTCCACTTCGAGCGGCCATAATTTTTCTCACAGACCTTCTCGGGAGATTTCGGATACGAAAAACTCAATAAGTTCGTCTCAATCAGAACATTCTCACTGTGTTCTCCAACCAGTCCCTCGTGAATTTTCTAACCATTCACTTTTGTGCGGCGGGGCTTTGAAAGGTCATATCTTGGCTCCAAAATTTTTTTGAAAAAAATTTGATAGTTTTCCGTGACCAGAGGGACAAGATCTACAGACTCTTCAAAAATGAGCTCAATCGGAAACACTGAAATTTTCGACTTTTGAGGGTCCATAACTTTTTTCACAGAGCTCCTCGGCCGTTTTTGAGACTAGATTTGGGATCAGCGTGAAAAACTACATCTGGGAAACTTGGTCTCATTGAGAGGTCCCACTGCGACCGGAGACCATTTCCTGGTAAGTTTGTATTCACCTCTGTTCCATAGCAAAAAACGGTAATCATTGCACAATCCACTTGAATACATTGAATGAAGCAGATATCCAGGCTGCTATTTGAAAACGGCAGTGTAACTCGAAGCCACTGAAATTGAAGTTGTTTAGAAATTCAATTGCTAGATCAATTTAGCTTCGAGAGAAGAGAGAGAAAGAGGAAATCAAACTCGTCTGGTTTCCCTTAAGGTATCCCTTTTTCAAAATAAAAAAAAACAGAATCAACGTTGCCTGAAGAGACGTCAGACAAATAAGAACCCTCTTTTTCTTTGGAGTCTCTTCAGACCTTCTCTGACCTCCAGCTTTTGCTCAATTTCATGAACTTACTCCGTTGATTACCCTCCTTGTATATGTGTCATCAGGCATTTTAATGGTGAAGAATCGATATTCTGTTATCTGAGCCGTGTAGATCTGTCGATATCGATCCATTATCCACGATCAAAATGAATCAAAAAAAAAACCTCAAAACTGAAAACTAATAGGAATAAATAGGCGGCAAAAGACATTTTCATCCAGACAATATCACAAATGAATATATTCCTTCTTTTTGTTGCCTAGCGAGAAATTCTGTCTGTCTATTGCAATCGTTGTTTTTTTTTTGTTTGCTTATTTTTTTCGAATATCTAACGCAGTTGCTAGAGAGACGATGACATAGGATTGCATTTATTGCGTTTGAATGGTTAGAGGGTGGAATATGTGGAAAGATCACATTCATCTCTCAATTATTGGACTTTTTGGTCTCTGGACCCGGAATCGCTCAAAGACTACTTGTCAAGACTGGAAACTTAGCTCCACTAAACTATGCTTCTGATTGGCTGGACACGCCATTTTTTCGAGCTTTGAGAATTTCTGAGCCTTTAATAAATGGGGCACACAAGAGCGACAAGTTCACGGCTTTTGAAAAATTTTTTTGATTCAAATTTCTTCAATCTTTTTTTTGCCGGTTATTCCCGAAAAAGTCGATAAAGTTATCAAAATTTGAAAAAAACCAAGAAGACAAGAAAAATTTCATTATTTTTCCTTTTTTTAAAAAAAACCTTTAGAACTCAAGATTTTTTTAGATTAACTGGAATTTTCTAATAATTTCTAGGAAATGAGGGTTTTTTTCAACGGCGTTTGCACTGAAGAACATGAAAAAGTTTTCTTTGAAGGTTTTTTTTCGAAAAATTTTCTAAAAAAAGTAGGTTTTTTTAAAAATAGTTTGCTCTTTCTGAGCTTTTATATCTGCTCCAACATAACAGGCTCCCAATTGGCTAGAAACACCCCTATTTAAAGTTTTTGAAGCAAAAAGGTTGATAACAACAAATGATAACATGATCAAAATTTTTATTAATAGCATGGCATGGCAGAAAGAAGATTTTCAAAAATCATGGGACAAAATAAGCATCGAGCCATTCCTTGTGCGGCTGATTACAGTCGGAGGTGGAATTATCAGGGTAGAAAGAGAATTTGTGAGTAAGTATGCTGAACGGCAGATTGTTCAGCTGTGATAGATCCTTCGCTGAATACGGTTTGTCCAGGAGAGCGCAGAAGGTCTGAAAAAATAATCAATTTTTTGATCCGATCATTTTTTCTTTGATTGCCGTTTTGAGTACATTCGAGGTTTTATAGATAGCGCATAAACATGCGAGCGTCACAGAGATGTCAGTCGTTTTCAAATTTCGTTGGATCGAGCTGGGGGAATTTTTTTGTTTGAGAATGCGGCCAAATTCATTTTTCCATATCATTTTTCTAAAACTTGACGGTTTCAGGTTCGATTCGAAGATCGGTATGAATATTTTCATCAAGTTATCAATGGAGCGAACTTTCGGCATCTTAAAAGGCTAATCGATCGCGTAAAATCATGTGAGTAGTTTTTTTGATTTTTCTCTAGTTCTTCCAAGATCAAAATAAAATCTAAAAAGGATTTTTTCAATGGACTGAGAAAAAGTAGTAGTTACCATATTTCCATAACAATAAACGCTGACAAGGCCACAGTCGAACTGTATACACTGACTGAAACAAAAATCGAGGCTTCGATTTGAAAAAGGTGACGTGATGGGGATCCACTGAAAGATATTGGGGATTTATATGAATTGAAAAAAAAATTGAAATTCAAAAGAAATCGATGAGAGAGCTAGAGATCAAGAGAAATTAGAGAAATATGGAAAAAGTTTTCTCTGATTTCTCGATTGACACCTAGTAAAAATCGAAAAATGTTACGAAAAAGCGAGATATTAACGATGTCCGAAGAGACGCCAGAGAAATGGAGAATGTTTCGCCGTCTGGCATCTCTTCAGATCTCTATAAATCTCTCGATTGCTCAACAAATCACCAATATGAACATGAAATAATGAAAAGGAAACGATAGACTGAAGATGCTCGAAGAGACGCCCGAGAGAAAAGGATTTTATCTTTCTCTGTAATCTCTTAAGGCTGTTATTGATTTCTCACTTGATCTCTCGACGACAATAAGAAAATACCATACTCCATTAATTACTGCTCTTGTGAATACATCCTCCGTCAATTTCACATTGTAGAATCGAATTTCCTTGTTTTGGACAAAGTAGATCTGCAAAGGTTTATCCATTTTTTGTTAATTAACATTAAGGAAGCTTGGAAATTCTATTAGGACAAGTTCTATATTCTTTTTTTTTTTCCACAACACGTTCTACAAATACTGATGGACACCTCAAAAATATCAGATTTTTCTACCATGAATTTGAAAATTATAGGGTCCTTTTTTAAGGAAAACTTGAATAATATTATTAAAACTTGCGAAAGAGAAGAGTAAGTGGTAGTAGACCGCAGCAGACATTTCAAAAGGATTTTTTTTCGTCAGGATCAGTTTTTGAAAAAGCAAAAGGAACTTCTCAAATGTCAAGAAGAACACCGAATCGAGACGAATTTCTTTTCCGAATCGAGACGAATTTTTTTTTTTTCGAAATTAGGAAATTTTCTATTTTTGTCACTCGAAACAATCCCTATGCATTATCGTCAAAAACTTAATCCAAGTCTTGGTCTCGCTTGTCTCAGAATTCAAGGCTCCGAGCTCTTTTTCCGTTTGAAGAAACGGAACATTTCAAGTTTTATAATGGACTTTCAAAGTATTACAATGTTGAGTACTGTGGGTAGATCCACAAAAAGGCTTTTTGAAAAATTTTATATCAGAAATATTTGGAAAGGATCGTTTTTGTAGTGTTTTTCAATCATATCGAACAAAAAAAAAAGCTTCGAAAAGTTGTTCTTACCAGGGAATGGCCTCGGCGAGGCTCGAAATATCTTGGCTCCGAAATTTATTTTGAGAGAAATTCAATTGTTTTCCGTGAGCAGAGGGACAAGATCTACATGTACCCTTCAAAAATGAGGGCAATGAAATTTTCGATTTTTGAGAGTCCATAACTTTTTTCACAGAGCTCTCCGGCAGTTTTTGATACCATATTTGGGATCAGCATGGAAAACTACATCTAGAGAATATGGTCTCATTCAGAGGTCCCACTGCGACCGGAGACCATTCCCTGGTTAGTGCCGAATCGCCAAAAAAATTTCTTTTCTTTGTGAAAATTCCCTCGAGGCTCTTCAAATATCTCCGTTCTACTGTTTTGTGAGGAGAGTTTCGAATAGCCTTATTACCGTATCTTGATCCGAATCACAAAAAAATTCTCTTCAAAATAAAATTGACCTGAACTTCTCGATGGAGCAATGATTCCTGCTCTCCATCCGTCTTCATACGTCGTCTCTTTTGCTTTCTTTTCTTTGATCGCTTGCCAACAATGGAGCGGAAGTCGACGTGCACGCAGGGCTTTCCATTCGCTTTTCCTGAAAAATGACGCGATTGACCTGTCTTCAAGAATTTTCCTCCAGCTTTTCAGGTCATATTTCGTCATTGCTTCTGAAAAATGCACTCGTCTCTAGTAAATTATTTATTCATTTCCTCTGAAAGGGTGGCTTATCTGGGCTTAAAGCGTAGTATGAGCCTTCAATCGGAAAAATCTCCTTCTTTTTGGAAATATTTTTGAGATGATTTTCGCAGACTTCGACTTAGGAAGCTGAACATTGTAATTTTGCTGCCATTCTTGCGTTTTGTATTTTATTTCTCTATCTGCAGTTCATTTGAACTGCTTATACCCAAATTTGTAATTTAAAGTCCAATTTCTTCTTCTGTTTATTTTTCCAGAAATTTTGTTAGATTTTCAATCACATTCTCTCACCTTTCAACCAAGATTTTGTACTTTTTGAATCGAATAGCGGTTTTGAAGTCTATTTAATGAAATTTCATTGTTTCATAGTTTCTTTTAAATTTTAATTCTGACACATTTTGAGCGTTTTTTTTTTCAACAAATATTCAAAACTTCATCACTTTTTCCAAGAAAGAAATTTGCAAAATAAATTGCACCGAAAGGGTTTGAACCTGCATTATAGGTTCCGCAGCTCAAGGCTGCTAGCCACTACACCACGCTGCCTGCTGGTAGTTGGAGTGAGTCGCCGCAAGATATTCCCTCCCGTGCAATTCAATTTTTGCGTGCAAACTTTGAGGCGCCATAACTGGACTAGAACCGAAAAGGCGCACTTTTTTTCAACTTCTTTGGATTCAGAGTGTAAAAAAGTTTTCAGATGAAAAAAAATTTTGAAGAGGATTTTTTTTTGGAAAGGGCCTGAAAACAGTTAGTCTTTTGTAAAGGGAAAAGCCCCACTCGAGTGTCCACTTACGCTTCTTTAGTGATTTCTTGAAGATAACCTATAGTCTGTTCAGATTTTGAATGTCAAGTCATCGCTCAAGCTCCGCCCCTAATTGTGCGATAAAAAATCAGAGAGCGAGCCATCCACAGAGTGTTTTTGAATGACGTCATTGCACTTGACATTAAAAATATGAACAGACTATACAATATGTTTCTACAACCTCGTCACGGAGAGAAAAGAGGGCGCAGACTGGTCAGACAGTTTCAAGTCGCCGTGAATGCACTATACTCTAAAAGGAAACTCGAAAGTCCTTTCTATTCAGTAAATTTTCCTTCCTAACGGCGTTTCCCTTGCAAAGTCCTCTCTACTGGCACGGCCATTTCCGTTGCTCCCGTCCTCCGGATGACGAATGGAAAATTAGGAAGAAGAAGAAGAAAAATGTTCCAGGATTGGTGTGGTCTCCAGGCAGCACGAGACGGGCGACACACCGGAAACGTCGCAAGAAAAGTGGGCGGAGCCATGTTCCAACGTTGGCTCAAGAAGGAGAGAGCCCAGAAGATCGTCGCCTCGTCGTCACCCCTTCTGATGCCGATGACGTCATCTTCGCTCGCCGTCAAACATTTCCTGGAGATCCCCCTGAGGAAGTTGGATGCCAGCAGTGGTGAGAGTGGATCCGAGAAGGTTTTTTTTCAGATTCATCCGAATTTGAAAAAAATTTAAGGTGTCGCCGATCCTACACCGACGGAAGATCCCCATACCGCTGATGGATAGTTTTAAAAGGTTACTTTTCACTTTTACGATAAAAATTTTCCTGTGATTTTTTCAAATCGCAACAGTCTGACCTGTCTCTTCTCTCTTAACTAAAAAGCGACTGATAAGAGAAAACGGATTCCTAAAAAATAAGTCAAAAAAAGTTTTTGGGAATTCCGAAATTTTCTGGTCGCATTTGGAATGGCTTCAAGCGTCGCGGCTTACACTCAAAGTCTAGAGGCCTTAGTATTCCAATTTCTAACGTCAGAACGCGCAAATCGTTTTGTGGTCGGGTGCAACCTTCAAAGTATTCGCGGTCGTTCGCGTTGAGCCGTTCCCCGTGCGACCATCGATTGGGCTACTTGGGCTAAAACTCATTTTTGTTAACTTCCGAAATTGGAGTTTTTTCTTGGGGAGAATTATAAGTTGTTAAAAAAAAAAGGATTTTTTAAGTTCCGAGCCGAGTTTTCGGAGCCGTTTTCAATAGTCTTTTGAAATTATTTTTGAAAGTCCTGAAGATCGCAGTCGCACGTGGAATAGTTCGGTGCGTCGCGGTTGCGTTGCGGCTGAGTTTTAGACTAAAAATTGAGATTCAGCAGTTCATTATGATGCTTTACGACCTGGAACGAAAGTTGTTTTAAGTCGGATGTTTTTTGAAGCATCTAGGACACCGAGCCATTCCACATGCGGCTCTGGGTCTCAAATTGGGATTATTTCGAATTTAACAGGGTGTGGACTGATAAAAAAATAAATTTCCTTTATTAGAAAAAATTTTTTTTTTCAGTAAAAATTATGCTTCGAAAGTTTTTTCCAGACCTTTTTCTGAGAAAATGACTTAAAATTTTGTTAATTTTATAACGATTTTCATTTTTGATTCCGATGTACAGAAATTAATTTTAATACATCCCCAAGTTCGTTAGTTTCTTATCAATCAAATGGAGTGTTATTAAAAAAATAAATTATATTTTTTTCAAAGAGAATAATTTGAGATATGATCTCTTTTGCTGTTATAATATCAAAAAGGAGCGGCTTTTTCTCGTTTTTTTTGTTGCCTCGAACTAAGTAAAAAAAGATGAGAGTCTTTTTAGAAGAAAACGTAAAAATAAAAATTTTTGAAGCTGTAAACTTGAGAAAAAGTGGTTTTTCCTCGCTCCAAATAGAGTTTCCAGTACAAATCTACCGATTTCTAGCCACAAAGCTACTACAAAATTCGCACTTTTCGCCTTCTACTTATCTTGTTTCTGATATCTCGCTTCAAAGCCAAGGATTATCGGAGAAATCTTCTATTCAATTCTCCAATTCTTTTCAAACCCGACCTCAATAGCCGACATCTTCTCGCGTCTCATCGATTTCTACAAATAAAAATGTCGAGAAGGTAATTTCCTTCATCAAATAGGTGAACTCTTGAATAAACCGTGGAAAGAGAATTGTTGACCTTGCGTACAGTGTGAGAGGTCACGGCGGCGAGGAACCTAGTGTGAATCACTGCGCCTCCCCCTCACCGGCCCTGTGGCCTAATGGATAAGGCGTCTGACTTCTAATCAGAAGATTGCAGGTTCGAGCCCTGCCTGGGTCAAAACTTTTTGCCATTTTTAAAGATCATTAGGAATATGTCCTGAAGGACTTTTTGTCGTGATTTATGAGTTGTTGTTGTTTTTGGCTACTCTCCAACCTCGCGTGCAGAAAACTTTGCACCTACAAATTATATTTCTACGGAAAAGGAGGTTTTTTTGAAAGAAAAGTCGGCCTTGTTGACGCATATCAGCTATTTCTTCACATATTTATGTGGCTCCTCGCCAAGTTTCTTATAATATTTCGACATTTATGGTGTATTCCGAGCTTCTAGATTATTCTTCTTGGTCGGTTTTCTTAAAATCTCGGTTTTTCCGTATTTTTTCCAGAGTTGAGTAGAGTTACCTGATAACTTCTATTTTTTTTTGATTGCTTATCAAATTTCTGGAAGTATATAACTTCAAGAATAAACTTTTTCAGCAGAATTGAAATATAAAAGTTAGGATCAAAACGGATACTTTCTATACGATCTTAAAAATGGAGTTTTGAGCCTTTTTTGATTTACTTTACTCGAGTTTTTATTGCATTTTTTCTGTCAGAGATAAGATTGAAAAGAAAATTCCTGGTCGCATGTAGAATGGCTCGACGCGATGCGGTTAAAACTAGGTCGATTTTAGCGGAACTATCAAATTTTTTTTTCCGTGCCCACAAATCGTTTTGGGTCGGTCGCAACTTAAAATCAACCGCTTTGGGACATCGAGTGCATATCAAGTTTTGAAAAAAACCGTTTTTCCCAGATTTTTTTCTAAACAATATTTTTGAAAAATTATCTTTTTTTCAAGCTAAAGATTGTCTACTTTTTCCCTAGTAGTAAGAATCAATATAATCAATATAATCATCACCATACTTGCTATTTTTCCCCTATTTTTTTCTTAAATTAATTATAATTATTTCAGCAATGAGTCGATGTACTCGGAAATCGAGGCGCTCACCGTCATGGAAAAACAACCTGTTTTTTTCCCGACCAAATTGTTCGTTTTTCTTCCATTTTTTTCAAAAAAAGAATATATATTTATTTATTTATGGTCTTGTTGAGAGTCGGTCTCCATGGCGTCTGCCGACTTCTAAAAAGTATAGCGGCACTTTGGTCGTCTGAAAATTGGGCTATTTTTAGGCTTTTATAGTCGCGTGGAGGGGAATCGACGTTAAAAATGACCTGAAAATGGATTTTTTTATTTTTGAGTTCTGTAGGGACTCTAGGAGAGTTTCATCATTTTGAAAAATTTCATTTTTTTAACAAAAAAATATCACCGAAATTTTTTTCTGACCTCAAACTTCAGAAATTTCGAGAAACCTGTAATTTGAAACCTTCAGTGCTTGAACTCTTATAATAATTATAAATATAAGATAATAAATTATTATTCAAATCTAATAATAATTTGCAAAAAAACTTGATTTACGGCAAAGTTCAGCGGTCAAAAAGCAGGCTCTTCGATTCATTCATGCGCAAGTCGTTTTGAGTCGGGTGCAAGTAAATTTTCATTTTTTCAGACATCTAGTAGTGAGATTGATTTTTGAAAAAAAGAACAATTTTTAGGTCACCTTTTTCGTATGATAAGCGTTATAGGAAGTTATATCTTTGAAACATTTTTTTATTGCTTTTTTTACTAATAATCATTTCATCCTGTGCACCAAAAATGAGTAGGTTACTGTAGGACAACGCTTCAAGACCTTTTTTTCACTTAATTTTTCAAACAAGCTTTTTTGAGTATGTAACCTTCTAAAAATAACAAAAAATGTAGGAAATTCACACGCTTTTTCTTATCGTAATTGTTTTCGGCTCGGTGTGATTTATGTCTGAATGTTTTTTTCCGCTCAAGCCGTTTTCGACCCCCGAATCAACTTTACTTTTTTTTCGCTAAAAATATTTTATAACTTTAAGTTTCCAGTTCGTTTCATTTTGAGCCGTTTTTGCTCGTTCATTCGGCTCAAAAGGTGTGAATTTTGAAAAGTTCTTGAGCCATGTTTTTTGAGGGAAAAAATTGATTGAGTAGGGTTAAAAAGAATTTAATGTTTGCAAAAAAATATTTTTTTGAGTTCTTTCTTTCTGAAATCACTGATCTCACGAAGACTAACAGAAAAAAAGAGAAACGGGAAAAAAATTCAAAAAGGAAATCTGAAGAAAAAGTTGTTTGAATTGTTTCATTGATATCAATATCATGATATATTTTTTTCGGTTTTTCATGTTTTATAATAATAGCTTTATTCACTGCATACTGTTAGAAAAATAATAATTTTTTTGATCTTAAAAATCAAGCCGAAATTCCTATCAGTTCCGACGATTTGGAGGATATCTATGTATAATCGACTTCTTAAAAATAACATAATAAATTAAGAAAAAAATTGGATTAGGAGCAAAAAAACCGAGAAAAACATCAAGATTCGATTAGATATTCTCATGAAAAATTTAGAGTTACCGTATCAAAATTCAAATATTTTTTTCTAAGAAAAACTGAGAATCTCAAAATCAAAAATTTATACCCAAAACTTCATTTAGTTTCGATGAACTCAAGGATTCATACATCAATTTTTCAAAAGAACAAAATAAATCGAGAAAAGTTGGCTCACCCAGATAAAGCATCAAAATTTGATTAGAAATCAAGTTTTTTTTCTTCTTTTTCATGAAAAGTTGTTCAACTGTGTAGATTCTTCTAAAACAAAAAAGATAAGAATTTCGAAGTGAAAACAACGTTTCGAATTCCAATTAGTTTCGATGAACTCAAGGCTTTCTTCTTCCTCCCATTTCCATTGATATATTTATCGGTTGGTCGTTGCCTGGGGCGACCACCGAACCAATTCTCCTTTTCAAGCTGCCCCGAACTCATTCATTCATTCAAAGGAATTCTCCAAATTTCTTACTTTTTCTCCTCAGTTTTTTGAAAATTTCGACTCTTTTTCAGAGTTACAATCTGAGATTTTTAAAGAATAACCTAGAAATTTTAATTTTTCGAACTGTTTTGTTAGGACCAAATTTTTTCAACGCTATTTAATCATGGAAATTCCCCAAGTTTTCCTTTTTTTTTTCCTCTTTTCGATAACTTTTTGATGAACTTTGACTTTTTATCCAACAATTCGAAAAGGAATTGAATTTTGCAATTTGTTCTTTCAGGTCTATTTTATTCAAAGTTTCTAGGATTCCTTAATTATTTTTTTCAAGTTTTTTTCCAATTTTATCGTTGATTTTTTTGGTATTTTTTTTCCTGATATTAAAATCAGGTCGATCAAACCGTTTTGTTTTCTGGTTTTAAATGAAAAAAATTTTTCTTTTTTTTAATTAAGGATATGTTTTGAAGAGAAATTTTCCCGGATTTTCTAGATCTAATAGTTATTTTTTTTAATCCTATCTTCATAGGTGTCATGATTCTTTTCCATTTTCTTTTTTCTTATATCATTTTTTCTCCCATTTTTATATTTTTTAATGATAATTCATCTCAGAAACGGCCGACGTCGATGTGAAGCGATGGATAAGTACGAGAGGCTGGCGAAAATCGGCGAAGGGTCCTATGGAGTCGTTTACAAGTGCAGGAATAAGGAAAAATGGCCAGGTTTTTATTAAATAAATCTTTCTTTTCACGAAAATAATTTTTATAATCTGAAAAAAGAGTTTGAACTGTCCCGTTCGTTGATTGGATTTTAATGGAAGTTTCTTATGGTCTCAATTTTTTTTTTTCGGTGACAGTTTGTGACTTCGCTTGTATCCTGTCTTGTTTAAAAGCGAAACTCTATTGAATGGTTTGTATAAATTGAATTTATTTTTAATGACTTAAAAAAACGTTTTTTCAACAGTAAGAATGTCTCTAACCGAGAAAAATCGAAAAAAAAAAATTAAATAGCTTTTTTTTTTTGATACGACGCTCCGTTGGACCATTATTAGGTTTAAAAAAAGCTGAAGATATTTTTTTAAGACTTTTAATCAGGTTTAAACTGATTTAGATCTATATTTAATTGATTATCGAGAAATTTCGAAAATGCCATTTTTCCATTTAAAATCGTCTTTTTCTAGTATTCATGACAGTTTATAAAGAAGTTTAAGTAATTTTTTTTTCTGCTTTAACGGTACTTCTTTTTGTAAGATCAAAGATTTTTTAAGAGCAATTTGTTGAATTTCTATTTTCTCATTTTTTTGATGACTTTTTTTTCTGCTTCATCCTGTTTTCTGAACAGAATGATATTATTTTTTTTAAAGTTTTCTCTCGAGACAGATAATTGTACACTATCATGAATAATCACTATTTGCAAGACAGCTGCTTTTAATTATAATCATTTGGCGGTTATTTTTTTGACGAGCCGTGATGATTTCGTGATATTCCAATAGCTCGTAATAGAAAAAAATATCATCGAGAAGTGTTTTGAACCTTATTTTTTTTAATAAAAAAATATTTTCGAACTTTCCGAGTTAAAAACTAAAAAAATATGGCGGAAGATGGCTATTCTCGGAAAAAAATCCAGCTTTTTTTCAAGGAAATTTCAACTTCAAAATCTTTCTGAAAACTCGAAAATTGGTCAATTTATAGACCCTTTCGTCTCTGGCTTTTTCAAAAATTTTGTAGAAATTTCAAAGTTGAAGCTTTTTGGATCAATAAATTCTCATTTTTCAGATCGTGGCCATCAAAAAATTTGTCGAAACCGAAGACGATCCCCACATTAAGAAGATTGCACTACGGGAAATCCGAATGTTAAAAGTTTATACCCAAAAAAGGCCTTTTGAATTAATTGTCGATTTTTTTTAGCAACTGAAACATCAAAACCTTGTCGGTTTGATCGAGGTCTTTAAGAGGAATCGAAAATTGCATCTGGTTTTCGAACTATGCGATCGGACTGTACTACACGAGCTGGAGAAACATCCAAATGGGTCCGTTTTGGAGAAATAAAATATTCTCAGAGTTTAATTTATTTTTTAAACTTTGCTCTATTGATTGTATTGAGCTATGGTTCTCATTGACTTATTTAATACTTAAAAAATCACGAAAAAAGCGGGAATTAAATGGGCGTGGCCAGCCTATCAGTAACACTGTTCCTTAGAGCAAACTTTGAAAGAATATTTGAGCCAAAATGAACGATTTCCAAAACTTGATCAAGTTTTCAGAGTCCCCGATGAGTTGACGAGAAAAATCACTTATCAACTTCTTGAAGCCCTACGGTTTTGTCATAATCACAAGTGTATCCACAGGTAATATTTGAAAATATGTCATTCGTATAAAATTTTGAAATTTCAGAGATGTAAAGCCAGAGAATATATTTTTAACTAGGAGTGATCAGGTCAAACTCGGCGATTTCGGATTCGCGAGGATCATTAGTGAGTTTTCAGCCTGAAATTCTGAAAAAAAACCCAGTTTGTATTAGAATTTTTTTTTTTGATTGAGCGACTGTTAAATTCAAAGTGAAGGGGTCTGAAAATCATTATTTTCTTTTCCGTTAATTGCATGGGCTTTTTATTTTTGGATTAAAGTTTAAAATAAAAATTCATGTTCTCTAGAAAGTTGTTCATTTTCCGTGTTGCTTCATAGTTTATATCGTCGTTCACTATTTTTAGAAGATTTTTTTAATTTTGTTAAGAAAAATAATGAATATTAAAAATTGAAGACACGACGGAGATGTACACGGATTACGTTGCGACACGATGGTATCGGAGTCCAGGTCCATTTTTGACTTTTTCCCGAAAAAAACCTCGGAAAAATGGGGGCGGGGGCGGATAATTTATTAGCTTTAGAAAATCACTCAGCATCAGGAAGCAAATTTTCATAGAAAATTACGAGAATTGCGGCTTTTTTGCTGCCTTATTTCAGCCTCTCCCTTTTAGCGGCCATTATCCACCATTCCGACCTTACCCGAGTACAAGGATGTTGTGACCAAAACGGTTTTTTGTATATTTTTTAACGGTGTACTGCAGATGTACTTGGAAGCTATTAAACGATCCTTTTCAAGAATTACTGGTTGGAGACGTTCAATACGGGCCTCCAGTTGACATTTGGGCCGTCGGATGTGTCTACGCCGAACTAATGACGGGAGAAGCTTTGTGGCCGGGTCGGAGCGATATCGATCAGCTTTATCTGATCAGAAAGACGTTAGGTTGGTAATATTTTGTTTTTTTTTCTTCCGCGAGAAAGGCTTTTTTTCCATTTCATTCCGTGTTCAGAGGAATTTCCGCGAAATTCGAAATAAACAGTCTCCAAAATCAGAAATTATTTTTCATTCTCTCTCTAATTTGGTCATCGTAGATTCACTCCGAAGACGGATTTATCATGTTATTCAGCCTTAGTAAATAAATTAATGGTAATTTTCAAGAATTTTTAAATCAAAAATTGAAACAAATAATATCCATTTTCTGTAGTTAACTTTTTGGCAAGTCGAATCTCAAATTTTTCTGAAAATTTGATTTCGACGATTTTCTAAACATTCTCGGAATAAAAAAAGAGTTCAAACTTAGTAAAGATCTGATAGAAACTGAGAAACTGAATTATTTGATTGAAATGTTTAGAAAAAGTTCAAATTTTTTTCTTATTTCGGCTTTTTTTCTGATTTTTTTCTTATTTTTTTCTTTTTTTCAAAGCGAAATCTGATTTTTTTCTTCTTCTTGAAGCGCTTTTTGAATGAAATAAGCTTCAAGTTTCGAAATAAAACTTTTTTTACATTTAAAAATTACAGAAATCATGAAATTCATGCAGAAAGTGTGAAAGTTTCTTTTTAAATTTTTTTATTTTGAATTTTTTTACCGATCAATTTTCAGGCGATTTCCTACCACGACATCTCTCAATTTTTCCGTGCCAACCAATTTTTTTCTTCGGCCTTTCGATCCCAGAACCCGAGCAAATGGAGCCGTTGCCGCAGAAATTGCCCAACTCTAGCAGTTCTCAACTCGATTTTCTATGTGTAATAATACTTTTTCCATTTCAAAGTGCATTTCAATGCTTCAGAAATGTTTCGAAATGTCGCCGGACCGGCGGTGGAGCTGCAGTGAGCTTCAACAACACCCGATTTTCCAAAATTGGACTTTGAGGCTTCGAGCCGATGAAAGCGTCATCACCTATACTGGAAGTAAAAAAAGGTAAAATTTGTAATATTTAGGCTTCTTAGGTGAAATTGTGAACAGAAAAAAATTTTTTTGGAGAGGTTATCCACATTTTTTTTATAAAAAAATAAAAAGTTTTATCTAAATTATCACGCGTAACAATCTGACTTCAGCCTCCATTTCCTCTAAAAAGTTGTTGGATCTGCTGAAATTTCCCCTAAGGTAGCCACTTAGGGGTCCGAATTTATTAAATTAGAAATTTGAACGTTTCCGGTCAGGGAATGAAAAAATTCCGTCAAAAATGTTTTTCTTGAAAGTCAACTTTAACCGTTTATAAAAAAAATGTTGTTTATTCGGATCAAAATTTTTTGAAGCCTTTTTTCACTGATTTGATTATCTGGAACCTCTGGGTTCACTTTGATGAAATAAATCCGATTTTCCAGAGCCCCAACTACCTGCCCTTGTTGACCAACAACAACGTCAACATCAGCAACAACAACACGAACAACAACGTCGTCGTCAAGCAGTTCAGCATCCCGCCCGTGACCTCCAATGGGAATCCTCCCAGGAACACTTATCTGCCCACGATATAAATTAAAACTCTGAATGACCGCATTTGGAATGGCTCGAAAAATCCTATGAGCAGCGCGACGCTTTAAGCCATTCCGCGTACATTTTATGCATGTTTCGCTTCGATTTGAATCTTATGGTCGCATTTGGAATGGCTTGCTACTTCACACTTGCAAAGGATGCACCCGACCACAAAACGACTTGCGCCGGATTTTTCGAAAAATGATTTAATCGTCTTTTCGCAACGCTTAAGCCATTACAAGTGCGTTCTACTATATTTTCCGTGAGATGAAATTTTACACGATCGCATTTGGAATGGCTTATCTGATCAGTAGCAATTTTGCCCATACGAAAAGTTAGAAAATTCTGAAGAAACAGTTTTTTGTCAAATTTTAGTTGCAAACGCAACGCATCGAGCCATTCCAAATGCGGTCAGAAATGTTTCGTTTTTCTTCCTTTGCTTCTCCTCCTTCTCTTTCCTTCTTCGGGTACTTTTTGCTGAATTTTCCCTTTTTATAGGATGATTCCTATACTTTCTATGGGAATGGTCCATGCAATGTACAAAAACTTTTTCATATCTTTATTCTTCTTCCGTTTTTTTTTACATAACTCGTTTCAAGTCGATTGTACGATGTATAGCTACAAGTTTACATTGAGATTTTTCTATGCGATATAAAAGATTTTATGAATTTTTTCTATGAGAAAAATGTTTTTCCGCGTTCCAAGTGATTCGCATTTCTACTTGGCGAAAGGCCAGATTTTAATAAATATTAATAATTTGGAATTTAACTCTCTAAAATTATCAAAATTGGGAGAAAATACACAAAAACCAGTGGAATCACTTGAAACTTCAAGCCGGCCTAATTCACACAGAAAATGCGCTCTACCGAAATAAGGAATAAAAAGAGCGCAACTTCGAAAAAAAAGTTGGAGTGCTCACTATAGTGACTGGGAAAAACCTTGAATTTGCATTCAATATTTAAAGGGAGAAATGAGAGAGAGAGATAGAGAACGAAGATAATAAATCTAAGTGACCACTAAAGAGATTTTCAGCTCACAACTTTCTCACAATACTTTTTCAAGATTAGAATTAGAGAAAATGAAGAATAGGCGTAAAATAAAAATAGAAGGGATTACTTAAGGGGCACTTAATAGTTTCTCGACGCCTTTTTTTAATTCCGAAACCCTAGAAGGATCTCTCCAAATTCTCGGATCTCGGCAATGGAAACCGTACGTTTCTCAGCATTTCAAGGGATCCCTTAAGAGCGTTGACGCCACTAAAGTGGTCACTAGAAATGGTCCGACTGGTCCGCTTTGAGTTTTCAAGGTCCAATTTCGATGGAGCGCGCTTTCTGCTGCCGACTGAGCTCAAAACAGCACTTTACATGTATTTCAACAAAACTTCTCAGAAAATTAATGATGATCCTTGACTTTTTCCTCGAAATTTTTGGTATGTTTACAAGGTTCCTCCTCGTAGTAACGCTGCTTCATGGCCCGGTACTTTCTCAGCTTGTACAGCGCGTCGATTTCTTTGACCACGAAGTTGCCGCGCAAAAGAAGGTCTTCGATCTTTTTCGGGTCCTTTTCGTCCTGGAAGGTTCTTTTTAAATTTTACTCTGAAACAATTCTCAAGCACTCTTTGTTAACAGAAGATGAACTGAATATACAACATCCCAAAAATGATATAATAAAAAAAAGGAAAAAAGTCGCGTGGATGAGTTTTCATGAAGTGATCATTTTCTTAAAAAGCCAAAGTGGTCACTAGAGGGTTTATGGAAAAAGGCCCCCTAAAGTACCCCTAAAGCTCAAAAAATCTCACCTTATTCTTCAAAAAGGCGCCCTTCAACCTCTCGTGGAACCATTTCGCACCTTTCGGGTACTCTTTTCCCATGTGATGGAGCGTTTTGTACAGATCGACAACCCGTTGTCGCAGAGCCATTCTTTCTTGAATTTTTATCAATCGATTAGTTCTTATCTGAAGAAGGTTCCAGGAACGCCTGAGTGGTCACTAGAGGTGTCAGGGGAATAAACAACCCTATAGGGTGCCCAAGAGGGGCGAAAATTAAGTGGTCCCTGTAGAGGTCTGAAACCTGAGACCCTAAAGCTTAAGTGGTGCCTATAGTGCTCTTTAAACTTTCAAATTTGATCGATTAAGCCTCTCTTGATATATTTTATTCAAAAGACGCCATTTTATTGATTTTTTCGCATGGAAATGGTTCTTATATTAGAGTTCATAACAATAAATGAACAACAAGCTCTCCTGTAGGGGCCACTTTTGCAAGCTTGAGTGGTCCTTGCTGAAGTGGCCCCTAGAGGAAAGCCTTCAAGGACCCTCGATGTTTCCTCTATAGGGACCACTCTGGCGTTTTTTTAGAGTAGCCAATGGCTAATAAAAATGTTGCTGATTTTCGTATAAAAAAATATCTTTAAACGATTCGTCGATGTGCCTTTAATTTAATTTTGAAAAAGACTTTTTTTCAAAAAGCTTCTAACGGAGATCTATCAAGTTCAAAAATTAATGGCGGAAAAAAATGAAATTAAAATTTTACAAAAAGTATTACTTCAACGATTTTAAGCACTTCTATCCAAAAAAAAAACTAAAACAATCATAAGTGCGCCCATTTATTTTTACCAACCAGAACGAGAAAAACCAGACGAAAAAAATTCGAATAAAACGTAACAATCAGTCAATAAACAATTAAAATAAGCGCTTTCTTGCAAAAAAAAAAAAGAAGATTAAACCTACACAAAAAAATCTCTAAAAAAAACACAGGGTCGATAGAAGATAGGATTTTGAGGGAGAATCAAAACGAGCAATTAAATAATATCACAACAAGGTTGAAATGGGGGAAAAGATGCTGAATTCGATGATTAAGGCATTTGGAGTAAAAATGAATGAATAGGAACGAAGAAAATGGATAGAATGGGTGGGAGAAAAACCGTTGGGACATTATAAAGTGTAATTTTATTCATTTTTCAAGAAATTACTCGATAACTTTGAGCACTTTTCCTATGGCGATCGTTTTGCCCTCGTCTCTCAAAGTGAATCGTCCGAGGTACGGGTAATCCTGCAGAGACAAATTCCGTTAATGGCATTTTTTTCTTTAGGTGGGAAACACTTCTATTATAATCTTCGAAAACTCCAAAAAAATTGATTTTTAAGAAGTTGGTGGAGAAAGTTCCAAAAAAACCAAACGAAAAAAATTATTTTTTTGCCAATTTTTTTAAATAAATATGACCCCTGGGGTTTTTTTGTGAAATTACTTGGTATATAGAAAAAAATTGTTAAACCCATTTTTGGCTAAAAAGCAACTTTTACGAGAAAAAGCGCTCAAAAATTTAATTTTTTTCAAAAAAATAATTATTATCATGAACTGAAAAAAAGGAAACTTCAAATTTCAATATCCTTTCAAGCTTCAAAAAAAACCCCTCCTGATAGGAAAAACCTGGTATTTTCAATTTTTCTTCGAAATTTCCCAACATTTCTTCATAAAAATTATTTTTCCGTACTGTTGTATTTCACAAATCATTCTGATACCTTGAAAGGCTCAATGACGAAAGATTCGGGGCTCTCCAACCGCATAATACACTTCTCGTCTTGTCGGACGAATCGCGATTTCGTCTTTTGGCCCGTCTTTTTGTCGATCGTACATAGAACGCCCTGGAAATTCGCGTACTTGAAAAAGTATAGCTATTTTTGTGGAAAAAATGATTCAAAGATTTTTTTTTTTGGAGAAAAGGCTATAATACAAGGTAAACATGACTGAAAGATACAGTTTTTTTTTGAACTATCCTGTCTAAACTTTCCAAGAGCACTATGAAGGCGTCAAGTGATCCCTTAAGTGGAACCCAAAGCCATCAAGTGATCACTTGGAAAAATAGAACTTCTTGAAGAATAATTTTAATTCAAGGAAAAAACGCTCGATAAGGGCAGTTCCTTTCGAATTTTTCTATCGAGCTTCTTTTTCGAGAACCTCCTCAAAAAACAATAAGAATAAGTAAAGTGGCCCCTCAAGTGGAATGATTCGAGAGATCACTTGAGAAAAAAGCTATCCATTTTTCTCAAAAAAAAAAATGAATTTTTCAGTCGCTCACCTTCACGACAACCTCCTTGATGGCCGATTGGATGTGCATGACGCAGGAATAACCGGAAGTGATGATGGATTTGTGCTCGAGGATGAACACCTGCAAAGGTACACCTCAACTTGATTTTTCGGGCTTTTCTCTCACTTCGGCGTCGAAAAGCCGTCCGACTTTGGGCAAAGAGTCGGGAGAGGCGATGACAAATCCGTTGTTGAGTTCGGCCTCTTCGACTCCCTTCAGCTTGAACTTGATGTTGTTGCCGGCGACCACCTGGTCCACCTCCAGCTCGTCGTTCCAAGCTTGCAAAACTTGGACGGGTTGCTGAATCGATGAAAAAGTTATATACGAGATTATATGAAGCGGTGGAGCCTTCCCAAATGAACTCATTTTTCTATCGAACATTCCAGATTCGGCGATAATTATGTACCTATTTCCGACGGCATTTTTCCTTCATTTTCCTAAAAAAAAATTACCTTATTCGGCATGACGATCAACGTGTCGCCTTTCTCAACGACACCGGACTCCATTTTTCCAATCACAACCGTTCCCATTTCCTTCAAATTTAATCTCTTCGTTGATTTTTTTCGTTTTCTGATTTTTTACCGAATATTTGTCGACGACAATACAGCGAACGGGGCCGTTATAGTCGCGTTTGTAGGAGGGAAGCTGTTGGTCGATGAATTCGATGAAGCAGGCACCTCTGGAAAGAGAAAAATTCAAAACCTTTTCGGAAATCATATGTTCAAAACCTCAGAATTTACCTTTTTTGTGGATTCTTTAGAATTTGCATTACCAAACCTCTACAGATAGAAGAAAAAATTCAAATTCAGAAAGATTTCTTCGATTTTTCTGAAATTGCTCTGCCATATTTTTAAATAGGAAAAGATAAAGAAACTAGAAAAAAAGAAAAAAATCTTTTTCGAATCTCATCAGATTTTCTCGAAACTTTCGTTTACCAGTGATAGTAGAACTCTAAAAAGAAGCGTAAAAAAATGAACTTTCAGTATATATTTGGGGATTCTTTTATTTTTCTAGAGAATACGTGTACTTCTCATGATTTTCCTCTAATTAAACCTAATTTATTTTTTTCGAAACTCCCGAACACTAGGAACAATACAATCATGAGAGAAACGAAAAAAAAAAACTTGATTTTCATCAAAGAATTCATCATTTTTATCATAACTTTCCTACATTTTGAAACATTTTTCTGAAACTCACGTGTACCAAGAACAGTCGCTGGCACTTGGTCGATCTTTGATGAAAGCGCCGGTCAATCCCGAGCACGGAATATAGGTGATGTCCGTCTTTGGGTTGAAGCCGCATTTGCGGAGGAAAGGCGACAGTTTTCCTTCGATTTCTTTGTACCTAAAGGAGAAAAATGGTTATTCCTGAAAGCTTCAATGCTCTTTCGTCAAGTTATTTTTGAAAAAATGACAAATGAATTTCTGCCGTTTTACTTCGAAATTATTAAAAATTTTTAACTTTATCCATATTTCAATAAAACGCTTTGAAGTAATGAAAGTGAAAAAAATGAAACAAAGATTTTTGAAGTTTTTTTAATTTTAATTTTTACAATCACTTCCGCAAGCTTATTAAAGAATTTGTCGGAACCCCAAATTTTAACTTACTTTTTCAAAAAGTTTTCGATGAGTTGCGAAAAAAAGATTATTTATCAACTTTTTTTACGAACTAAAAAAAGTGAAAAGTTTAATTTTTGAAGTACATCCAATCCAAAAACTCGGTAATCTAATAAAAGACCGGGAATCTTCTCGAAATGCATAAGAAATGAGTGAACGGATCGATCGACGCCATCGACCGGTCGAAATAAAATCACAGCTGACCGGTCAACGCTCCGAGAAAAGGAGTTGAGTTCAGAAATGGCTAGGAAAAGTTGGTTTTTTTGAAGGGATTGAAGAGAAATTGGAAAAAAAAACCTCATTTTTGGAAAAATATTGTTGAAATTTCGTGTCAATATTCATATCAAAACTCAATTATGGAAAGATTCGCATTGATCAATTTTCTTAAGTTTTTTTTAATCAATCGCAGAACTAAATCAACCATTAGACAAACTACAAAAACGCGTTGCTCTAGGGTATCGAAACTCTCTCGTGATCATTTCTTTAAAAGTTATATCTGAAACGTGTTTTTTGCTGGTTTCAGATTTTTCGAAAAATCGTCCTTCCTTCGAAATGACTTATTTTCGAAAAACTTCTGGCATTTTTTTTTTTTTTTGATGTTTGAAGGGTTTAGAAGATTTTCTTTACAAAAAACTTAAATTTTGCATAAACTCCTATTTTTTTTTGAATCTTTTGAAGCTTAGTTTTTTCTTTGAAAATAAAAATTAATGAACAAGAAAAATGGACGCATGATTTTCAAGTTTTTTTTAAATATTCTATTTTTTCAGAAATTGAGGTCAAGCCTATTGTAAAAAAATATGAGACTTATTTTTAACCCATTTTTCGAATTTTCGAAGCTTTAATACTTTTATTTCTCGGAAATTCGACCTTTATCGCCTCCCTTTAACAGTGGGATTGCTCATTTTTCTTAATCAAAACGAATAATAATTAAATTATTGACATTTTAGTGAAAAAAATAATGAACCAGATATTTATTTTAGTTGTTTTTAAACCGTTTTTTTCAAACCTCTATATGTTTTCATTATGTAAAAAAATTTCAAAAAAAGATGAAATTTTTGATATATTTTTAGCAGTTTTTTTCCGACTGTCTTCAAAGCTTAGAGGATCCCCAAAACTCGACCTTTCTTCCTCCCATTTGACCGTGGGATCGTCCATTTTGTTGACCAAAACGACCAGATGCTTGACACCCGCAGTTTTAACAAGCATCGCGTGTTCCCGGGTCTGCCCGCCACGGTCGAATCCCGTTTCGAATTCGCCTCGGCGCGCGGAAATCACCTGGAATAATCATTTTTTCGGGGTTTTTCTGTGGTATTTGGTACCAAAACAGCCAGGTCGGCCTGATTGGCACCACTGATCATGTTGGGGACGAAGGACTTGTGGCCGGGGGCGTCGAGAATCGTGAAATGTCGTCGCTCGGTCTCGAAATAGGCCCGACCGACTTCCACCGTTTTTCCCTTTTCGCGCTCCTCGTCATTCGTGTCCATGCACCACGATAAGTACCTGCATTTTCGATGTTTCAAGAATATGGGGTTAGCTTCTGTTGAAAAGATGAATTCCTACTTGAAAGGTTAATGGAAAACTTGAGATTCTAGGGATTTGATTAAAAATCTTAGTCAGGATGATATCAAGAAAAGAAGACGAAAAAAAAAAAAAATTCAGAATTGCTTGTAATAGCTGGGAAAGCAAGACCTTTTTGAAAGTTGGGTTTTTTTACTTTCCAGTTTTCAAGATTTTTTTCAACAAGGGGAAGGTTTTCAGAAAAAAATTAATTTTTTCAAACTATTATAATTTCAAGCCTTCAAGGTCAAAAATCACAAAAAAAGGGTCCAAGAACAACTTTAGTTGATTGAGAATTTTGTATAGAGTTTTCAAAACTTTAGAAGTTGGAACGGAAGGAAACGATGAAGAATTATGACAAGAAAAAAAGAAATTTCAAAAAAAAGTCAGATCTCTTACCAACTCTCACGACCCTTCTCCTTGGCCTCTCTTTCATACTTTTCGAGTGTTCGCTTATCAACCATTCCCGTCAAAAACATCAACTGGCCTAAAAATGACCAGTTATTCTTCATTCCGCTTTTTTTTGAACCTCCAATAGTAGATTTTCCAGCGTCGACGTGGCCGACAAACACAATATTGATGTGTTCCTTGTGTGAGCCGTCTGAAATTCTTTTTATTGAACTCGAAAAAATTTCTGCGATTTTTAAAACCATCAACAAAAACGGCGCGCTGGAATTTTTTGGCGATCGGCGCAATAATATCGTCCGCCGGGTCACTGGCTGGAGTGGACTGAAAAAAACTCCTTTTATTTTTTTTTTTTTTCTTCAAAACCTCTTTGGCCTTCGGTTCATCTACTTGAGGCTCAGGTTTCTCCTGAGGTGGCTCCACAGCTTCTTCAGGCTCTGCCGGCTCATTCACGTGAGCTGGAGCAGCTTCAGAAGGAGCCGCAACTGCCGCTTGATCTTCTTCCGCGTCCCAATCTGAAATTTTGGGTATAAACATTAAACTCAACTTGATTTTTTACCTTGTTCGGGCGCTGGAGGTTGAGCTGGAGCAACTGGTTCCGACTCATAACGTTGGCCCGGCACAAACGGCCGCGCATTCACGTTTGGGACGAAACTTGGGGCGTTCACGTTCCAGGACATGTCTTTTTCTTTATTACCTTAAATATTACACTTTTTCACAAACTATTAGCATGATACGATTCAATCCACGTCGAAAAATGAAAAAAAAAATTTTAAAGCAAACCGAATTCATAAAAAGAAAACGTTTCAAAAGTTCGAAATACTAAAAATTTGAGGCAAACTGAGGCAAGAAGTTTTTAGTTAGCAACAGCGTGTAGCAGATACAAAATAAAACATTAAATAGACTCAAAAAAACGATAAAAAAAGGACTTGTTGTGCAATTTTGCGAAAAGCGCAGCAACTTTTACATTTGAATATTCTAAATTTTGAAATATCGCCATCGCCTGCAAATAGTTATAGATGACGTAACCTGTAAAAAGCAAATATTTTTGAATGACAAAATTGAAGAAATATGAGCACATTTGAAAATTTGGGGCTTGAAAATGAAAAAAATTTTCGCTCCGAAAAGTAGGCGTGTCCAGGCACGCAAGATGACCGCAGCTATATTTGCACTAGCTAGGCACGTTTTTTTCCTTTATTTTTTCACAAAGTTTAAAATTTTTCAATCATTTTCAATATTTCAGTGTGATAGAAAAGACATGAAGAACCGTTTCAATTTGAGCGATGTTGTCGCTGCTGTCAAAGAGCTCAAACCGCTGGAAGGGATGCGTGTTAACAACATTTACGACATTGACAACAAAACCTACCTTATTAAACTTCATAGGTTGCGTTTTGTGCATTTTTAGAATTTATTTTATTTTCAGCAAGGAGGAGAAGGCTGTGATATTGTTTGAATCCGGCCTGAGAATCCACAAAACTTTTACCGATTGGCCAAAGTCGACTACCCCTTCTTCCTTCACTATGAAGTTGAGGAAACATGTAAAGCAAAAGAGGTGGAAATTTGGAAGTTTCCGGAAATAATACAGGAAACTTGAAGAATTCGAGAAGTACGACAATTGGGTAACGACAGGGTTGTAGTGATAACTTTCGGAGAAGATGAGAGGACGAATTATTTGATTATCGAGCTTTATGATAGGTTTTCCTTATTAAATTTAAGTTTTGATTCATCAAGAATCTCATTTAGAGGAAACGTGATTCTCACCGATGATCAGCACATGATTTTGAATATTTTACGGCCGAGAACTGACAAAGAATTGGGAAGATTCGCAGTGAAAGAAAGGTTTATATTGAAAGAAAAAGTCTGGGAATGAGTTATTTTTTTTTTAGCTACGACGTCTCGAAAATCCCCGAAGACACCTGGGAAAAGCTCAATAAGGAAAATGTGGAAAAAGCGCTGGAAAAAGCCAAGAAAGGAGATTCTCTCCTACAAATTTTAGCTCCAATTACCCGTTATGGAAACGCGATTTCTCGCGAAGTTTTCCTGAAAGTTGGCCTGGATCCGAATTTGAAGGTCTCTGACTTCATAAAAAGTGGAAAAATGATAAATTTCTTTTAGTACGATCCGGGAAGTGAGAAAATGAAAGAAGTGATCGAAAAAGTCGACGAAATCCAGGGGCTTTATGACGAGGTGTAGTATTTTTAAGCGTTTTCGAGTCTTTGGGGATCTTCCTTGCTGTAAAATATTAAAGAATCTTATAAAAAAATAATGAAAAAAAGTTACAAAAATTGATAGTTTTCTGCATTTTTTTAGCTATATTTTTTTGATAGTCTTTCATGTTGTTTCTATGTTATTATTACTTTAGAATCTAGATTTCCTTTCTATCTAGAATTCTGTTTCCTCTAGAAATTCCGGTATTTTTGAGTTATTTTTTTAAATAGAATTATCTATGTATTCTCAAAATATTCCTGGTTTTTTTTCATCAAGCAGATCCCTGGAGCTCAACGATTTATGATATTTTTTTCAGAAAAATATTAATATTCTTCAGATTTGGGAGAGTATTTCCGCGAAAAATTGCCAAGGATTTGTTACCTACAACCTTCAAAAACGGGAAGATGGCGTCGTTTATGAAATGTACAAGGTTTTGTCTGACTTTGTGAATTTTACAAAAAAATAAAAAAATTGAGGATTTCAATCCAATGCAAATCACCGACAAAGGAACGGAGACCAAAGTTTTCCCGACTTTTTGCGAAGCCGTCGATGAGTTTTTCTCCAAGATCGAATCTCAGAAACAGGTTTTCAATTTGAAATTAGTTAATTAAATATTATTTTAGGAGCAAAAAGCGCTGAATGTGGAGAAGCAGGCGTTGAAGAAGCTGGAAAACGTGAAAAAGGACCAGGAAAGCCGAGTCGAGGCGTTGGAAAAGGCCAAGTTGGAGCGGGAAATCATGGCCGACCGAATTATTGTCAATTCGGTTAGTCATTTTTGAATTTTGAGGGTGAAAAGTGCATGACTTTTGAAGGAAAAGTTATAAAAATGACAAAAAAGGTTTTACGACTTCACGGTTTCTACTTATTGACAGGCTTTTTCTTAATTTTGATCGATTCTTTCGGTGTTTTTGTATAGATCTCAACGATATTCCATCTTTTATAAAAAAATAAATTTTTTTATATAGCTTCACCTCTAAGGATTTTTGAATGAAATCACCTAATTTTTTTCGATTTTTTTGAATGAATTTATCGAGTTTGGATATTCCAATCATGGGGACTTTTTTCAGCTATACTTTCAAGGCTTTTGAATTTCAACTTCTTGATATTTTGTAAAAAGTACAAAGATTTCGTATATTCATAAGAATAGAACTCTTATTTTAGCTCTGATCGAATTTTTATTCCGATTAGAAATACCCGATTTTCGGTGTTTTTTTACATTAAAAAAATTTTTTTACAAAAATTCAATTTAAAGGAACTCGTCGAAAGAGCATTATTACTGATCCGAACAGCTTTGGCCAATCAATACACCTGGGAAACGATTTCCGAAATGAGAAAAACGGCCGCCGAAAAAGGGGATCCTGTGGCAAAGTTGGATAGGAAAAAACTTCAAAAATTTAAAAATATGCATTTTCAGATCGATAGTCGCGTTGAATTTCGACCGAAACGAGTTCACGATGCGTCTTGGAGATCCGTACGATCCGGAACTCAAACCGTTTGTTTTTTAAAGATATTTCCCTTCAAAAATATTTATTTAGAGTCGACGTCCCCATTGAAATTTCGATGAACGCCAGCAAAAACGCCCAAAGATATTTTACGGATAAGAAATCAGCTGGTGAAAAGGTGAAAATCTTCAGGTTTTTCAAGGGCTTCAAAGACTTGAAAATATTTTACGGGAAAATTAGAAAAAATTGGTCTAAATGAGTGCAAATAAGAATTTTCCTTGTCATATTCACGTCTTTCAACATTGGAAACTGGTTTTTTTGTTCATATCTTATTAATTATCAATCAATTTATAGATTTTTAGTGGTTATCCCTAAACAATCATTTTAGAAAAAATGATCTGAATATATATTATTTCCATGTTTCAAAAAAATTTGCTTTTTCCCCCGTATAGATGCTTTTTATTTTAGTTTTATTGAGTATTTTTTGATTTTGAGGAATTTTTGAAGGTTCTCTTACTTCAATATCGATATAAGAGCTGATTCTCGTTTCTTATAGAATTTCGAAACTTTTTTTTCCAGTTTCTTTTATTTTTGTAGAAATTTTTGGAGTTTTTTTGTTGCTGTCTGCGTTTTTCTCTATTGATTTTTTATTTTTTCGATTTTTATAACTTTCTTGGTATCTGCAAGTGGAAAAGTAGCAGATGTTAGAATTTCCCAAACAAAAAGGTCTTGAATAACGATAAATGATAATCGGAACCCTTCCTGTCATTTTTTGTTAGCTATTCCGAATTCTGTCGCTTTCTTCGTTAATTTTCCTATTTTCCCATGTTTACAGTTTCATTGTCAACATTTCAAGAGATTTTCAGCTTTTTTTTCGGTCATTTTCGACGGTTTCTGAAGTTGGAAAATTATATTGAACGTGACGTTGAACGTGAAATATGGAATTTTTTTCAATTTTTTTGAGAAGCTTCTCAAAAAAACAGAAAATATTTAAAGGAATGTCATTTTTACTTGATGAACTCTGCCTCTCTTTGTGATGAATAATTTCTCTTTTTGAGGTCCAAAAAACTCTGGCCTCATCGGGACAAGCCATCAAAAACGCCCAGGAAAAGGCGAGAACCACAATGGCCCAGGTTTTTACTTCAAACTGTACCTATTCTATTTGTAATCCTTTTTTTCTAGGTTCGAATCACAACGGAAATCAAGAAAACACGGAAAGTCATGTGGTTCGAAAAGTTCCATTGGTTTGTCTCCTCGGAAGGATATATCGTGGTCGGAGGACGGGATGCCCAGCAAAATGAGCTCCTCGTCAAAAAGTAGATTTAATGATAAGAAAAAATAAGAAAATTTGGTGTTTTAGGTACCTCCGCAGTGGTGACGTCTATGTTCATGCTGACGTTAGGGGAGCTTCTTCCGTTGTTATTAGGTTTTTTTGGGAACTTGTGGATTTTTAGAGAAGGGAAACTTGAATAACTGAATTATTAATGAAGCTTGAAAAAAATTCTGTTTATTGGGTAGCAATTTCAGTAGATAATTTGAGTGGGGTCTTGGAATAAACCTTGAAAAAAATATTATCTTTTTTTAAGTTTATGAATCAAATTTTCATCGAAATTCTATTTTCATACGTTTTTTTAAAAATTTCAACTTCAGTGGATCGTTTAGGAAGTTCTCCAAACAGCAAAATTTTTGAGAGAAGATAAAAAAATAAACTTTAAAGAATGATTAAATTTTTCATTTCAGTAGTTAGACTATTGGTGTGTAAAATAATACCACAATGCTTCAATTTTTCAATCGTTCCTCTTATGTTTATATGTTAAAGCAATATGGGAACCTGATTTTTTTGAAATAAATTGATTGTTAAAATTGAAATAAACGTCAAAAAAATTCTAGTACTGTGTTGAGAAAAATTTAAAAAAATGTGCAAAAAAATAGGCTTCATTTTATTTTTCAAAAAAATGTTTACGATAATAATTTTCTTCGATTTTTTTCCGTTTTAACCCAATTTTCCTTCGATTTTCGACATGAAACTTCTCTCTTTTCGAGTTACCATTTAGATTTTCTACTTTTATTATTGCATTTTTCCTAGAAACAAAGCCGGCGGCGGCGATATCACACCAAAAACTCTAACCGAAGCGGCTCAAATGGCGGTTTGTTATTCGAACGCCTGGGAGGCGAACGTCTCGGCGGCCGCCTGGTGGGTCCGTCACGACCAGGTTCCCTCTGAAAAACCTCCCTTCTTACCTGAGATTCCCCATCTTAGGTTTCTCGAACGGCTCCCACCGGCGAGTACCTTCCCTCCGGATCTTTTATGATCCGTGGAAAGAAGAATTTCATGCCCCCGAGTCAACTTGTCATGGGATTCGGCCTGCTTTTTAAGCTGGACGAGGAGAGTGCTGAGCGGCATCAACTCGACCAGGAGAAACTGAAAGCCGAGGAGGAGAAGCTGGAGGAGCCCGTCGTTGAGCTGGAGGAGGAGAAGGAGCTCGACGAGTTTCCTGATGTTCAGGTGCTGAGGAGAAATGAAGAGGAAGTTCATTCCATTTTAAGGTTTTGAATTTCCTAAAAATTGGTTAGAATAATCCTTGATGTGCCAGAGGAACATTCTGAAAGTCTTAACTAGGTCAACTTTCTAATTTTTAAAAAAGGACACCTCGAAGTTGAAGAAAATCCGTTATAGCAGGCCTTTTTGGAGGCTTAAAAGCCCTTATTTCTCAAAAACTGGAAAGTTTTGCAGGTTGAGATTTTCAGGACCTTAAGTCGAAACTCCAAAGGCTATTCTGACGAATTTTTCAGAAAATTCTGAACTTAGTGAAATTACCTTCCTTGTCAGTTGAAGCCTGTATATCTAACTGAATTTTTATCTCAAATCTTCAGAAAAATCAAATTAAGTGACATTTTGCGTGTTTTCTTGCCATATGAATTACGAAAGACACCATTATTTTTTATAAAAAGTCCTTTTTTTAATGATTATTCGTTCTCAATTTATTTAATTAATTTCATTCTTTCGAGATTTTTCTTTCAGAGGTTGTTTTCCTAACCTTGTCATTTTTTTGAGCTTTTTCCCATTTTTAAACTTAAATTGTCTTCCGTAAAAGCTTCAAAACAGTTTACAGCTTAATTTAAGGTCTCCATCCCGATCGCCTCCGAAGAGGTGACTTTCATCGATGTCGGACCGAAAAATGTCAAAAAACAAGCGGAAACCCGGGAAGATGTCACCCAACAGTACCTCGAAGAGCAGGCCAAAGCTGAGGTATTTTTCAAAGAAAAAAAAATAAAACGAAAATAAAATAGATCGGCGAGAGTGCAAGGACACAGCGGAGAAAAATGCGCAAGGAAAAATTGGCCAAGCAAAAATACAAGGATCAGACCGAGGAAGATCGACAGATCCAGATGGAATTGTTGAAGTCGACCGGTGAGATTGAAAAATGGAAAATTTAGACCAATAAGTTGGAAAATGGCCAGAAAGAAAGTTTATTTTCGCTACTCGAATAAATCCACTCTGTGCTCTAATCTGGAAACTAAATTAATTTTTTTTACAGGAAAGAAGCCCGAACCAGTTCCCGAGAAGAAACCGGAACCTCCCAAGCAGAAGTTCGAAAAACCGGTAAGATAAAGAGTCAAGAAAATAAAATAAAAATCCACAGCAAGCCGAGTTGAAATCAAGAGAGCCCAAGCCTCAACCTGCCGAAGAAGAGGATGAGGATGAGAAAGAAGCCGCTCAGGACGATAGTGATGGTGATTTTTAGAGAAGTTTAGACCAGAAAATAAGAATTTTCAGCAAAATGCTTTAAAAGTTTTCTCCACGATTTTTCAATAAAGTTATTTTTGAAATTTTAAACTTATAGGCAAAGTCGGAAAGGGAAAAGGCTCCATAGAAATGTTCCTTTTAGGGTAATGAAGGCTCCCTTTTTGGTGCCTTTCCGCGCCATTTCATCGACTCTTGTGCACCATTTTTGCTGCTTCTCCCTTTTTCCACCATTTCTTGAGCCAGTAAAAATGGAAGGCCCGATAAAGGGACTCTTTTTGCTGCCTTTCTGCGGCCTTTCTACGACCTTTTTTGAGCCTTTCCCTTTTAGCCGTCTAGGGATCATCCAACTTTGAAAGCCCCTAACTTTTTTCACAGGCCTCGAGGGCAGTTTTTGAGCCCAGATTTGGAATTAGCGTGAAAAACTACATCTAGTGAACCTGGTCTCATTCAGAAGTCCCACTGCAAATGGAGACCATTCACTAGTAAGAAAAGTTATCTCTTTTTTGTTTTTTTTAGTTTTTTCCTCCTTCTTTTATTCCATTCGCTACGACTGGAAACCGTCTGACTTATCTGCGCTCTCTTTTCTCTAGCTGGCAAGGTCATAGAGGCTTGAAAATAGCGAATGAACAGAAGAGAGTGCAGAGAAATTTTAATACTTCCAATTTTTGGAAGATCTCAAAGGTTGAGAAAAAACATTGGAAGAAAAAATGGAACAGATGGATTTTTTTTATCAAAATAAAATTTTCACTTTTGAGTTTTTGAGCTTATTTGAATTTTTTATGACTTCAGGAAGAGTTTCAGAATATTGAAAAAAAAAAAGAATTTTGAAAAGAAATTTTTTAGCCATGCTCAAATCGTTGACCGCGAATCCGCGCGAAGATGATATCCTGATGTATGTGGTCCCCGTTGTTGCCCCCTACCAGGTTTCTCATCTTTCAAATCTCGATAGAAATGGAAAGGGCTTTCAGACTCTGAACAGCTACAAGTACAAGGTGAAAGTTCAGCCGGGGACCGGCAAACGAGGAAAAGCCGCAAAACAGGCCATCGAGCTTTTCTCCGTGGGTTTTTCGTTGATAGAGGTTGAGGAGATGACGAATTGGAGAATTTTATTGATATTTGTAATGCGTTGAATCTTTTCTAATTGTTATTTTTGGGAGATAACTGGAAAGTAAGAGGATTGTCTTAAAGACAAATGCGAAAAAAAAAGTTTGAATAGCCTAATTTTTCCGCTTTTTTTTCGAAAAGTTCTAGCGGTTGAATAAAAAGTGTGATAGCAGGCGACAAACAGCAAGTTTTAGAAAAAAAACGAGAAGGAAAATGTTTTTTTCGACAAGTAGGAACATTTGAAGTTATAGTTTGTAAGGTCTGCAACTTGAAAAAAATAAAAAAATCAAGTTTTACCTTTAAAAAAAGGGGGGAGGGTATAACTGCACTCTACAGAATTTGAAGCATGTTGGGCACTCTTTTTTGAAAAAAAGCAAGATGAGAATAATATTCGGGTATATTTTTTTTCAAAATAATTATCTGTTTTTTTCAAGTTTTGACCTTTGAGAAGGTTCAAAAATACACTTTTTCAGACTGAACTCTTAGAGTTTTTTTAAAAAAAGCATGTTTTTTTGAGACATTTTAAAAAGGTTTTGCGTCTTGAAAAAAATGCCCAAAAAGGAGAAGAATGTATATTTTTCTCAAACTTACGGTGTAATTCTTTTAACTTTTTGACACGCAAAAAGTTCCAAAAATACAGCCTTTTTGAACTGAATTCTCGAAATTTCTCACAAAAAAAGCATGATTTTTTTGTAGGTTTCTATAAATTGTGAAAGAAAGGAGAATAGATTTTTTTATTTTTTTATTTCATGTGGAAATTTTTTTATCTGGTTTTTTTCATGACCCATGGAACGGTCAAAAATACAATTTTTTTGATGCCTTGTTAATATTCTAGAAAAATCATGATATTTCTCATTCTAGAGAGGGAAAAACGGGCCGAGAGACGGCGTTGATCAAAGCCCTGGCTTCGGAAGACGCGACTTCCAGAAATCTTCCACCCAAAATTCGTGTCCTTGCCCCGAACTTGCATGCCAATAAATAATAAATTTCGATGGGATTAGGCCTTTATTTCACTTTTTTTGCATGAGGAGTATATTTTTTGCTTGTATTATTGACACTACTGGTAAGACTATTTTCCCCCGTTGCTCTTTGTGATAGTTTATAAGAATGATAAACATTTACTTTATTATTGAATCACCTTTTTCTGTTTCATTCGGTCTTCACGAACCAGTTACTGTAACGGTATGGGCCACTCGCAGGCAAATTGGGATTGTAGCCGTAGTTTGGCCAGTAAATGAAGTCGTTGCTGTAGGAGGCCGGCGTGTTCCATCTTCTGGAACTTTCTTTGTGAGTTTTCTACTATTTTTGAACTAAAAAAAACTCTAATCATATTCATCATTGTCGTTTTATTAGAAGTTTAAGGTTTTTTAAAAAATTTTTCAAGGTTTTCAATGCTGAATCAAATCTCCGGACAAGGTCCAAAATTTTTCTTCTCTTCCACTTCAGCTTGCCTTTTCAAAGAATTTTCTGAGGATTCAAAAATATTTTCGAAAACTTCAAACTGCGGATTTTTTTTCCGCATTGAGCGACGCTCGAAGTGACCTGAAAAGTCGATCATAGAATCCCGAACGAGCGAATTCTGAAGGCTCCCCACGTAGTTTAGCCATCTGGTCGTTCCTTGCCTCCACTGGAAATAAATAAAACCAGTTAGAAATATTCATAAGTTGTAAGAGTATTGTCCATACAGAACAGTTTTCAGAAAAAAGATCATTTTGGTTCAAAGTTTTCACGAGTTTTGGCCCTTGGTCGAGTTATGACGTCTCAAAGGCATCAGAAAACCAAATTTTATTCCCGAAAACGAACTTTAAACCCTTTAAATTTCTTTAAACACAAAACCTGTGAGGAAAATGCAATTTAGGTAGGGTCCGCAAGCCATTTCTTCAGAACGATTCAAAAAATATGTTTTTCACATTGTTCGATAGAGGAGACTGTCCATTTTCATAATCCGTTTAGTTTTTGAAAAAAGCTCCACTAAGAAAAAAGTTATGACCAAAAAACTAGCGCGCTCGGCGTTCAACTGGAGGCGAAATCTCACGGTTTACCCGCTGCCGCACGCTTTCTTTTTAAATGTTTTTACGCGTTTCTGGACCGTTTTTAAAGCGGTTTTCTGTTCTGAGAGGTTGTTAGATCTGAGCTTAACGTTTTGGTATAAATCTTTTTGTATAACTCTCATAAGAATTTTTTTGATAAAAATATCAAAAAAACTACTTAGAAAAAAAGGTCAGAAGGAATTTTCAGCTTATTTTTTTCTCTTTTCTAATCAGAAAAAAATTATTATCATTCGGTTTGGAAGAAAGAAAAAAATGAAAAAAATGATGTCATTTCGAAATAAAAACAGGAAAAAAAGTGCAATTTGACTCGAAAAAAACGGCTCCTGCGACATTTAAAATGACGCATCGGTGTGTTTGACGCAAACACAGCTACGAACGCTTGCACGAAATCTTCCAAAAATTTCAAAAAAATTGCCATTTTTTTCGAGGTTTTTCAAAGCCGTTATTTTTTTCGCGTCGTTAGATTTTTTTCATAATTTTTTTTCATTGATAGAGTTTTTGAACGCTTAATAACATAAGAAAAAAAGTATAGACGCGATCCTATTCTCTCATGCGTCAACGAGGCAGGCGAAAAAAGGAGGTTTTGGTAAAATTCAAATATAATTTAATTCGCTGTCCCAATAATTATTTTCATCCTGAATTTTTATTTTTGAACACATTGTGAGTTTTTAAATCAAATAAAAAGTATACCTTGTCGCTGAAATTTTTTCGCATTTCAGCTTCAAAGTTTGGTGTCACTTTACAAGCTTCGATTTTTTTCGCGTCGTTAGATTTTTTTAAAAATTTTTTTACTCGAAAAAAATAAAGAAAGTGTTAATATATAACATACTCAAAAATTTAGAAGCGTTCCTCACTTGCTTTTTCTGAAACGCGATGATTTTATGAAACTTGTCAGTTTTTTTTCGTGTTAAATCTTACTTTTTTTCGCTTATTTTTTTGAAAAAAACATAGTTTTTTTAAAATATTCAGTCTTGTAGAGCGTTGTCGATTACATAGATTAACAGAAACAGTTCATTTTTAAAGTGGGACTTTAGCTAGTATAAACGCCTCAAAACCGTTTTTGCAACAAAAAAATCGTCATTTTGGTGGCGTGAAGGGGCGGGGCTTTGCGCCCCCTAAATTTAGGCTTTAATTAGAAGCTTTCAAGTACATTTTACACATTGTTAGCAAATTTTTCTTTCGTTTGATTCATTTGACTCACACTCCTCCGAAATGGAAGTTTCTTCTTCGCAGGGGTAGTAAAGCTTGAAATTCCGACGTTGTGGTAGACAAGCTGGTCCGAAATTATTCTCGGAGCTCAGATCCACTAGAAATACTAGGAAAAGTAGTGAAAATAGGGATTTTAGCATTGGTGGAAGTGAAAGGTGAAGAAGCGAGAATGATAGAGAGATAAGCGGGAATCGGATGAGAATGAAAAAAACCGGTTTTCCTGGAGGAGGATAAAAACAAAAAAAGATAATCTGTTCAAAAAAAAAGTCCCAGTCTTTTTTTTCAGTTTTTTGCTTTTTGAAATGCAAAAAAACAGGTTTTTTAAAGATGTTAGAGAAAATTAAGAATAATAGAAAGTTTTAATATTTCGAGATAAAGAGTCTGATTTGCAAAATAGTGAGTAAGAATGAGAGGGTTTAGAGAAAAATGATATTACTTTCCCGCTATTCTGTTTCTGAAAATTCCAGTTGGCGATTTTTCAGGTTTTATTGTGCTCCACTGACAAAATTTCAATTCTTTCTCTTGTCCAAACATCATGGAACAGAAAATTTTCGGTCTTTTTTGATTATCAAGGACTATTTATTTTATTAAATTTGCTCTAGACTTTCAAAAATTCACCTTTTCTCTAGGAAATTCAAACGTAAAATGGAAAAGTGTAGACAAAATTTATTCAACAAAAAAGTTGTTTTTTCAGGATTTTTCCTTCTTTTGGTTGCTCAAAATCCTGCGATGATCAGCGATTTGCAAGCGCAGAACCTCCAATTCCATCGTTCTTCTATAAAAAAGCCCATTTTATCTTTGAAATTTCGCTCCATTGATAACTATTTACATGGAGTAGACGCTGTGGATCTGCTCGAACCAAATTCGCATCATTCTCTTTTGGAACTTCAGCTGTCTTTTTCGGTGCTTTCGAAGCACGTAGGTTATTGCGAGACAGATCTGAATATACTTAAATTTCGTCGAGAAAATAAATAATAGGAATACCCAGACCAGCGTCGCAAATCCGAAGATTTCGTGTGACTGAAAAAATAAGTAAATTATAAACTTTTTTTCTTTGAAATTAGCGATTTTAGCTGCGAGCAGTCCCAGCTTAGAACTCTAGCTTTTTCATACATTCGCGCGTAAAACGTTTTTGGTCGGGCGCAATTTTATATCGTGGAGCTACGGGCTACCCACTAGTTTCAGGGAGATGCAAAAAAAGAAGGCTTCTCACCATCCGTATTCTGAACACTTGGAGCATCGGAAACGCCTAGAAATGAGAGCTTTTTGACGTTTTTTTACCTTCATTAAAAATTTTAGTTTTGATTATATTTAAAAAGTTCAAACGGATTTTTGAATAAAGCTGAAATTTTTTCAATTTTCCGATTTTTATAATGAACAACCTTCAATTTTTTTTTGTCGTAGCTGTAACCGATGTAGTCGAACAAACTGAGTCGAGATTTTCGAAAAAAAATTTCTGTAAGGCCTCTCAAAACAACTTTTTCAGTGAATATTCAGTGTTGAACAGTTATTTTGAAGTTAATATTTTTTATCCTGATCATATCATTCTTGAATATGACCCCTGGATTCACTGGACTAACTAGTGTGAAATTAATAATTAGAACTAAAAAAATTTCAAAAAACTAAAAATGACAGCTTTTTTTGAGCTTATTACTGACTTTCTTCATTATAAACCAATTGATGATTTCACTCTCGAATATCATTCCGACGCTCTCATGATCGCGGAATACACTCGCCGGACGTTGTGTAACAATCTTTCGAACGGCAATCGGTCACTTTTTGTCGTCGAAACCACGTTTCTTGGTGTCGATTTTTCGTTATACTATAATGTAGTTTTATAACTATCTTATTATAGGTGAGCTTTGATCGGAATGAAAATATTGAGCAGTTAATTGAAACTTTTCAGGCTTTCAGTGAATTTTACTGAAATGATCGAAAAGAGAATGTTTCCTTGTGAATCTTTGACTGAACTTTTAATTTTTAGAAGGCTCCTATTTTTCTTTATACTCTCAAAATCCTTACTAAGGAAATTGGGCTTTAAACTACACGTTTCCTTTAATAAATTTGAGCACTCATTTTCCCCATTTTTCGCATTTGTGAGTCATTTTTTCTCCATTTTCCTGTCCTTTTCTATCATTTATCGTTCATTTTTCCAAGTTCCCGACTGGAAAATGGCCGAATCAACGGATAATCTGGCTGCCGTGCTCCACGGAATCGACGATTTACGAATGGAACAGATTCCAATCCCAGTTCCAGGCCCACATCAGGTTCTTGTCAGGTATAATTTTATTTTTTTCACAGCTTCCTGAACCTATTTATAAATAATGTAATTTGCATCTTTCATTAAAAATAACTAGTTTGCAACAGGAAGTCTATGCAGGCACAAAATGGAGACTTTCAGAGTTGAAACTTCAAAAAAGGGGATATTCATGAAGTTAGGTGGAAGAAGTCTTGTTAGAATTTTAAAAAATGGATGAGTGGACTTTGAATTTTGATCTTTTCAGAGTTCATACCGTCGGAATTTGTGGCTCTGACGTCCATTATTGGACTCATGGCGCTATTGGAAATTTCGTTGTCCGAGAACCTATGGTATACCGTTTTTTTATTGATTGCAACCATTTTCCATGAAAAAAATTACTTTATGAAATTCATACTAAATTTGTCTCTAGATTATCCTGAAAAGTTGGTAGGTTCATCTTTAGCTCTAATATAGTCTGTGTGCCACGACTTGAAATTTCACCGAACGACGTGCCGCTGCGTACGGTCGCGAAGCGTCTTTGCCTTTGCGGATCTAGGTCACCCTTCCAGACTATTTTTATTTCTGATAGATGTATTGTTTCACTGCGAGTATTTGAATGAAAAAAAAAATTGAAAGCGCGACCGAGATTCGCAAAGGCGCCCGGCGGAACAGCGGAATGTCGTTTGGTGAAATTCCAAGTCGTGGTACACAGATTATACACACACGAAGAAAAATTCATTTTTTTTTTTTGCAATTTTCTGAACATGTTCGAGTAAGTATTGACAGAGTTCTTCCTTTGAAAAAAACCATTGAAAAACTTGGCCGAAAAAAAATTTCACAGCTCAGAAAACTCTAAAATGCGCATCGAATAGGTTCAATAAAGTTTGCCGACCCCTCTCCGTTTTAGAAAATTTCATAATATCAACCTCTTTTTTCTGACTAACCACCTTCGGACCTCTCCCATTTATCCTCTCATTTGCTAAAAAAAAACCGCTCAAAACCCCCAAATAAAGAACTTTCGCAGGTAGTTGGACATGAAACGTCTGGCGTTGTTGCTGGAGTGGGAAGCGAGGTCAAAGATTTCCAAGTCGGAGATCGAATCGCCATGGAACCCGGACTACCGTGCAAAGGCTGTGAACATTGCAAGGTTGGTTTTGTGGTTCATATGAAGTTGGAAAGGGAGTTTAAAAAATTAGGGTATGATCTTGAAGGCTCATGGAAACTCTGCAGCCCACGGAAGGGAAGAAAAATATTATAAAACATTCAGAAAGGCCAAAAAACCACTGTTTTTTGTGAACTTATTCTTAGTCTCAAAATTTTAATTATTCCAGAAAGGTCGCTACAATCTGTGCGCGGATATGAAGTTCTTCGCTACCCCGCCAATCAACGGAACTTTGGCTCGATATGTGGTCCACGACTCGGCGTTTTGTTACAAGTTTCTAGGCATTTTCGCTTTTTTGAAGGAAAAGAACATGCAAAAATCAGACTTGGATGAAGAATATTTATTAAGAAGTGGAGGTGGTGCTCATTCGTAGGCACGAGCGTTGGCGTCACCTCCCCACTGGAGCCAGAGAAGGCCGTTGGCCGAGGCGACGAGGGCCGCGAAGACGGTGAGGACGGTGGAGGACGACATCTTCCGATGGATTCTGGAGGGGAAGATGGAATCTTTTATAGGTAGATCTAGGAAGTTCTCAAGTAACAGTCAAATTGAAGAATGGGAACCATTTCAAGTCCTGAGAGACTTCCATGAACTTCTAGTCAGTTCTCATTTTTCAATTTGTTCTATCCATGAGAACCTTTTAGATTCAACCCATAAATGGGGCTTTTCCCCTCCAGAATCCATCGGAAGATGTCATCCTCCACCGTCCTCACCGTCTTCGCGGCCCTCGTCGCCTCGGCCAACGGCCTTCTCTGGCTCCAGTGGGGAGGTGACGCCAATGCTCGTGCCTACGAATGAGCCCCACCTTCAACTTCTAAATAAATATTTCCTATCCAAGTTTTGCTCACGAATACATGAAAACGAGCGAAAGAGAAGGATTTTAGCGACTTCCATTAAACAATCAAACATCAGCTTGAATGATTTTTGAAGAACTCCGAGCTTATAAACTATGATATAAACGGGGAAGTTTCATTAAGACTCTCCAATACTTTTTTTAATTTTATTTCTCTACAGAACCTTGTAGTACTTCTGTTCCTGCCGCGTAATTTTTATTCTTGTAATCACGGAAAAATTTCAAGGGGTTTATTCTTAGATTAAAGGTGAAATTTTGCAACTTTGTTCATATTTTCCTTACCTTTTTACATTTCCTGCAAGCCATCTTTTATTCCTTAAAAAGCAAATTAGGTAGGTCTCCATGAAATTAGAAACTCTTGCGGGAAAAAAATTTGAAATCCATTTGGGCAAAAAAATAGGTTTTCGCGTCTTTTGGGAATTTTCAAACACTCTTGAATATTTTTTTGAGTGGATCTTTGCCGATATCCTAATATTTTTTTCAATAAAATCTGTTAGAAGTTAGTTTATTTCTCTTTCAGGCTTCCCGACAATGTCTCCTTCGAGGATGGCTCGCTTCTGGAGCCACTTTCCGTGGCGGTTCACGCCTGTCGAAGGGCTAATCTTCAAATGGGCAATCGAGTTTTAGTCCTTGGAGCCGGTTTATTCGAAAAAAACTGATTCCAAAGAGAATATTAGTTGATTTTGAGGTCCAATCGGTGTTTTGAACATGATGACGGCCAAGGCAGCCGGAGCTGGACGAGTTATTGTGACGGATTTGGACGATTCCAGGCTCGCGCTGGCCAAGAAACTTGGCGCCGATGAAGTCATCAATGTTCGGTTAGTATTGAAAGGAAAATATAGTAATTTTCTGAAACAATTAGAAATGGTCACTTTAGGAACTTATAAGATTGCAGGCTACTGTATGAATTTTTGATTTTCTGCTAATTTTCTGTTCTAGAAGCCTCCTTGTCCTCGAGATCGATTTACAAAGATGGTTTTTATTTAATTTTTTTCCCACTTTTTCAGTTTATATCTTCTCAATTTTGGTTTTATCAATCCTTAGGAAAACCAAAGTAGCTCAGAAACCAAATTTTTTGAAAAACCAGAGATTTACTGAAACTTTAAACAGAAATAGTTACTATGTAGAGTTTATAAATCCTTTCAAAAAGCTTAGGTTACTGTAACTCTCTCTAAGACCACTTTCCTTTGAATTTCAATTATCCTTCCACTTTTTCGACAAGTGCGAGTTGATAAAAGAACGATATCGGGTTTTAAAACATGGAAAAAAAGCTTCATACGAAGAAAACGATTCAAAAACCGATTACAGGAATAAAAGAGTCGTCGACATTCGTGCTGAAATCATCCTGGCGATGGGCAGCGAACCCGACATCAGTATCGAGTGTACTGGAGCACAGCCCTGCGTTGAAACCGCCATTATGGTAGCTTTTATTGAGCTGTGTCTGTTATTATTATCGTTTTTCAAACAGAAGCCTAGAAAGGCTTTAAATAACCCTGTAAACGACTCTTCTCTTCGAGGCCTTCGTTAGATATTTGGCTATGCTCCTTCAAAATTCAAGCCAGATTTTTCAAAAAAAAAACTGCATTTTTTGGTAGAAAAGTACAACTTTTATATATTTGACTGCATCCGAGGAAAGTTCAAAAATCCGCGTTTTAAAGGCGCATGATTTAAAATAACACTGAAACAACTCTCTAGCCTCGAATCCTTTGTTAAATTTCTGTATGCGCCTTTAAAACTTCCACCGACTTTTGAACTAACGTTTTGTTCAAAATACAGTCATTTTGATTTCAGACCACGATATCCGGAGGTGTCATTGTTCTTGTTGGCCTAGGAGCCAGCCGAATTGAAATACCGATTATCGAGTCGGCGTGTAGGGAAGTTGACATCCGAGGAATATTCCGCTACGTTAATTGGTTTGTTAAACTATTTTTTAATCATCAAAACGATTTCTAGTTACCCAACCGCCTTGGAACTTGTCGCCTCCGGCCGCATAGACCTATCGGGTTTAACCAGAGCCCATTATCCCCTTGAGCAAACTCTAGAAGCCTTCAAACGTACCCAAAAAGCGGATGTTGTCAAAGTTTTTATTCAATGTTGATTGTATCATTTTTTTTTAAAACAGAATATGTGCATTCCAATCAAAAATTTCAGATGATTCGCATTTTTTTTTCTCGAATGTATCAGTGCATTTCTAATAAAAATGATAGTAAAATTATTATAAAAAGAAGAAGGAAAAGGGAAAAAATTAATCTCGGGTTTTCAAGTAATGAAAAGAAGCGCGCGACTCTTTGCAGAACAAACCACGCCCATTTTGGTATGCAGAACATGTTTTTGCAAAAATTTGAATATTTAGGTTATTTTTTCATTTTTTTTTTTGGATTTCACACGCTTCATTTTCTGCTTTTACTTCATCGCGAACCATTTCGTAGGAAAAGAGTTTTTCTCAAAGAATTTCGCCCTAATTTTCAAATTTAATACTTTTTTAAGCCTCCGGTATTTGTACACGTATATCAGGCTTGTGCGAGGGCCGGCCGTCAGCCTCCCGGCCATTTTCTAACCCCGGCGAGTATCATTACTTTTTACGACAAAAGTCACATTTTTGCTTTTTTTTTTTCACTGAGAGTTCAACAAAAACAAAGATTTTAAAAGTAGAAAAAGTTTTTCGCTGAAGATGTTTTTAATGAGATTTTCAATTTTTTTTTTTCGAACCCCGGCCCGAGCCCGCACAGGATTTTTTTAAAAACACAGGCCCAAAGTCTGGGCCTGACGTAAAATGACAAGTGATTTATCATTGGTGCGCGCTTTCTCACACCTTTTTAATTCACTTTTTTGTTTCATCTTTTCTCGGACATTTGTAACGCGAAAAGAACGCGCCCTGGACGTTTTTGAGCGTTGCTAGTAATTCCTTCAGCGACTTTAGCAATCTTAAATGTTTACTAGAAATTTAATAAACGTCTATGACGAGTCCGATTTACGTTACCGAGGTACGAGTAACTAAAGCACGAAGCAATGAAGCTTGCGCGGGCTCGGACTAAGCCAACCTTCGAAAAAATTTTCAAACTTCATCACAAACATTTTCACCCTAACTCAAAAATATTACCCAAAAATTAATTTTCGCTAGTTTCATCAAGGTTTATCAAAAGTTAAGGAAATGAACGGAGGCCGAAAGGTTGACAATCTGACCTCGCACAAGCCCGGCTAGCATGTTTTGAACAACGATAATTTCATTTTTTGTATAGTCGATGTGCCACGACTTGAAATTTCATGGAACGACACTCCGTTGGGTGGCCGTGGCCGTGAAAGCGCCTTGCCTTTGCAAATTTCGGTCGCGCTTTCCATTTTTTTTTATTCGAAATTTTCATTATTTTAATCATGTTTTAATAGTTTTCTTCGTGCCAAACTCATAATTATCTTTTCTAGTGGATAGACTGTTTCATTGATAAAAATAAAGTAATGTAATTTGCGAATTTTAAGCGAAAAAATGCGTTTATAATATTTGAAAGTTTTTCATGAGATGGTCTTTGGTTTTGTTCAATATATTCCGTTATTTTACCTTCATTGAGCCTTTATCGACATTTCTTTTTTTTCATTTCAAATCATGTAAAAAAATATCCCAATCAGAAATAAAATACACAGTGAATGATTTTAAAAAAATTGAATGTTTTCTACATTGACGAATTTTTTTATTTTAAAAAAACAGATACATAAGTTCAAAGGAAAAAAATTATTAGTTTGCTGGACATTTCGTTCAGCACAACGTTTCCACTGTTCCAAGTGCTCCCTGTTCACGCCCCATTTCTGACGCATAGTTCAGCAATACGATTTATCTAAAGCTCCATTTAAAAAAAAGGAACGAAAACCTTTCTTCAAATTATGGTGCATGTGCTCATGGAAGTACGCATCTTCCTTTTATAAGGTGCTCACTTTCTGAAAAAAACAATTAACGACTGCAAACAGAAAAAAAAAACGATGAAAACATTAAAACATGGCTTTAAAAAAACACAGAAACTATTGTAGAATATTGTGGCGTTTACGGCCTATTTCACCCGCAAATCCTTTTGGTAAGTCTTTGAAAACTTTTTTTGAGAAACGAGAAAAACAATATTAAAGCGATTGAAGAATACATGAAGTTTTTCAAACTTTTTTTAAATCGCTTTTTTCGAGAAACATCATGAAATTTACTGTGTTCTTTCTTTTACATTTGTACAACGCAATCCTTTTCAACGATAATATTACATTTTAAAGAAATAAAACAATAAAAAAACGATCAAAAATTAGAATGAAAAACCAAAAAAATTAGCGTGGCCGAAGTTGGCAAATTCGCAAGATGCGCGCTACCGCACAAAAATCGAAACAGCGGAGTGTTGTTCCATGAAATTTCAACTTGTGGCACATCGACTATACTAGTGAGGAGCGCTTTCAGCCATTGTGTATTAATGTTATTTCTTTTCTCCTTTGCAATTTAACACGGAATAAAAAACCCTCAGCCGCTTTTAAGAGCATTGGGCTGGTACCTGGGATTGTTTAGCCGGCTTAGTCGCAGTTGATCGAACTCCGCCCTTCTGGATCTAGTGTTGTCGAATTTCAATGGACGGATCCCAACAAGTCCTTTGAAAGCTTTCTGCAATAATTTCAACATTAAAAAAAGCAAATCGATTGCATTATTCAAATCGCAATGTTTTGACTAATTAGTTATGTAAAGTTGTAAAGTAAGTTAGAGAAACTTTATCCGGCCAGGAAAAACTAACTAGGCGGTGCGCTAGAGCTCCGCTCGGCCTTGTCAGAACTAAGAAAATCCTAGACGCCGAAGCCGTGACGGCATTTTCCGCGGGGGTCCCATCATCGCTTTGTCAGCTTCGCGCTGCCAACAGTTTGTGCTTCAGCCACCGGAATGGACTTCAGCGTGACTTTGCGTATCCAATTTGCAAGCAAAGAGGATCGGCACTCCGGGAGTCCCACGGTCCTAATCTACTAGCGCTTACAACTCAGAAACTTATTTTGAAAATGAGAATTTTTATGTAGGTTCAAAACTCATCTTGAAGTTGAACGCAGTTGCAAGACGACTCGTGATGGAAGCAGGAATGATATTTGAAGCCAGGAAGAAAGGAACAAATGAAACGTTGCCACGTGGTTTTTTGCAAGTGTTAATTCTTTCGATATCAGAAAAATGACACGCCACGGGATTCACGTTTTTTTTTTAGAGGGAATGGAATTTTTATTCTGAATTTGGGCAAATAACGCAAAAAGTAGAGCTAGTGGAGACGCTAAAAAACTTTTTAAAATTAAAATTTTTTAATTTTAAGGCTCTCTAGTTTTTTTTTGCACCTTGAATTTTTTTGATTTCAATCTTTTTCATATTTATAAATGCTTATTTGATGAGAGGTAATCAATCTATATAATGTTTTTTTGATTTTATTGTGTAATGAAATGAAATGCTCATTGTTCGCTCACAGACAGAATTCTGTGGCGTGGAGGGAGACAGAAATGTTCAGAAGCGTTCGGAGAACGTCCGTTTCGCGTTACGAATGTCCGAGAGAAAAATAAAAAAAAAAAAATGAATCAGAGATGTGTGAAAAAACGCGCCCCAACGATAAATCTCTTGTCCATTTACGCGAGGCAAACTGGAAAAACCGGAAGCTTTTTTCAAAGTTTTATTCAATTTATTTAAATTGTTTTATCCAATTTATTCAATATTAAGCATTCCTTTGAGGTTCTCTCGTTTGGGTTTTTTTGAAAAAGTTCGAAGTAACGTGGTGAATTATCTCAAAATTTTTTTCCATAAAACTCAATGGGTTATCAAAATTCCAAAACGTTTTCTTTTAAATTTTTCCGACATGGAAAATAGTCGTTCAAGTTTTGAAGATAGTTTTTTCTCTCTCCGAATTTTTCACTTGTGTTAATGGATTTCAAAAGTTTTTGCCGCGGAAGAGATCAAAATCTTGAAGCGCGGCGAGGTCAGACGAATTTGCCCGCCAAGGATAGGCGGCCTCGTTATCTTTTTCGCTGTCGGAACTCTGTGTTTTTTTCCCATTTTATTTCAACTCTGTCGTCATGCTGCCCTTTCGTGGATTTGCTTAGCTTTTTTTTCGAAAAAATTGGCCAATTGGCGGATTTTCATGATCAACTTACTTTTGTTGCAGATCAATTACGTTGATTCAATTTTATTAGGATTCTGTCCATTAAAAATAAGTTGCTTGGTTGTTTAAAGGGGGAATGTTTTTTTTTCGAAAATTTTCTTATTTGCAGCTTTATTTACTTCTTAACCCTATGAAACTGAACAACTTTTTAAAAGCTTTGAATTTATGGCTATATTTTGCCAAACTTCTCCAATTTTTCAGTTGAGCAAACCGCAGTATTTATTTTTCCGTTTTAGGAGCCCATCTCATCAAAAAAGAAGAATTTGTTTACTTAGCAGTCAAAATTGCCTTTATCTTCGCTAGAGGATGCCAATAAACCCTTTTTCGCTGCTGTTTGTTCGGCCCTTCGATTAGTTTGGCTCCGTTCTAGATATAGTGTAATTTTGTTCTATTTTTCTGTTATTTTTTCTTAATCTGTTGCGATGAAGTGAAAAATTGAATTTCATTTTGAATGTAGAAAGCGCGAAACGTTTCTGGCGTCTTTTTTTTTCGAGATGGCATCGTGATAAATATTTGGCGTATCTCTCACGCGTGTCCTTCAGATTGATAAGTTCTTTTCAGCAACTCAAAACTACACGAAGGGCCAAGTTTCGCAACGAGTATCATAGAGTTCAATCTGAAGGTTTTTCACACAGCAAGGTTGTCGCGTATTCTTAACTTTGAAAGTTGAGAATAGATTCCAGTTTCGCGTTTTTCTACAAATTTTGTTAAGGCTTCCCTCTACGTTCTTTAAAATAATCTTGCCTTGAAAACAAAACTTTGTACATATTTTTTCTTGCCAAAGTTCCAAGCGTCTTTTCGAAATGGTACGCTTGGTGATAAATATTTGACGTATCTTTCTCACTCGCGCCCTTTTGGCTGAGCTGGCAGCAGCAGTTCGTCCTTGTGTTTGTGGCGGCGACGGCGTTCGCCACTCGGAGTGCCTTGCACCCTCCTAGAAACGCGCACACTCCCCACCAACGACGCTCCGCCCCAACTCTGTTGCGCGGCTTTCCTATTTTTTTTTCGGCCCTCTCGCCATTTCGCAGTTTGTGTGGTGGAACATCTACCACCAGCCGCGCCACGTGGCTTTTTTCTTTGTTTTTCAATCTTTATCTGGTTCGATTTGATCGATGCGCCTGTTTTTCTAGAAAAATTGGCCAGTGGGAGGTCTAGGGGTGTTCATCGGGTTGAACCCCTTGATCTTCCTTTTTTTGATCGGTTGTTCTGCAGGATCGTTTTAGGTGTTTTTTTTTTCAGTAAGAAAGCCAAAAATTCAAGGCAGAAAACTCAAAAACTCGGAAAACGAATGATTCGAGCTTGCTGCTTTCAAAATTTTATTTTCAAATTAACTTTTCTGAGTTCTATTATTTATTTTTTTTTTTTTTGAACCACTTAGCTATCCTTAAAATATCAGTCTTTTTGTGGGTCAATTCGCGAGTTTTTAAGCCCTTTTATCGGCTATTCAACTTTCATTCACACTATTTTTGAATTCGAAAAACAAGCCTCATTAGCTTTCTTAGAAAGATAGAATGTTGATCATTTTTGAGCAGTTTATTTATGATTTCCCTAGGAGCTTCTTAACACCAAAGAACATGTTTATTTACAGATTCCCCAAAAGGCTTCATTTTGAAATTTTGTATCGAATTATCGTTTGTTTTCGCATCACATCACATGGAAAAATGATATCACGACCTTTATATTATTTCAAAATAATGGGGAATTTCCAGAATTTTCAGTCAAGTGCCCTTAAACTTCCCTCATTTTTTTTGCAAAAGTTGTTTTCGATTAATCATTTTTGTTGTGCGTGGTGTGATTCAGCAAAACAAGCATGGGAAAACAATATGGAAAATAAAAATTGGTTTTTTTTTGGTCTTCTCTCATAGAAATCCAAGGCGCTGTACTTTTTGTGTTGACGCGAAGATTCTAAAGTTTCAAAGGGGTTTCGAAAAAAACTTTTTCTTTTTTTACAGCAAGAACCTTTATAAATAAAAAAGATTTTAGTGTAAGAAAAACCTCTTTTCTTTTCTCACAATGTCAAATTTCTAAAAATAAATCAGATTTCAATGAAAAAACCTTTCAAAATGTCGCAATCTTTTATCTTTTCTCTGATGGATACATCGTTCATTTTTCTTTTTGTCATCGCTCGCCCACATTTTTTGCTGTAATGTTCTTTTTTTCGGTCCTCGTTCTTTGTACCGTCGTTCTTTTCTTTATCTTTTATCTGGTATTTTTTTAAGAGAGAGAAATTTCTAGATCATGACCATCGAGAGCGAAATCGTCGGCAAGTGGAACTTTGTCTCGTCGGACAACTTCGATGCCTACCTCAAGGAGGTGCTGATTTTCAGGATTGCAGAAATTCAAATCAAAATGAAGATGTGAACAATGAAAATTATAATATAACGTAAAATTTAGTAAAATTTTTCGTTGAGTTTTTTGCAAAGGAATTCCGATAGTCAGCTGTTTCTGTTCTTTGTAACTCTTTGGAACGTTGGATCGGCTGAACCTTATACTTTGTCCTTGTCTCGATTTTTTTCGAGTCACGTGCCACTTTACAGTTAAAGTTTTCCCTGAGGAACCAGGAAATAATGGAACAAATAAATTTTGAGGCAACTCTTCAAGCTTTTTGGAAAGGAATAAAAGGATAGAATAGGGGTATTTTTTTGAAGAGAAAAATTTTAAATTTTATTTATTTCTCATTAATTACGGCGTCTTGCCAAGTTTCAAGCCTTTTTTAGCTGTCCAATTGAGATAAACGTAAATTTTTATTGAGAGAAAACATTGTTGATTTTCATGTGAATCCCTAAAATGATCCTATAGGTTTCATAAAAATGAGCATTTGTTCTAAATAACCACTACATTTCTTCATTTATTGATCAGATTTTCAGGCTGGCGTTGGCATGATGACGCGGACGGTGGCCACGAAGCTGAAGCCGACTCTGGAGTTCAAAATCGAGGACGGCGAGTGGTCGATGACGTCGATCTCGACCTTCAAGACCCACGTCACCAAGTGGAAGCTCAACCAGTCGTTCGACGACAAGACCGCCGATGGACGCGATGTGCGCATTTTGACTTTGTATATTCTGAGTAAAATCGAACTTTGAAATGAAATTCAGGTTCAAAAATAGTTTCAGCTCCATTGAAAACGATGGTACGACAAAATCTCAAGTCCGCAAATCTCGAGGACCGTAATCTTGTGTACGCAGATCTAAAGTCCCATAATCTTGGAAACCAAAATCTTGGAGACCGAAATCTTGGAAACCACAATCTTGGAAAGCAAAAATCTTCCTTTTTAGTCTTCTTTATTGCACTTTATCTACTTATATTCTCTCGTTTGGATCACCGAATACAATTTCTGATAAAATCTATTCGCAAAAGCGTTGATTTTTACTTTCCAAGATTGTGGTTTCCAAGATGTTGGTCTTCAAGATTATGAGACTTCAGATCTGCGTACACAAGATTACGGTCCTCGAGATTTGCGGACTTGAGATTTTGTCGTACCATCTTGAAAACGAGGTAGAACGAGTCTGTAAGCAGCTTTGAAAATTTTTCTGATTAGCTGTTTGATCTAGAACAAGTTCTTGATTTCTTAAAATTGACCCTTTTCCGGATTTTTTGATGTCTATCGCCTCAAACTTATTCGTAGATTGAAAAAATTACGAACAACAGAAAAAGTTTGCCTATTTCAACTGAGCCTGTCTATTTTCTCAATTTATTTTTCACTTTTGCAGGTCTCCGAGGTGTTCACCATCGAGCAGAACAAGCTGGTCCAGAACGAGACGGGCAAGAACGGCGGCAAGGACTCGGTCATCACCCGCTACATTGAGGACGGAAAGCTCAAGATCGTGAGTTTGTAAAATGAATTTCGAAAATATTTAGAGGTGAAATTGAGATTTAAAATTGTTTAGTGTGATGAGTAGAGCTGTATATTAAGTGATCCACGTCTTTTTCTTTCTAGAAATATTCAAAAAAACTTGAACCTTTTTCCCTTATTTCAATCAAACTGTCTGTTTTTTTGAGCTGCAAAAGGTCTTTCAGACTTTTTTGAAAAAAAAATTACAAGTTGAGTAGGAGAAAAATTCCGAGGCTATCAGTTAGAAATAAGTTTCGAAAAAAAGTCATTTTGTACACTTTCTCTATTTTTTTCTATAAAAATAAAAAAATCTTCCAGGTCTGCGACTGCAACGGCGTCGTGGCCACCCGCGTCTACGAGAAGGCCGAATAATTTTGATCCTCCAATCGATTTCCAATCATTTTTAATCATTTTACCGCATTTAATCATGTAAGTTGTCTTCGATTTTCCATGCCTTCTCCCCCGTCTATCGCTTCGGTTAATCAATCATTTTCACTTTTGAATACATGTTGCTTCTCCGGTTTCTTTCATTTGTCTTTTTATCAGCACCGTTTTGTCCAGTTTGTAATAATAAATTCTTTTTTTTCTTTTTGGTTTTGTCTTATAAACCTCCCTTGGAAGTTCTTGGAGCGTTGATTACTTTTTGAAAAGCATCAGAAGCTTTTTTTGAAACTTGGAATATTTTTTGTTGGTTTTGTTCACTTGTAGTATTGCCCACAACGGATTTATCGGTTCATCTTCTGACTTGAAGTTAATTTTTTTAAAAATGCTGGACCATATCGGAAAGTGAAGGTTTCTGAAGCTTGAGAAATGTATTTTTCAAATTGAAAAAAAGATTCTTGAATCGATAATTTAGTTATGAGTGTGATGGGTCTGAGAAAAATCAGTATCTTGAGAATTTCTCTAGAAATGGGTAGATTAAAAATAAAGCGAAGAGTTCATTCATTTTGCATGGTCTTCTTAAAAATCCAAGAATATTTACCGAAGAAACTGGAAATAATCTTCCTTGACTCAACTTTTGTTTGAGGGTTTTTCCAAAGAAATTCCGCCTGAAATCTTCATTGTTTTCATGCAATCAGAGACTTCCTGCTCGGGCAAAGTCGGAATGGTGTATAATGGCTGCTAAAAGGGAGAGGCTCAAAAAAGGCCGCAGACAGGCAGCAAAGAGACTCCCTTTATCGAGCCTTCCATTTTTCTGGGATTTTAAAGGCTCGAGAAATGGTGGAGAAAGGGAGAGGCAGCAAAAATGGTGCACAAGGGCTGAGAAAATGGTGCAAAAAGGCAGCAAAAAGAGAGCCTTCATCACCCTAAAAGGAACATTTCTATGGTCCTTTATGGACCCTCGGAGGGTCCTTCCGACTTTGCCTATGTGGACAAGGAAAAGTCAGAGATGCTAATTTTTTTATTCCTTGAGTTTTAGAACGAATGATTCTTTAATTATCAGTTTGCTTGTTGTTTTCAAGGGTGGATAAAAATACTCATTCGGAAGGATACAATTTACATTGCGTTTTTTTTTTTGGATGAACGATTTTCGGATGAAAAAGTTTTATTCAGAAGTGGAAGGTACTGCTCATTCGTAGGCACGAGCGTTGGCGTCACCTCCCCACTGGAGCCAGAGAAGGCCGTTGGCCGAGGCGACGAGGGCCGCGAACACGGTGAGGACGGTGGAGGACGACATCTTCCGTTGTATTCTGGAGGAAAGGAGGCCTTTTATAGGTTGGGTCTAAACGATTCTCAAGGATAGGACAAATTGAAGAATGGGAACTGACTAGAAGTTCATGGCATTCTCTCAAGAGTCGGTTTGGTTCCCATCCTTCATTTATACTTTTTTCACTGAACCGTCTAGATTCTTCCTATAAAAAGGGTCTTCTTCCCTTCCAGAATCCATCGGAAGATGTCGTCCTCCACCGTCCTCACAGTCTTCGCGGCCCTCGTCGCCTCGGCCAACGGCCTTCTCTGGCTCCAGTGGGGAGGTGACGCCAACGCTCGCGCCTACGAATGAGCACCACTTCGACTTTTGAATAAAGCTTTTTCATCCGTGTTCATATTAGAAAATGAATAAAGCTTTTTCATCAAGTGTTCATATTAGAAAATGCATGGAAATTATCGAAACTTGTAACAAAACGCCGAACCGTCAAGGAATAATTGCGCTAATAAGTTGTTCCTCAACTACTATCCGTGTGGGATTTGCTTGCCGGAAAGGATACAGAACTTCAAAAGAGTCGAAAAAAAGTTTCCATTAAACTTCAAACATTCTCTTTCCGATGTAGGTTCAATGGGATTGTTGAAAAAAGACAGAAAAGGTTTCATAATCTGAAATTTAAAAAAAAAGTACTGTTGGGAAGTTGAAAGTTTCGAGTGTTTTAAAAAAAAACCTCAAACGGATACTCGAGATAAAAAAAGATTATGAAGTGGAGTACCATTTTTGCTCTTTTGGTCGGGTTTACATCAATTTTTTCAAGGTTCACATTCCAAAAAAGTTTTTTTATATGGATCATATTGACAAATCGGAAAAAAATCACCAGCTCTATTCGAAATTGTATTTATTTCAGAAATTTTTTTCAAAAAAATTTGAGTGAACGTTTGGTTTTTTTATTGAAAAAGTCAAAACTGCCTCTCACTCTTGAGAGCTTTTTTTTTCAAAAGTTCACAAAATTTCATCAGGTTTTAGCTTCTTGTAATTTGAGAACCTTCTCTTGAATTTTTCGAGGACTTCGTTATTGAACTTTTGAACGTGAATAGTAGAGAAATCAAATAGAAAAATATTGGAAGTTTGGTGTTGAGAAATTTATCAGCATTTTGATGAAACTTTTCAGTTTACATCCTCGTTTATAAGCTCGAAATTCTTTAAAAATCATTCACATTGTTTCTGAACTTGAGAGTTTCGAGTACCGAATCTTTTGGTTCTTTAATAGAAGTCGCCAAAATCCTTCTCTTTCGCACGTTTTTCATGTATTCGTGAGCAAAACTTGGATAAGAAATATTTATTCAAAAGTCGAAGTGATGCTCATTCGTAGGCACGAGCATTGGCGTCACCTCCCCACTGGAGCCAGAGAAGGCCGTTGGCCGAGGCGACGAGGGCCGCGAACACGGTGAGGACGGTGGAGGACGACATCTTCCGATGGATTCTGGAGCGAAGATGGGGCCTTTTATAGGTAGATCTAGGAAGTTTTCAGGGGACAGTTTGATTGAAGAATGGGAATCGTTTCAAGTCCTGAGAGACTTCCATGAACTTCTAGTCAGTTCCCATCCTTCAATTTGTCCTATCCTTGAGAACAGTCTAGACCCAATCTATAAAAGTCTACTCCCTTCCCTCCAGAATCCATCGAAAGATGTCGTCCTCCACCGTCCTCACCGTCTTCGCGGCCCTCGTCGCCTCGGCCAACGGCCTTCTCTGGCTCCAGTGGGGAGGTGACGCCAACGCTCGTGCCTACGAATGAGCAATACTTCAACTTCTCAATAAAGCTTTTTCATCCAACTTTCGTTCTTTGAAAGAATAGTAGAAAATGGCAAGTGAAGGGCGAAAATTAAACGAAAATTGAGCCAATCAGTTTCTCCTTGGCGTCCCAATGTCTATTGCCTTCAAGGGAAATTCTATAAACTTCAGTGAAAACGTGCTTATTGTAAGATTCCAAAAGTTGGTTTCAAGTTGAAAAGCAGAAGATTTCTGGAGAAGATTATTTTGAAAGAAGTTTGATAGGCGCTATTTTCAAACTAGAAAGCTCACTGGCTGGGACTTGCAAAGTCTCGGTTCGGTATGTCAAAAAGTAATCTAGTCGACAATATAACCGCATTTCGGTGTATTTCAAAGTTCTAACGGAATGACCTTCTTGAAATGTTTTAGGAAATATAGCATTCCGGCTCAAATGATATATTTTTGAATTTTGTTTTGATCATTAAAATCTTCTCACAGAATCAAGAAGCCTTCAAGCTTTCTCAGGTCGCGGAATCCTTCATTTTTCCTTTAATCCTTAATTTTTTGGATTACCTGTGCCAAAGTCTTTGAACGTTCGATATCCAGAAACGCCTAATCGCTTTGATTTTTTTTTTCGGAGGCCAGGTAGTCAGAATCGGCTTCAATCGATATCGGAAAAGGCTCTTTGCCATGCGGTCAAAATTATGATCTAAGACGCAGTAATTCTTCACCGCGAGCAATATCGCTAGTCTCACGGTGCGATATCGCGGCTCTCTTGTGCTATATCGCTTTCTAAAAAATCTATTCGGTGTGTAAAAATGGCTACGACTCTCCGCGATATATTCAGTTGCGCTAGATGGAAGAACTACGAAATCTTTTCGATAATTTTAGTAAGCATTTCTGAATACTTTGTTTAACAGATCGCAGTTCAAAAATCATTCGAAGTTTTTTCAACTTGAAGATTTTAAAGAATATTTAGTTTTTCAATTCCAAGTTGATTCACAGCTTTTTGTTGAGGAAGAACTTATCAGCACAATTTTTCCTTGATGACGACGTTTTGTTACAAGTTTCGATGCCTTCTATGCATTTTCTCGTATGAACACTGTTTGGATGAAAAGCTTTATTCAGAAGTGGAAGGTACTGCTCATTCGTAGGCGCGAGCGTTGGCGTCACCTCCCCACTGGAGCCAGAGAAGGCCGTTGGCCGAGGCGACGAGGGCCGCGAAGACGGTGAGGACGGTGGAGGACGACATCTTCCGATGGATTCTAGGGGGAACAAGGACCTTTTATAGGAAGGATCTTGAAGATTCTCAAGAATAGGACAAATTGAAGAATGGGAACTGACTAAAAGTTCATGGAAGTATCTCAAGAATCGGTATGGTTCCCATTCTTCAATTTAACTGTTCCTTGAGAACTTCCTAGACGTTCCTATAAAAGCACCTTTTCCCCTCCAGAATCCATCGGAAGATGTCGTCCTCCACCGTCCTCACCGTCTTCGCGGCCCTCGTTGCCTCGGCCAACGGACTTCTCTGGCTCCAGTGGGGAGGTGACGCCAACGCTCGTGCCTACGAATGAGTATCTCCTTCAACTTATAAATAAATATTTTTCATCCAAAAATTGTTCATCGCAGAAAATGCATGAAAAACATCCGAACTTGTAACGAAACGCCGAGTCAGAAACGGCAAATTGCGCTGAATTGTCGTTCATCAGCGACGAGTTCTTTGCGATTTTCTTGCCCAAAAAGCATTTAGGTCGTCAAAAGATTCGAAAAAAAGATTTATGAGTCAGCTTCAATTCTTTCTTTTTCGATTCAGTCGGAATAATAGAGAATACGCAGAGACGTTTTAAAAATAGCAGAATTTTTTAAAAGATTCGCTTTATTCTCATTTCATTTTTTTTCGCAACGTGTGTAACATCTTTTTCGATTTGGAACGAATTATGTTTCTACAGACGTATTTTTTGTTTCTTTTTCATAGTATAGCGGAGAAAAATAAGCTTTCAAATAATTTTTTTATGTGAAAGAAATGAGTTATGGTTGCTACATTATCGGAAAGCGACAGCTAGAAATTTGCGATTTTTTTCTTTATAATTGTGTTCCTTAAGAAACATTATCTTGCTTCTTCTAAAGTTATTATCAATTTTGAAAGGAATCGATCAAATACCTGTAATTTTTTCGAAAAAAAAAAGCTGTTGGAAGTGTATTTTGTAAATGAAAATCATGATCTTTCCCAGAGGAAAACATTTATTTTCATGTTTGATCATGTCAGAAATAATTGTGACAATTACGACGTTTAAAATGAATTTCAAAAGATAAACCCCCGACAAAAAATAATCAAAAATGCCGAGTCTGATCTGGCCAAATATTTGATCTAACGGCGGGGAAGTCAAAGCGGCCGAGGTTCGAGAAGGATCTCTGGAGTGGCGCGAAATGTTCGGCGTCCCAAAAACAATCGTCATTCTGTTTTTTCTCCGTTCTTGGCAGGGTGTTGCTGCCGCTCGTCCTAATTTTTGAATTTATTATTGTAATTGGCGCCAATTTTACCTCTACGCCTTCAAACTTCCCAGCAAAATTTTGAAACGAGATGTATTTTAGGTTTTTATCATCGAAGCTTCTAAGATTGGACATTTTGATACCTGCTAAATTTTCTATCGACTTTTCTCGTTGAACAGTGTTTCGCGTTTATTTTCACATTCATTTTGTTCAAGTTCTTTTGTTTCAGGCGAAGCGGACGATTCTTTGAAGAGGCTCTAGGCGACTACGCGACGGTTAAAGATGCTTCCTGAAACAAAATATAAGTTTCAAAATTATTTACTGTTGCTAATTTGAAAATCTTCCAGAAAGGCCTAATTGCGGATGGGACAAATCGACAACGACTCGATCGGAAGGCCCGACTTCCGTCCACAGGATCTGAAAACGCGAGTAAGTTTAGGTTCGTTTGAATTTTTTGTTCGATTTCCTTCCTTTTTGGGATCGGAATCGTCCAAAAACTGGGGCGGCTGGGCGTTTTCCACTCAGGAAAGTTCTCGAAATCAATTAATTTAGGGAAAAAAACTTATTTCCATTTCTTGCCGCAATTTTTTTCAATTGCAACTTTTTTTTCAAATGTATTCATTTTCAAATTTCTTACAAGATTCTTCAAAAAGCATAAAGAAGCAAAGCCTGATTGAAACCATGTGGCCGGATATGAAAATGATTATTTTCAAATTTGTTTTTCTCTGACTTGTTTGAAGTAATTTTAGAGTAGAGGTCCGAAAATAAAGTTTGAATTTTTTTCAATGACTTCCCGTTTTTAAAACTAGGATAATTTCTTGTTTCTCATTCAATTTTTTTCGAATCAATTCCTTTAAAATTGAAACAACTCTTTATATATTTTTTTCAGATTTCGGTGACTTTTACAGAGTAGCCTGAGTTCTGATGACTTTTGACAAAAAAATTTTCATTCCAGTCAAATTTGAACGCTGTTTTCAGGCTTCATTTTATCATTTCTTCAAAAAGAAGCTTAAAAAGTAGATAATTTATTTGTTTTCGAGAGTTTTCCTGGGGAAAATGACCCAAGGTCGGCTCCTTTTTCTTGCCGAGAACTTGGGTGGGTGGTCGACTAACGGAGCAACCGTTCCGCCGATCCACTTTCGGAACTCTTGCCAATAAAGCGTTTTATTTTTCTAAATTTTTAGTTGTATTTTTGTGTTGCGGATCCAGATTTTGTTTCCGATTTCAGGCTTTTGAAGAGTTGAATCGCAAAAAAACCAACACTATAGGTCATTCCGCGCCAGCTTGTCACGATTTCCAGTTTATTTGGAGCTAGAGTAGCCTTTTTCGGCGCTTCGCTTCGATGCTCTCGGTGTGCCCTTTGCGTGCGCCTTTAATAAAAACTCTTTATTTCCGAATTTTTAGAATTTTCTTATTTTACAAAAAAACAGTTTTACATTAAATTTTATATTAAACTAACCCAAAAAAATAATATGCAAAAAAAGCTCGAACAGTCGGTTTCATTAATAACAATCAAAAATTATTAAATTAATCTTTTTTTGATTTTCCTTTTTTTACAAATCCAGCACAGAATCTGAGTGTGTATAGTTGAAGCGAAAAAAATGAATTCAATCCATTGAAAAAAACCTCGTAAATTAATAAAAAGAGATAGCGGAAATTGAAGTAATATCTTGATCAGAAATAATGTTTTATTAAAGGCGCACGCAGGGGGAACACCGAGAGCATCGAAGCGAAGCCCAGAAAGGGGTTCTGTAGCTCCGAGGAAAAATTAAAATCGTGACAAGCTGGCGCGGAATGACCTATACACAGTTTTGAAAAAAATTTCAGATACTTTTTTTAAATTTCGGAAAGTGTTGAATTATTTTTTTAAAAAAATTGCAACTTTTGGTATAATTTATCACGAAGTTCTACATTTAAAACTTCTGAAGAGTGACGGTTTGATGCGATTTGACTGCACGTATTGCATTAGATTATCAAAAAGGTTATTTTTTTATGATTGTGAGGCCACTTGTCTTTAAAATTTCTCGGTTAATTCGCTTTTTCAAAATTGAAAAAAAGTCTCTCATTATCCAGCACTTTCCATACATACACAAAGAAAATAATAACTTTTTTTATTATATATTTTCAAGCGTGTTTATAATCATTCATCTAAATATTGTTCAATAGTTCAAAAACTAGCGAATAAAAGTTCTTATCACTTCAGTGAAAAAAACACACAGCCAATGAGTTTGTCTTCATGTTTTGTTTCGAAAACGTTGAGAAAATTACAAAAATAAAAAAAAAATTCATCATGACTTGAACTTGTTATGAAAAAAGCTATTATCCGTTAGTGTATCGAGAATTTTTTTTTACTATTTTTCCGGATTTGTTCTTATTGAGATTTCGGTAGTTTAATTTGAATTGATTTGCTTCCTATCCTTCGGCGTTCGGTCTTAAAGTTCAGATCTGCAACGCAATTTGAGGAATTAAAATGTTTTTGTCCAAAGAATTTGTTCGGCAGAACGTTTGTATCCGTTAGTTTTTACTGGGAGTTTTCGAATGAAGGGTCAATTTTTTTTTTGTGAAGTCTCACAGGGAAGTCGAGAGAGAAGCTCCAAGATAATTGACAAATATATCGAGATCCGCTCAAAAAGTTGAGATTGTCAAGGGAAATGAAAAATGTACAAGTCCTCATGAAGTCAATGTTGGGGTTGACTTGGATTGCAAGTTTCTAATGAATTTTCAAGACTGGAAATATCTTCTTTTTTAATAGTCACGTAATTATTTGTGGTTGTTTTTTTGAAAGTTAGTGGAGTTGGACTAAAAAGGTGTTAGTTTTTGAATATTTACGAATTTCCTTGCTGGGAACTACTCGGACTCGGGTACGCGGATCGAGTTAAAACTTTAGTGGTTTATAGACCCAAGTAGGAATAATTGAAAACAAGTGAGAATATCTGCTAAATCCATTAGAGAACTGAGAAAAAATTAAATGAAAATGTGAAAATAGGCTTGAAAATTCTCCGAATACTGCTTTTTACCTTATTTTATATTTTAATATAATCGCCTTGAATGATCCGGCTATGATAAACTTTAAAGAACTTTTTTCCAGTCAAAAGAAGGAGGAAAGCAAATGTTTGATAATTTTCAAGTCTAAACTGTTCATTTTCAAAAAGCTTTTTCTCAGAAGCCCATGGGGTTTAGCAGATAAACTCTCTTGTTTTCAAGTACTCTTACCCGCGTCTATAAGCCACCAAAGTTTCAACTCGAAACGGGTACCCGAGTCCGAGTAGTTCCCTAGTTAGTAGTTTTCATTTCAAATAGTTTTTCCTTCACCATTTTTATTCAAGGGTCAACTCGCAAAATTTTAGGCCATTAGTATTCACCTTTTTGTTTTGATAAATTTTGCTTTCGATTCAAAAAAATTCACTTTTCTCAGATTTTTTTCAATTTAAAGTCAAAAAGGCTTGTTCTAAATGATTATTTCAATGAAAAAGTTTTGTCTGAAACTCAGAAGACTATTTTTCCAAGACTGATTGGAAAGTTCTCAAATCGCGAGCTTACCTTTGAACCCTGAGAAAGTTTTTTTTTTCAATTAATTAGCGCACTGAACTTGATAAAAATATTTAACTAACGCTCGGTTTTTTTTTACTTTACATTTTTTGAAGCTTTGAGCTTTACAAAAAAAACTTGAGCCGTGCTCAGAGTGATAACGCGAAATTCGAAACAGCCGTCAGAGAAAGAAAAATATAACTAAATTTTTGGAGAGTCAGATAATTTTGCACCATTGAGAGACGTCCGTATTAGAGCTTTAGTAGTAAAACACTTCCAAAAAACTTGTAACGAGAATTCCTCAAAGACTTGCAAATCAAAGCTTCAGCATTGATTTCAGAAGATCCGACTTTTTTGTTTGCATAAATTGTCCAAAGGCATCTTTGCCATTCACTTGATCATTGAGTCAGTCGAGCGCAACACTCTGAGCGGCCCCTGATGGACTTTTTAATTATCAGAGAGCTTTTCTCTTGGGTCCTGTGTGAGACTTGCAAAAAAAAAAATGAGACTCTTTATTCGAAGGCTTCCAGTCAAAAAGGCCATTCACTCAGGCCTTGGCAAGAAAAAAGGACTCGGCTTTGGGTCATTTGTGGAAGGAGTCCAGGACGCTCCAGCTTTTGGAGGGTTCACAGATCACAAGGGAAGGAAATCAGCGGGGCTAATGGGGAGGGTTTCAGGTCGAGTGATGTGACGGGATGGATGCCGGTCGAGACGCGAGCCGGGATGGATGCCGGACGACGTCGTACTCCGAGGGCGGCATTGAACCGGACACTCTGAACCATGATTTTTAATAAAGAATTCTCCTCCCCCTTTTGTTCTTGGTTTTGTCCGGCAGGGTCAGAGCCGCTGCCGGACCTGGGGTTTCAGGTGCCGGGTAGACATTCCGATCTCGAGCTCCACACCCCGCCGTTGAAGTCTGAGGCGGAGTCTCCAGCCAGAGCCTTAAGGGCCTAGGCCAGAGACCTCAGCCTCAGACCCCACAGGCTGGCTGCGGAGTCCGAGCCGGACGACTGACTTCGGGCTTCACCGCCCTCTGGAGGACGGTGGAGCTCGAGGCCAAGTCTTTGGTAGGTGGCTTGAGGCCTGGTGAGGGTCCTGTCAAGCGAGGCTTCTTTTACCTCCACGCTCGTCATTTGCCATTGCCATTGTCCTACAAGGTCATTCATGCTGATCTTGTTTCACCACGACTTCCAAGCTTCATCCTGAGAGCTCAAGCTCGCTCCAAATCCTTCGAAAGGACATGATGTACTTGTGCTATGTTGAAAAGGTGCTCTCAAAGTTTTTTTGTTGTTGAATGAAAATATAAGTCTCCCAAACTTGAAGCTTTTGTTGAACACGTCTTGCGCTTCTCTAGTCCACTCAAGTCAATCACATAAAACATCTAAGCTTCTAAGGTTGTGAAAAAAAAGAAGAAAGTTTTCAGTTCGACCTTCCAAAAATTACAGAAGGAACACATTTTTGAAGTCCGTTTCAAGAAAAATAAATTTTTTTTTTCAAGTATTTTTCTAGTGCTGATTGACCCTAATGAACCTAAGAAGAACTGCAACAAGCGTTTCAAAAAAGCTTGAAAATTTCAAGTTTTAGAACATTTGCAAGTTCATCTGCAAGGCTTTTTTTTTGAGGCATAGCTTCTAGTTTTTTTTTAAACTACACCAAAGACTTGATTTCTTCTGTGTATCGATGAAAGCACTTAAAAAGAGATGAAGAAGTTGTCTTTGAAAAGAAAATTCTACTGAAAACAAAGTTTTGGTGACTTGAAATTACTATGAAGTAAAAAAATCTCTCAAAAAAACGTCAAAGTTTTTTTTGACTAATTGAATGAAGAATTGCGTTTTGAAATCTTCGCCAATTTGAAACAGTCAATATATTACCTTTTGAGCTCTAAAAAACTGCAAAAAAAAATTTTTCTCAAATATATGTAGAAAGTGAATACAAAAAAAGTAGAAAATACAATAAATAAGTTTTTAAATAACAGTTTTGCCAAAAGTCAAAGTTTTTTTTTTTTGACCGTTATTTATGACTGTATTGGAATGGAGAAAACTTTAAAACGCAAAACTCTAATTTAAATTCAAAACAGAAGTCTTGCAGGTGAACTATGAAACATCTAAAGAGTCCAAAATTCGAGAGCACTTTTTTAACAAGGCACAAGTCTTGCATGTTCCATTCAAATGATCTGAAGATCAAATAGAAAGAGTTCGAGCTCAAGTTGGCTCAGGATGAAGCTTAGAAGTTGTGATGGAGCAAAGGAGCAGGAATGCCCTCACAAGACACTGTCAGGTGGCGCCCGAACCCACGCAAATGTACGCAATTTATTGATTGTTTGAATAAGACCATTTTAACATTCAAAAAAAAAGCATTAAAAGTTTGAAAAAAAAACCGCAATAAGCTCATGAACTTTCAATTTGTCCGCTTCATGGATTTCTAAAGCTCAATTTTGCTAATACCAAGAATATCAATGAAAAAAATGGTTCAGGTTTCAAAAAGTTTTTTTAAATCGAAAAAAACATGAATTTATAGAAAGAAAAACATTTCGTGAAGCGGCCAAGTTCGAAAGCCCAAATAACCCATTGCGGATTTCCTTGTTGCAAAAAGAGTAAGTACTCAGTAAAAAAGTTTGAAAAAAAGAAAGTAAACTCTAAAAAAATTGAATGAAATTCCGTTAAATTTTGGTAAAATGTAACAGTTTCGACTAAAAAAACAACTCGCAAAAAAATACCCTTTGAACTATCAAGTTAAATTAAAAACTGAATCTTCATCAAGATCCGAACCTTCGTCGTGAGTTTAAAAAAAATCAGTTTCTGAACCACTAGACCAACCAGCAAATTGAGTACATTCCCATGAGCTCGGGAATCATATCAGGTTGTGTACAAATAAATCTCGCCTTTTATTGAACAATACCAATTGACAAAAAGAACCTATGTTAATCAACTTAGGAACCTTTAAAAAAATATATCTCAAAGAATCTCGAAAAACTGACATCTTGGACTAACTACCTGAGAAACAAAAAAATACCTGAAATTTTAAGATCCAGCTAGAAAAAATCAATGATCAGAGTATCCCTATCTACCTAAAAAAACCAGAAGCTAGCTAAATTCACATCAACATGAACGAAGATTGTTGCATATACCTGAAATAAAACTTTAAAAGCTAAGGTTTATGAATGAATGAATGTTTATTTCGCTCACAGACAGATCTGTGGCGTGGAGGAAGAGAACCATGAAAGTTATATTTGCCTCCACTTCGATAAAGTTCCACTTTAATCTAAAAAAATATTTTAGGTCGAAATCGAAGAGAATCAAAAAAAGAAAAAGTAATCTATAAACGAGTTGAATCATTTTTGTGAAATTTGCAGCTTCCTTATTTATCATCTATATATGAAGTCGAATGTATGAAGATTTATAGTCTATCAATAAACTCAGGTCTTTTTTTATTGTAATTGGAATTCTAAAAATTTCAGGCAAGAGTAAAAGTGTAAAAAGGAACAAAAATTTTCTTATTTTTTTCTTTGATGAAGTTCTCGTTCTTTCCAATCGAAAGTGTTGTATGAAAATACGGCAACCTGAACCTAATTGTGGACTTAAATCTCCGTAAACTCGACCTAACGCATTCTAAATATTGTTGTCACTCACCCTAAATTTCTATCTTCACAATAAATTCTTAAAGCTAAAAGTAAACAATGGACAGAACTACATAAAGGCCTAACTTTGAGATCAGTGCTGATCCATCTTCAATTTCGATTCAGCTTGAGAATTTGCGGCATTGAATACAACAGAAAATTAGGGAAAAAACTGAATTACTGCGCGAAGTATTTTTGATTTCATCCGGATCATGAGAAGCTTGGATATAGCACTGATCTGAAAAAAACAAAAAAACTAAAAACTTGGAAAAAGTGAAATTTATTTTTTTACACAACCCAATATACTGAACGCCATCTTCGAATCGACGAGCTTGGAAGGGAAAAGAAGCCGCGCCCCACAGTACCCCCACTCCACAGAGCAAAAGCCGCATGTATGCTCGGCTGAAGCCGGCGAGAGAGCACGGCATTTTAGGAGACGCCAGACTACAGCTTTCCTCTTTTGTGATGCTCTCTCTGACCGGACAAAAGCCAAGGATACAGTCGTCTTTTTTTCTGCGCCACCACCGACCAAAGACGCCGGCAACATTCACCCCACGGACAAGAGACGGACAAAAAACTTTTTTTCTTCTAGAAAGTTCATTCAACTCGTACTATAAAAAATAAATCTAGAAGGGTAGATGATGTCGCATGAAACTAAAACTGAACCTGAACACTCAAAGAAAAAAAACTATAAAAAGCATAAAACGCAAAAAAAAAAATTAAGAGGGTAGGTATTTTTTTAATCAAGAAGTTCATGACGAAATTAAAAAAATAATAAAAACTATAAAAAGTATGAACTTATGGGTCAACATGTCAAGTGGAGAGCTAGTATTTTTTTCAAAAAAAGGCTTCTCAAAAATAAAGTTTTTTTAATACGGAAAAAAACTGAATGTTTTAAGATTTTAAGAACAAACTGACGGCTTGACAAGTCGACCTTTTTGATAAACGATTTTTAAAACCTCACCTAGTAAAATTCGAAAGAAACATTTGAAAAAAGGATGATCAGAAAGTTGTGCGACGCGGTCGCGTAACGGTTCAAAACGCTTGTTGAAACTCTTTTGTGGCTTTAATAAACTTAATGTCATCATTTCGAGCCGAAAACTGGTTTTTTTTTTTGCAAAACTCCTTTTTCATAATAAAAAACGGCTCAAAGGAATGGAAAAAAATAAATGCTTTTTGTATGAAAATGTAAAATGACTAAAAAAATTGAGAACGGCTTTTGAGTTCGTTAACTAGACTTGTTTGCAGCTGACGGCTTGACAAGTTTACCCCTAATAGAAGAAAAAAAGTAGGAAAAATATAACAAAAATTACTGTAAGAACAAAGTTTAAAAAAATCAATTTTGAAGAAAAATTGAAAGGATGTGAAACCGCAGCGCGACCGCGTTGCTTCTAGTGAAACAGGACGGAATTTTTCGAAAATTATATGCGGGCCTCATGCGATATCACCCAGAGGTCTAAATTGAAAAGTCTGTAAATAAGGATTAAAAAGTTTGAGTCGAACTTTCGAGAAGAGAAACAATTTTTTTCAATTGACACAAAAACTTTCCACGTTGAGAAACGTCGGTTTTTAGGAAGCCGATCAAGAAATACATTTTAAAAAAATGGGAAATTTGAATCTTCAAACGTTCCTCAACGCAAAATAAAACATTAAAACTTTTGAATTTTATACCATCCAGTCGAGGCGTTGAAAACGTCGTCGGAGTCGCCATCCATCGGTCCTCTGGCAGCAGGGGCGGCCCTTCTGAAGAAAATCAATTAAAATCAACAAGTGATTCAATTTATCTCGCGTGAAAAGCCTGCAAGGATAGTTAGAAGAGCTTTGATTACATGATATTCAAATAATGAATTTTTCTTTTCATACCGAAAAACCTAAATTCGACGATTCGACGCGAAAACTCAATGAAAAAGTTATAAAATTATTCTTAATTACTTAAATTGCAATAAAAGTGCAAAATTTCTAGAAGGTCAGTTTTCAGAAGGTCAACCTCGGCCGCTTTGACTCCCCCGCCGTTAGATCAAACAAAAAAATATTGCTAAAGGAAAGTTCAAAGGCGCAGAGGTGAAATCTTTGAAAGTTACGTGGCGAATAATCGATCCCATTGCTGTTCAAATTCTCTGCGCCTTTGAAAAATTCCTGAAAGGATAATTAAAAAACTAATCACATTAAATTTGAAATAGGAAACACCTTTTGGATAGAAAAACAACAATATGACGCCTAAAAAATTCAAAAAAATTTAGAAATATGCAAAACCATCGAGAAAATTGAAATTATACAATCAAACTTTACAAAAAAACATCAATTACAATAGTAAATTCAAAAATTAAGACGAGCGGCAGCAACACCCTGCCCAGAACGGAGAAAAAAAAGAGAATGACGATTGTTTTTGGGACGCCTAACCTTTCGCGCCACTCCAGAGATCCTTCTCGAACCTCGGCCGCTTTGACTTCCCCGCCGTTAGATCAAATATTTGGCCAGATCAGACTCGGCATTTTTGATTATATATTTTTTGTCGGGGGTTCATCTTTTGAAATTCATTTTGAACGGCGTAATTGTCACAATTATTTCTGACATGATGAACCATGAAAATACATAATTTCCTCTGGGAAAGATTATAATTTTTCATTATCAAAAACACAGTTTCAACAGCTAAATTTTCGAAAAAAATTACGTTTATTTGATCGATTCCTTTCAAAAATTGATAATAACTTTAGAAGAAGCAAGATAATGTTTCTTAAGGAACACAATTATAAAGAAAAATCGCAAATTTCTAGCTGTCGCTTTCCGATAATGTAGCAACCATAACTCATTTCTTTCACATAAAAAATTATTTGAAAGCTTATTTTCTCCGCTATACTATGAAAAAGAAACAAAAAATACGTCTGTAGAAACATAATTCGTTTCAAATCGAAAAAGATGTTACACACGTTGCAAAAAAGAAAGAATTGAGAATATATGCGAAATTTTAAAAAAGGGCTTTCATTCGTACTATTTCTCGGATAGTTATCTTCTAAAGGGTGTAAAACTGAAAAAGAAACGAAATATAAAATGAAGAAAAACAGTGTTGGAATGTTACCAACATGGATATATATTTTCTTTTCGATGAGAAGAATAACATATTTTGGATTAAAAAGCTTTATTCAGAAGTGGAGGTGGGTCTCATTCGTAGGCACGAGCGTTGGCGTCACCTCCCCACTGGAGCCAGAGAAGGCCGTTGGCCGAGGCGACGAGGGCAGCGAACACGGTGAGGACGGTGGAGGACGACATCTTCCGATGGATTCTGCAGGGAAAGAGGCACTTTATAGGAAGAATCTAGGTCGTTCTCAAGGAAAAGTTAAATTGAAGAATGGGAACCATACCGATTCTTGAGAAACTTCCATTAAATTGTAGTCAGTTCCCATTCTTCAATTTATCATCCGTTGTGAAATCCTAAATTCTACCTATAAAAGGCCATCTCCAGTGACGCCAAAATTCGCGCCTTCGAAAGAGCATACTTTGGACAAATAAAACTTTTTCCATGCAATTTTAGTGTGATCAAACAAAAAGTATGACGAAGGGTCTGAAAGGAAAGAAAAGTCTGAAGATGGGAAAAAGAGAGGTAGCAAAAAGGGTGCATAAGAGTCGATAAACTGGCGTAAAAAGCCATCAAAAAAAGAGCTTTTGTCACCCTAAAAGGAACATTTCTATGGAGCCTTTTTCGACCTTTTGGGCTTCACCTATGAAATCAGAAAGGAATAGTTCATAGTCATAGTGAGCCATAAAAACAAAAAGTTGATCATTTTGAGACTTTGCCAAGATTTTTTTTGGGGGAGACTTTCAGGATCTTTACCTGGTACATCAAGGAGTATGTACATCGATTTTCAGGAAACTCTCAGCCGCGGAGAAAATTTTTCTTTTTCGTCAGACTTCATAAGAAATTTTTTGGAAAACGAAATTGAACCCTGATCTAATGATGACCAGACATTGGTTAAACAATAATAGATCATTGAAACCAACTTTTTCTGAAAAAAAGTTCCTTTGGGAGTCTGAGTTTGCTAATTCGACGGAAAAAGGTTGGGAAAGTACAGATTAGAAGTCACCTACGTCACAAGTTTCTGATTTTAGGTTGCACTTTCCCATTCCCAGACACCACTTGTTAATATTTTATATAGAGAGTAAAAATAATTGGATCTGATAAACTCCAAAAAATATCATTATATTCGAGATATGGACCCAATAAAGCTGGTTTTCATGTCGTTTCACACAATTTTGGCTCTGATTGGCTGTTCCTTCAATTTGCTCTTGATCTACATTGTTGTATTCCATTCTCACCCTAGAATCAAGACTTATTCTATGCTTATTTTAAATTTCGCGGTCACGGACTTCCTGACTTGTTCTTTTGATTTTTTCGTGCAGTTGAGGTGAGTTCTGGGTTCTTCAAACTGAAAAAAAAAAATAGATTTTCCCATGTGATTACAGTTTTTTGCTTGAAAACACGCAAAAAAGTTGTATTTTTGGAGAAAAGGGGATTTACTTGTCTTAGAATAAAAAATATAATTTTTTTAGGTTGGTACCGATCGGCTGGTCTCTCGTTTACATTGCAAATGGCCCTTGTCAATTTTTCGGTCATAGCGCCTGTTTTCACGGGTTTTTCTTGTTTTAAGCAGTAATGTAACCACTTTTTCAGCTTCAACATCTGTTTCTATCTCATCACTCACAGTCTTTACTCTCTGTTATTCTCCTTTTCTTATAGATATTACATTCTTACGCATAATGCTCCGAAAAGGTCTACATTATTGGGCTTTTTGGCCTTGTTTTCCCTCCCATCGTTCTTGCAAATGGTATTTTTTTACCTGAAAAAAAATCTTTTGCGCTCCATGGGCAATATTTGAACTTTAAATTAATCGTCGTAGTTACTTTTTTGAAGGAAGTTTGGAAGTGAAAACTCTAAAGTTTTTTTTAGCTGCTCAGGAAAATTTTCTGAAGTTTTCTCATGGAGCGCATGACTTCCTGCTCTTGAAAGCTATGATTTTTCATATCCAATTCCAACCTATTCCAGCTTCCTTCTTTTACTTCCGAAGGATCACCAGAAGAAATGAGAAGGATCTTACATCTTGAATTCCCTGAATACGATGTGGAAAACCTGGTAGTCACTGGGATACCAAATGTTTGGAATTTCAAGATGTTATTTCTCTTGTCTGTCGGGATACTTCCGGTCCTGCCATTTTACGTGATAATTATCGTCCTTCGTCGGAAGATCATTAGACAGATATACAATGAGCACACTTGCGTACGTGCAGAATCCAGAAGCGCTCAGCAACAGTTTTTGAAGGTTGGCTGAATTTTTTTTAGGAGATTGAGAGAAGCAGCAATGAAGCTCAAAAATCGTAGAAAAAAAATCTATTGGTGCCTTTTAAAAAGAATTCAAATGAAAAAATGGTATTAGAAAAAATTGAAAACACCTCAGACGTCAGAACTTCTCACGGATCCTTTCCAAAAAAAAAAATCTCAGGCTACTAACTCTGAAAAGACATAGAAAACTAGAAAGAAGGCATATGAGCAGTGGATCAGCCAAGTTTCATCAAAATTTCAACCAGGGCTAAAAACGCTCCCAGAGCGCAAAGCCCCGCCCCTTCACGCCACCAAAATGACGATTTTTTTGTTGCAGAAACGGTTTTGAGGCGTTTATACTAGCTAAAGTTCCCACTTTAAAAATTGAAACTGTTTCTGTTAATCTATGTAATCGACAATGCTCTACAAGACTGAAAAACTTTTTAAACTATGTATTTTTTTCAAAAAAATAAGCGAAAAAAAGTAAGATTTAACACGAAAAAAACTGACAAGTTTCACAAAATCGTCGCGTTTCAGAAAACCAAGTGAGGAACGCTTCTGAATTTTGAGTGTGTTATACATTAACACTTTCTTCATTTTTTGAATAAAAATAAAAAAAATCTAACGACGCGAAAAAAAAATCGAAGCTTGTAAAGTGACACCAAACTTTGAAGCTGAAATGCGAAAAAATTTCAGCGACATGGTATACTTTTTATTTGATTTAAAAACTAACAGTGTGTCCAAAAATGAAAATTCAAAATGAAAATAATTATTGGGACAGTGAATCAAATTAAATTTGGATTTTACCAAAACCTCCTTTTTTCGTCTGCCTCGTTGACGCATGAGAGAATAGGATCGCGTTTATACTTTTGATCAGGTTATTAAGCGTTCAAAACTCTATCAATGGAAAAATTATGAAAAAAATCAAACGACGCGAAAAAAATAACGGCTTTGAAAACCTCGAAAAAATGGCAATTTTTTTGAAATTTTGGAAGAATTCGTGCAAGCGTTCGTAGCTGTGTTTGCGTCAAACACACCGATGCGCCCTTTTAAATGTCGCAGGAGCCGTTTTTCGGAGTCAAATTGCACATTTTCCTGTTTTATTTCGAAATAACATTATTTTTCATTTTTTCTTTTTTCCAAACTGAATGATAATAATTTTTCTGATTAGAAAAAAGAAGAATAAGCTGAAAATTCCTTCTGACCTTTTTTCTAGGTAGTTTTTTGATATTTTATCAAAAATTCTTATGAGGATTGTACAAAAGATTCATATCAAAACATGAAGCTCAGTTCTGACAACCTCTCAGAACAGAAAACCGATTTAAAAACGGTCCAGAAACGCGCAAAAACATTTAAAAAGAAAGCGTGCGGCAGCGGGTAAACCGTGAGATTTCGCCTCCAGTTGAACGCCGAGCGCGCTAGTTTTTTGGCCATAACTTTTTTCTTAGTGGAGCTTTTTTCTAAAACTGAACGGATTATGAAAATGGACAGTCTCCTCTATCGAACAGTGTAAAAAACATATTTTTTGGATCGTTTTGAAGAAATGGCTTGCGGACCCTACCCAGAATAATTAAAAGTCATCAGAATTCTTTTCCAGGCGCTAACCTACCAAGCAAGCATTCCGATGTTCAACGTGATTGCCGTCTACACATACGCCGCCGGCCAATTAAAAATTATCAACCATCCAGTTCTAGAATATGCCCCGGCCACATCCATGGTGCTCATTCCCGTGTTGACCCCACTAGCTTCTTTGTACTTCGTTCGGATCTATCGAAACAAAGTCCTGGACATTTTTGAGACCATCTTTCCTTGTTTTGCCACGAAAAAGCCGGTTACTTTGACCCCATCTTTACAACATCATTCAAGCCATTTTTAGCTTCTTGATAAAATAAATTGAGAAGGCTTGAATTTCGCACGCGGAATAGCTCAAAGAATCTTGAAGTTCCGCGATTTGAGACTTCCCGATGCTCTCTCGCGAAAGTTTTTCAGATCTGGTTAAAATTTTTAAAAATTCCCGTCGAGCCATTCCACGCGCGACCACAAGCTTAACGTAAAATGAGATATTCTTTTTCTACGAATTTTTGGTTTCTAGAAGTTCCATTATTTTTTAAAAAGAAGAAGGAAAAACTTAATTTTAATCTTGTCAATTTTTTCTCCGAAATAAACATCTTCCCGGTTTTTAAAGTTGTCCTATTCCCATTACTAACGCCAATCTAATGTGTATCAGGACAATTTTTAACTTCAAAGTTTTTTTTTAGGAATACATTTATCTGCCTCAATGATTCGGTCGCTCTTTCATACTACATTTACAGCTTTGTGAAGTTTAATAAGTTCGCACATTTATTGGCTTAAATAAACTGCGCCCGACCTCAAAGCGACTTGCGCAATGTTCAGTTCCATTTCTCGCGACTATGACGTTTCAAGGTTCTTAAAAATTGTAACATTCAAGTTTCTTTTTATTGCTACTCTTGTTGATTTCCATATGCTTTTCTCATTTAAAATAAAAAATGATCATTGAAAGTCTAGACGCAATTATTGACAACAAGACATCCAAATAGATTGCATAAAAAAACCTGGTTGTTCAACTAATTATCCTCTTCAGAAGAATCTGGAATCTGAAACTAATAGGTCCCGAGAAACTTCATTAAAAAAACAAGCAATTAATTTTTCGCGAAAAAAAGAATGTGGAGTCTTGGAAAAGTTATCAGATAAAGTTGAAAAAAAGTGAACTTGTTAATGGAAACTAACATATGATGATAGATTAAAATTTAAATTGAAAAAAACAATTATTTTATTAAATAGTCCCCTTTGTAAACCCAAGAGAGAAGTGGACACGAATCATGGAACATACGTCAAAGTTTCTTGGAAAAAGTTCCCGGGTGACCTTTTTGAGGCAAATTAATAGAAATGATTTTTTTTTTAGTTTTTAATGAGACTCTAAAGTGCAGTTTTTCATGTTTTTTTTAATCGAACAGCTTTTTTTTTTTCAAAAATGTCCCTTCTCTATGTTATTTCACTGTCCTTCAATCTAAACGGTCGCATTTGGAATGGCTCAAAACTTAAGATTTTAAGACTGTCTTCTTTCATTTTCAATGTTACTGTTCGCAAGTCGTTTTAGGTCGGTTGCAACTGTACTTTAGCTCTTACTTGTCAAGCGATTCCAATTGCGTCTACTCACACAGAATTTCCATTAGATTTTGAAAGTCTTGAGCTTTAAAAATAATGAAAAAAAACCCAAAAATCGAACCATATGGTTGTTTTTAAAAAGAAAGTCAATAAAATGTTTCATTACAGTTTCCTTTTTAAAAAAATTTGAAAAATCATGTAATCTATCAATTGAAAGTTAGGCATTGCTCAGAACCTCGCTTTCAGTGTCTCGAAATTAATAGTGAAACTTCCAAAAACCTCAAAAAATCTAATTTTGTCAGCCCACCTCCTTGATCGATCTTCATAAAATTAAAAGGCAAAAAAGTTCCTATGAATGATGTTTTTTTACGTGACAAGTTCTGCAATTTAATAATCGACAGACAAACGCGTGGAATTTGCAGTAAGAAAAAAAAAGAGTAGGCAAATTGAGACGAAAAGCTAATTTAATGTCGTTTTCGCCCTAAATTTTCTTGGAATTATGCTCCAAATTTTTTTTGTTTTTGTGTGTAAAGCACCTTTATAGTTATTTCAAAAGTCTTTCCGTATATGTATAGTTAGAAACTTTGTAGTGGTCATTAGAGTGGTCACAGAGAAATCTAGAGAGGTCTAGAAACTCGAAACTATATAAAAGCCACTAGAAATTTCTTTTCTAAAAAGGTTCCTGCGAAAATTAAAACAACTCATGGGTTTCAAAAATTCTGATTTTAAAGGAAACTTCTATGAACCGTCTAAGTTCTACTCTCTGAGATTTTGTAGAAAAAACAACTTTTCAAAAGTTATCGTAGTGAAGTTTTGTTATTTTCGCCTAATATCTCTCAAAACGTGTCGGGACCTTTTTCTAGAACTTATACCTGCACTTTGACCAGTTACGGTTTTCCCAGTATTTTCACTCTACTTTGAACTCCTACAACATAGATCGCAACTCGATGTATTTATTTACAAAACTATTCTCAACGTGAAAAAAAATTGTACTTTCCCATTCTCATGGTGTTTTCTTTTCGTTTTTAGATCCGATCAACGGCCGTTTATTGGAGCGTGTTGTAGGGTCAAAAAAAGCTTGCTCATTTTAGAGGTTCAAGACATATTAGTTCATTCTACAAACATGGACGTGACGAAGGCCGTCTTCACGACTTTGCACACGATTCTCGCCTTCGGCGGCTGCTTTTTCAACCTTCTTCTGATCTACGTCGCTCTTTTCCATTCACCGAGTAAAATTAAGACCTATTCGACGCTGATCTTGAATTTCGCTGTGACGGATCTACTCACCTGCTTGGTGGATTATTTTGTCCAGTTGAGGTGAAATTTTGGCTAACTTGATCTTCATGATTTCTTGCTGGAATGCTTCAAAGAACATAGACAATTTTAATGAAGATCCCAGAGCATAAAGCTATTTTTTTAATGATCGTTTAGGTGAGATAAGAAGTTCGCATCTCTCGATATTTCAAAAAGCGTTTAGGAGCAACCTGATACACACATCAAAATCGAAATCAATGAACTTTAGCTGATCGTATCAAAAAAAAAAAAAATTGAAAAGCAAAACAGTCCGATGAAAGTCTCTAGAAAGTTCATTCTTGATCTGTCGAGAGGTAAGTTATTTGTTGAACTAACGTTGGAATAGTTGTTGAAAAACTTCAAAATGCAACCGACGTAAAGCGACTTGCGCGTGGCGAAATCAGAAAGCAAAAAAGCGAGCCGTTCCATCTCAATCAAGTTAAAGACTAAGCGCAACGCCACAGCGACGCTTCAAGCCATTCCACGTGCGACAAATAAATTCAAAGTCACGGCAAACTAAGTAGGGGTGAAGACTGTAGAGGATGGAAACAGAAGTTTTAGAAGGTAAATTCGAAAACATTTTCAGAATGATCCCCACTGGATGGTCGGTTATATACATTGGGAACGGCGCTTGCCAATATTTCGGCCATGCTGTCTGTTTTCACAGGTTAGTTAGTTCAAAATAAGATTTTCGTTAAAGTTTTCCTACCTTTAGTTACAATTTTGTGCTTCATCTCATCACTTATGGTCTTTACTGCTTATTACTGTCATTTTCATACCGATATTATATTTTGCTTCACGCGGCGCCAAAGAGAAGAACTGTCTTGATGTTTTTGTTGCTCGCTTATTTACCGTCGTTCGTAATGCTGGTCGGTTTTAACTAGATACAAATATAAATCTCTAAGGATAGAGAAAAAGTATATAAAAGTTAAAACAAGCTTTGCAAGAAAAAGAGCGTGGGAGTTAAAGAGACGCAGAAAGATATTTATTCTTCAAGATTTTCTTCCGTTCTCACAAACATTTGCTTGCGTTTAAAGATTAGAAGATCGTTTTTTGTGAAAAGGAGGATATCTAAAGCTTCATAAACGAGAGAGCGTGAGGAAAAGAGATACGCCTGAGAACCAGGGACCTGGGTTTCTTTGGTCCACACGCTCTTTCTCTTTTTCTAGAAAATTTTCATTGAAACCGTCTTTCTAGCTTTTATTTATAGTCCATTGTTCTTCATAAAAACAGTTCAAATGTCTTAAAAACTTGGAAAATATGAAAAACCCTCATAAATATTATTTTTCAGGTCCTGTGCTCAACTTTACAAGCACCTCGAGAGAAAATGGAGAAAATCCTCCGACAAGGCTTCCCTCAATATGACATCCAGAATGCGGTTATCACTGGGATCGAAAGTGTGTGGAACTTCACGGTTCTGCTGATTATTATGATTGGAATGTTCCCTGTGGGAATAATTTATGGGATTATTCTGATTCTTCGCAAGAAAATCATCAACAAACTCAACTTTGACTACGTTAGCAGCCGGTCAGAGACCAGGAGCATGCAGCAGCAGTTTTTGAAGGTCAGTTAGTCAAAAAGTTGAAAAAAAAATGGTTTTTATCAGTAGAGCGCATATGTAAAAGATCGAGGTCTTTTCATTTTCATAAACCAACTGTGAAGATGATTTCTTTTTAAAAACGTTTTTATCGGTAGAGCGCCAATCGTAAGTTTTTTAAGGCCATGTTTGTATCAATTTTCTGTATCCTTTTTTTGATCAAAAACCTAGCAAACATGATCTTTTTAGTCGCTGATCTATTGGAGCAAAAAATAATTTGGAAAATCGTATCTTCTGTCCATAGATGAAATAATTTTCAAGGTTTTCTCAATTTTGTTTCTCAGATGGCTAAAACAGAGGGCAAGAGAACAAAAAAGTCTAGGCTGAACTTCCTTGATGAGATTTCAATTACCAACAAGTCTTTCTAAAAATTTCAATACGAGCTCGAGCCTTGATAATGCGAACCTGTTGCGGATCACTAGTGTCGAGACATTTTTAGTGGCCACTTTAGTAGCGTCAACACTCTTACTTGTCCCCTAGAAGTACTCAAAAAGTACGAGGCGTGTCCGCTTCTCATTACCGGGGTCCGAGAGAATATTGCTATAAGTAGGGACCGCAACCAAATTTTCAAAAAAATGTTCGAGCGTCAATATTACTATGGTTGAATAGCTGCTCCAATTTACTATTCAAAACAGTTCAGTTTTTAAAAAAAGGTTGAAAACAAAAAAAGTTATGGTCAAAAAAGAAGTGAAAAATGTCGCGAAATTTAGTACTGAAAGTTTAGATTTTACACTTTTGGTCGTTCATTTTGTTTTCATATCGGATTTAAATTTTTTTAGTAGTTTATTCCGGTTTTCAAAGTCATAATAAGTCATTAAAACAGTATAAAACCACAAGTTTGAAGAGAAAAACTATTTTTTCATTAAAAATTTAAAAAATGGCCGCTGTGAGGATCGAACTCGCGATATCAAAACTTTATGCAAGCGCACTTGTGCTGCTCCACGTCCATCCCTCAGAGATGGGAAGCGTTCGCGCTATACACCACTTCACCTCAAAGTACAGCATTTACCGACAATCTTGTTCAAAAAAAAGTTATGATAGTTGAACAATTATTAGTCACGTGTGTTCGGACCACTTAAAAAAATAATTTATTCATAAAGATTCAATTCAAAAATACCTCCCTTTTTCGGCGTTTTTTTGTTATTTTTTTAACGTTGGCTCCAAATTAACAATAATTAAACTTTTTAGGCACCGCTAAAAATTTTTTTATTTTATTTTTTTAATTGATTGAAAAATTGAGATACGCTAATATTTAAGAAATAAAAAAAGGCGCCAACGACATCTGACCATGCTAAAATGAATTTCGAAATTTTCACTGTCTTTTTTTCTCAGAAAACAAACTTTTCGGAATAAGTTTTATACTAATAAAGTTTTAGTTACAATTTAATGCACAAGTTAAAAATAAAATTTTTTTACTTACACGCTCTCGAAACCGAGTAAAACATTTTCAACTTTGCGCGGCCTCACAAAGATTAGGCACCGTAAAAAAATTTAATTTTTTTTATCTTAAAAGATGTGTTTTTTTCACTTAAAAAAATCGAATTCGAAAAATAAAAAAAGGCGCCAACGACATGGAACTAGGTTAAAAACCCGAAGAAAAAAAGTAGTTTTGGTTTTTCGTACGACACTCCGCTAAAACGCTTCGAAAATCGGGTGAAAAGTATATGAGATTGAAGAGGAAGGTTTTCTCTATGTTTCCACTGATTTTCTCTGTGTTTGGTTCAGTATTGTGCTTTTACGAAAACATCAAACACAAAATCTAAAAAACCAGTGCATTTCACCATCGCAAAAAGGGGCGTGGCTCTGCGGTCTCTAGCTATAAGAATAAGTTTTACAATATAGCGCAAAAGTCAAGACTTTTGAGGTTTATCTTGTTAGAATGTCATTACAAAACCCTGAACTTCTCGATTTGGTATCTCTTTTTTAGTAAAGGTCAATCTGATTTTAAGAGCCGAATTTTCCAAAAGTTTCCTAACCAACTTCTTCTCAAATTGCAACCGAACCTTCCGAAATAGTCTACTTTCAGGCCCTAACCTACCAAGCGTGCATTCCGATGTTCAATATGATCGTTGTGACAAGCTACGCTATCGGTCAATTGGAAATCTACAATCATCCGGCTCTGGAGTACACCACGGCCGCAGCAATGGTCTTCATCCCCGTCCTAACCCCGCTAGCTTCCATTTACTTTGTCCATGCCTATCGAGAGAAGGTAATGTGTATGCTAGGTCTGAAGTCCCCCCAAGTAAATCCCTCGCAATCCTCTGTCGCTATTGTATCCAGCTCCTCCTCGTGTCGAGATAATGAGCACTGACTGACGTAGAAACGTATAAATCATTAGAACATTTTTTTTTCTTTACTTGGAAAGTGTAAGCCGAGGCAGCTTCATCTGGAAAAAAGTCTAAAAATTGGCCAAATTTTCTTGAATGGAGATTTTGTTTAGCCTTTCGATTGAACTTGTGATAAGATGTTGCTGAAGTGTACATGGAGCTCCAGATTTTTGAAAACTGCGAATTTTCGACAAGTTCTTTGTCAGTACCATGGCGCTTAGAAATATAAAAAAAAAATTATTTTTGCCTATCACAATAATTTAGACCAGACTTTCAGTCATTTTTTTGTGAAAAAATTTGTGTCATAGATTAATGAGACCAGAGGCATTTTCACACTTGAACAGTTGCACTTTTCTGAATCCCCACCTTTGAATTGGTAAAAAGTCTCTATAATAGGGGAAATTTTTTTATACGTAACGCAGCATGACGAAATTTTTGATTTTTTTGAATTCTTTTTTTAAAAATAAAAGTAATGTCTTTTTTTAAAAAGTCATTCTAAAGTTAGCTAGTTATTTAGCTAGAAAGATTTAAAATTTTTTTGCTAATAATATCTGTTAAATTTTTTTCTATCCGTGTTATCTCAATTGTTAAATCATTATACTACTACCATTGAAATAAAAAAATTTGAACTAGAGGGATTTTTATTGTTATAAAAAAGACCTCACCCAACAAAATTTTAGAATGTTATCAAAAATTAATAACGGCAAAAAGGATTTTCCTCGGTAAGGATCGAACCAGAGAGTTAGCTCGTTATAGACAAGGCCCTAAGCCACTGCGCCAACTTCATAAGCTCAGATTTTGAGTTTTGTCGCTAGAAAAGTCAATTTTTGTCAATAAAATGAAATTTCGTTGTCCATTTCTACGGCTACAGTACCCTTTTCACTTCGAAACCCAAAATTCTTGATTCATTTAGTGCTTTAAAAATTATTTTTTCAATGAATTCCTATCTCGATCCACCCTGATAAAGTACTCGAATTACGAAGGCTACTGTAGTTTTTGGCTAGGCCTAATCTGAATGAATGACATTAAAACACTACTAACCCTTTCTTATCCCAGCTATTACCTTTCGAAAGTGAAATATGCACTTGTTTTACTAATCCCTCACCTTTCATTACTATAAGTTTCCCAGAAACCTCTTTTCCTCTTGAAAAACAAGTGAATAAGGGTTCGTGAGACAATAAGAAGAAGCTCAGGTCAGTCAGGCTCTTCCGTGTTGCTCCAACTTCTTCAAAAATGAACGGCGTCCGGATCTTGATGATGTCTCTACATTCAATTCTATCGTTGAGCGGATGCTCCTTCAACCTTCTCCTGATTTATGTCGTGATTTTTCATTCGCCGTCTAGAATCAAAACCTACTCGATATTGATTCTCAACTTTGCCATTACCGATTTTGTACTCTGCTTTTCTAGCTTCTTCAATCTCTTGAGGTATGTTTTCGTCTCGAAGAATTTCACATGATTTCCAACAAAAATAGTCTTATTTGAATTTCAATTGCAGATTCGTTCCAATTGGAGACTCAATAATCTGGATTTCCAGTGGCCCCTGTCGAATTTTTGGCTACACAGCTTGCTTAGCATCGTTAGTTCCGCATTAACTTTTCTCAAAAGCCGAAATTTCCCGAGTTCAGGTACAATATTGGAATGCACCTCGTTTCGCATAGTTTATACTCGCTGTTATACTCCTTTTCCTACAGATATTACATTTTGCTACGTTCGGCCCCGAAAGTTCGATCTGTGTTGATTTTCCTCGCTATAGTCTATTCGCCGTCATTCCTCTCCCTGGTAGGCTATCGAACGTCTGCATTCAATTGCATTGAGCTTTTGAAAAATTTCCATGCTTTCAAAAGTTCCCGCTAACTGTTATAAATGAACTATTGTCTGAAAAAATGTTCATTCAGATCCTCTCTTTTCGAATGGCAAGTCCATCGAATTTGATGCGAGAAATTCTTCTCCAACATTTCCCAAAATACGATGTGCAAGACACTCTGATTGGCGGTACTGCTGACATGCAAAGAGTCGAGAATCAGCTAATAACTTCGATTGGCTACGTTCCAGTCATCCCATTCTACATTGCGATTCTTATCATCCGCCGGAGGATTATCAAAAAACTCGAAGTCGTAGACTCTTCGTTAAGCGATGAAACGAAGAGTATACAGAAGCAGTTTTTGAAGGTAATCCGAGTTTTTTTTGAAACTTTTTTTTGAGGATACTATGAGCTTTATAATGAAAAAACAATCATAAGCCTTTGGACAAATTCTCGCACCTTTGAAAGTCATGGCGTTCCAAACATCTACATGAGCCTTCAAACTGAACTCTTCTTCTCCAAAATCAACTCGGCTACTTGAACAATCAATATGTTCCTTCAAGATCTCTACTGTCATGAATAACCTGAGGGTTAAGAGTCTGAAGCTATGAAACCTCTTCTAAAAATTTTCGTGATAATTTTATAGAGATTTTCCAGGCTCTCACCTTCCAAGCCCTGATTCCCGTTTGCAACGTCGTCGCCCTCGTCGCCTACACGATCGAACAACTCAACATTTATTCCCACCCGATCCTGGATTACGTTGCGATGTCCGTACTTCTTGTACCAATTCTAACTCCGATCTCATCTCTATATTTTGTCGCCGCCTACCGAAATAAAGTCAAAAGCATGTTTAAAATCAATACCAATTTGATTGGACATAAACCAACTGTTGTAAACTCCACGGCTTCTTTCTCTCGAACTTGAAAAGTTTTATCGAGCTGTCATTGTGAATATTCGTTTCAAGTTGAACTTTGATTTTTTATTAACCTCCCGATTGTGTTTTTGAAATGTAATTGCCACTCTTTGAACTCAAGCCTTGAATTTTCTTCTCAGGAAAAAAATTGTGCATTGCTCATTTTCTCATTAAAATATTTTCAAAAAGTCCAAGCTTTCAATATTTCGTCAAACTTCTGAAGTACAATTTTGGCACTTCCGTGTCAGTTAAGAATGATTTTTTTCTTTCAAGAAATTCCCAAGAAAACAAAGCGGAAATGACTAAGAAAGGTCAGTAAAATGAAACTGAAATCTCAAAATCCAAATACTCTGAAAACCTTAAAGATATATTAAAAAGATCAGATTCTACTGAAGCTTTTCGACTTTATCTTCGTGGTCATCTTTTCGCAGCCACTAACTTTCGAAAATCTATGATGTAAATTTTTTAGCCCTTTGATTTCCCCTACTATCTGACTCTCTCATGAATATTTTTGTACTTTCTCATTCTCAGGATTTCTTTTCTCAGGAGTTGGATGATTAAGCGACTGTGTGAAAATCAGAAGGAGCTTATTCAGTCAGTATCCTTCGAACCGCTTCAGCTCTTCGAAAAAATGGACGGCTTCAAGATCTTGATGAAGTCTCTACATACACTTCTAGCACTGAGCGGTTGTTCTTTCAATCTTCTTCTGATCTATGTCGTCATTTTCTACTCACCACCTAGGATCAAAACCTATTCGGTACTTATCCTAAACTTCGCTATCACGGACTTTCTAGTTTGCTTTTCCAGTTTCTTCAACCTTTTAAAGTAAGTCTAATTTTTCATTCGAGCATTGCGAAGATTTTTGGCCAGCTGTTATCTTTAAAGCACCGCTTCGAGCCATTTCACGAAAAAAGAGAAATAGAGACTTCGATTAAGATTCGTCCCGATTGGAGACTCAGTTGTTTGGATTTCCGGTGGTCCTTGTCTGCTTTTCGGCTACACTTCTTGTTTAGTGTCGTAAGTAATTTTTAATTATTAGTTTCATTCTTCATTCATTTTCAGATACAACTTTGGTATGCACCTGATCTCGCACAGTTTATATTCTTTGCTGTATTCTTTCTCCTACAGATATTATATTTTGGGACATCCAGCCCCCAAACTACGATCCGTATTGATTGTTCTCGCTTTAGTCTACTCACCTTCATTCCTATCACTGGTTGGTTTTGGTTTTCTTTCCAAGCCACTAAATAGTTGTTTCATAATAGCTTTCTAAGATTTCTAAAAAAAAAGCATGAGGCAGATTGCTAAACACTTCTGTGAAAAAAACCTACTCACTAAAAATTATTTCTTCAGATACTTTCTTTTCGAACAGCGAGCCCATCGGATCAAATGCGAGACATTCTCCTCCAAAATTTTCCCAACTACGATGTTCAAGGCGTTTTGATTGGCGGTATAGCCAACATGCAAAAAGTAGAAACTCAACTCATAACTTCAATTGGCTACGTTCCAGTCATCCCATTCTACATTGCTATTCTCATTATTCGCAAGAAGATCATCAACAAGCTCAACTCAGTCGACTCTTCGTTGAGACATGATACGAAAAACATCCAGAAGCAGTTCTTGAAGGTAACTAGACCGAAAATATTAGAAGTAGTTAGCATGATTTCAAATATAAGATCGCGTTTTTAAATAACGTAATGGGTCTAAAAATCATTTTATAACTGAACACATTACGGTGAGCCTTTGAAAACTAAAAAAAAAATTGAAACTTACCTTCAAAAACCATTACGTGATTCGATAAGCAGTTAAAAGCTCTAGAAACCAGTACACTTGGTTAAAAAGCCAACATGCGCCTTTAAAAATTATTTTTTGAAAACTTCCCTGAGCTTTTAACACTATCCTGATGCTTAGTAAATCAACAAGCGTTTTGAAAGTCATCAAGTATCTCAATACTCAGTCTTCAGTTATGTGCCTCTGCCCTTTAATTTACGTCTTCAAAATCTCTCAACACCTTCTAAAACACCAATAATCACTAATTTTCCAGGCTCTCACCTTCCAGGCCTTGATACCCGTCTGCAACGTCGTCGCGCTCGTCGCCTACACGATCGAACAACTCAACATTTATTCCCACCCGATTTTGGATTATGCAGCCATGTCTGTCCTTTTGGTACCCATCCTAACTCCAATTTTTTCTTTGTATTTCGTCTCCGCCTATCGGAAACGAGTCAAAAGCCTGCTTCAATTGAAACTCGGGTCTGTTGGCCCTAGGAGTCTTGCCGTCGTTTCAACAGCTTCTTCTTCTTGATAGGAAAATGTTCTAGAAAGCTGTTTTGTTCAAAAAGCTTCGGTTTCGTTAAATTTAAAAACTTACTCTCCGAAAAAGCAATCTTGCCAAGAGCTCAACCGAACCTCTCTCCTCGATACATTAATTAAGATATTTACGAAATTTTCTAATGTTTACAAATAAACAAATCTAAATAGCCACACAGTAATAATTACATAGTAAGTACAAAATAAAAACTTCCGTGTGAATACGAAAAGAGTCTCATCAAGTTTACCTGGAAAGACAGTGAAAATTTCACAGGATAACAATGAGGAAGGGAAAAGGTAGGTTCATTTAAAAAAATAGACATTTTTTCCAAGTGAAAATTGTGAGGCAACCGGCTTTTTGACATGGGGAAATGTTTTTTTTTACTGAAAAGAGAAGTTTTTTTAACGGTTTTTTTTAAATAAAATTTATAGTCACTTTGTAGAAAAAAAGAGAGAAAGTTGTCTCAAAACTTAGGTCAAAGTTAAAAAAAGCTTCTAAAAACTATTTTCCAGTTATTTCATCGCTTATTGCAAGTTACGGGAGAATTAAAAACAAAAAAATTCGAAACTTGAGATTTTTTTGAGACGCAAAGGAAGGATTTTCACGCTTTTTCAGCAATTTTTTTAAAAAAATTTCATTCTGGAAAAACTAGAATTTTTTTAATAATAATATTATTTATTTACAGGCAGAACAAAAATAACATGTACAGAAAAAAAGAGAGAAAAAATTGGCGTTAAGCCTGAAATAAATAAATAAAAGGCACTTGAGGCCCTCACGAGCCTCTTTTCTTAGCAATAAATTCACATTTCTAGCTGGAAAAGTTCGTCCTAGACAGATGATGAAATATGAAATCTTTTCACAAGTCCATGATTTAATATAAATCGTGTTCAAAAGGTCTGTTGCGTTGAAAAAGTTGTCGAAACGGGTAGAGAATGAGTTTGAGAGAATGCACTCGTTATTCGAAGCATGAATCGGACTTTGCGTCGATAAGGCTCCACGAAATACAGAGACGCGATTGGAGTCAGTACTGGGATGACGACCATCGCTGCGGTTGTTGTATATTCCAAAGCTGGATGATTATAAATATTCAGTTGACCAATAAAATAAGTTGTGATGACTATGACGTTGCATATTGGAATACAAGCTTGAAAGGTGAGAGCCTAAGAAATTGGAAAAATCTGCAGAGTTTTATAACTACTTCATTCGCCACAACTCGAGAAAAGTCTGGCCTGTCTGCGCTCTTTTTTCCCTCGCCAGACACGTCGGAGACAGATCGAAAGAACACGTAAAAAAGAGAGGATTGCAGAGAAATCAGACACTTCCAGGTGGTGGCGAACGAAGTATAACTGAGCGAAAAAAATAACAAAAAATAAAAAAGGTCGAGATATCTTAGATTTTCGTTTCTGAAACATGAGCCAGGTCCATACCAGAAGCAAAACATTAGAAAAGATTTTTGGCTGTTTCATGGTTTTCAAATTCGGAGAGTCAAAAAAAAAGGAAGATATTTTTACAGATTCTAAAATTTCCTCTATGAAAGCTTTTCTACAACCTGAGGACGTCAAATTTTCCCATTAAAAATGAAAAACTGACCTTCAAGAACTGTTTCTGCATGTTTCTAGTCTCGGAATGCATGAAGATATTCTTCATTTGCAGTTTATCAATTATTTTCTGTCGCAAAAAGAGAATGATTGTATAAATAGGGACTACGGGAACGGTGAAAAGGCAAATCGCGGTCATCGTGCCGAAATTCCAAATATTCGCGATACCGCTAACCATGACATTTGAAGTGGTATAGTGAGGAAAGCTCGTTTTTAAAATACTTAGCATCTCTTCTGGGGGGCTTTCTATTGAGAAAGTTGAGATCTGAACTGAAGTACATTCAAAAAGCGATTCTGAGCCATGACTTGAACAGTCTGACATGTCTGCACTCTCTTTTCTCGCCGGCGAGGTCAGATTTTTCAAATTCCGGCGAAAGAAGGTTCAAAAAATTCACCAATTGGATGAAAGACGGTAGATAGAGTATCGAAAGGACAATCAGCACCTTTCTTCTACGCGGAGCCATTCGAAGTAAAATATAATATCGATATGAGAACGATAACAATAATGAGTAGTAGCCATGGGTCAAAAGGTGAAGCATGAAATTGTGACTGAAAAATAATAATGAAATAAGGTGTGAAGCAAAAAATTACATATGGGTATTTTTTTATATTTTTCATCATTCAAGTTCAACTGACCTCATGAAACAAACAGAATGACCGAAGAATCGGCAAGGTCCGTTTGCAATGTAGACAACTGACCATCCAATCGGGACCAACCTGAAAATATTATTATTTTTCATCAAAAATTTCTGAACGATTTCTGAAACTGTATTGAAAATTTTTAGTGATATTTATTAATATTCATGGGCCAATTTTGGCACATTGAGGTCTCTGGAAAAGCTGATGAATGTACAGCTTTTCGCGATATAAACTGAAAAAAAATTCCAACATTTTAACATTTTTAGAACAAATTTATAGAACTCATATGAAGAGAGGTACCTTTTTTCTAAACTAAAATTGCTTGCTCACAGTTCATTCACCATTGCCTTAGTTCTAAGAAAGGATTCAAGGCTTAAAAAAATTTTAAAAATTAACCTCAGCTGGACAAAAAAGTCAACGATACAGGTGAGCAAATCAGTGACCGCAAAGTTCAAAATCAAAGCCGCATAGGTGCGAATGATAATAGGAGAATGGAAAACAATGACATAAATTAGAAGTGAATTGAAAATACAGCCACATCCGGCGAGGATCGTGTGCAGACTCATGAAAAATGTCTTGGAATTCTCCATTTTGAAGTGAGCTTTGCTTCAACTCTTCAATCAGTTTTTAAGATTGAAAAATGCTGAAAATCGACCTTTCGAGTAGGAATGACTTCAAAAGTTCAGCTCTCAACTGAAAAATTCGCCTTACTCACAATATTTAGGAAATTCCAAGTGAAGCTTTTGTCGCTTTTTCTATTATTCGACGAAAATTTCAGGTCTTCAAATTAAATCAGGTGGTTTGGGACCTGAGATTCGTTAAAGAATCTCGTTCTTTTTGAACTAAAAACAAGGTTCACGTGAATCAAACAATTTTTTCTTGGAATTTAGGGTACAGCCGTTTTAAAAAAGAGGTTTTGTTTGGTTATATGTTTTCTAGGAGTCAAAAAAATGGAAGAAACAGAAAAGAACCTCAAAATTTATGATCAATTACTCGATGAAGTTGAATGGTATCAGCGGTTTTTTCATCGCATTTGAAAGAGATTGATCAAAATCATTCCATGAAAATTGAAAAAATCTCCATTCCACCTTCAAATGATAGCGCCAAAGCATAAAAATATTTCCGTCTTCTCCAGAAGCGCGCAGCGACCGCTTCGCATCTAGCCATTACCCTCTCCGAGACCTTAAACATAGTCTTTGAATACTTTTTTGAATCTTGATATTGTATTGTTTCTTTTACAAAACACGGCGCTTAATGAAAATTGGTAGGCTATAGTCTGTTCAGATTTTTAATGTCAAGCAGCTAACTCAACCCCCAAGGCTACAATATCTTTCGCGTCAATTTTTTTATCTACAGATGACGATGTCCCTTTAATAAGGCTGCATTTTTGACTTCTTTTTCTATCTTTTAGATCAAAAAAGATCAAAATTAGTCCCGCGCGATAAAACATCGACGCGAAAAGGTACCTTCTCAGCGGGGGCGGAGTTAGCTGGTTGACATTTAAAATCTGAACAGACTATAACCCTAAAAAAATTGTGCTTTTTTTCCATAAAAAGTCCATTATAGTGTGTCTTGATTTAAAAATTGTTTTTCATTATTATTATTATTCGAAGTATTCTGAACCGAAAGAAGTTTCTCTTTCAAACGAGAAAGTTGCAAGATAAACTCAAAAACAAGTTTTTTATAAATCAAAAAAAATTTGAAAATATCATTTTTTTGAATGAGAAAAATTTACTTTTAGACTTCAAGTCATTCTGACATTATTTAATCGAAAAAAATTGATCGAGTCACATAGTTTTTCCAAGTTTTTTTCTTCAAACTTTGGAGTCAAAATAATTATTTTTTTACCCTTTTTTTACACAATTCTGCAAAAAGACTTTCCAGCAAATTTTGGTGTAAATATTTATAACGCATGCGGACGCTGTTTGGTCTGAAATCCACTCATTGCGTCAAAAATATTGAAAAAAAAAAAATGATAGAACGGCGCAAATTCTTGGATTTAATCATTTATACAGCTGACCATTTATTCGTATTAAAATGAGTAGATTCTAACTTTTAGATTTTACAGACATTTCCTGTCAAAGAGCTTTTCAGCTCAAAGTGGGACTTATTAACACTACCAAAATTCTCTAGTTGCAGTTTTCTTGTTTATTTAAAAATATGTCTTTAAAAAAATTTTTGCAAGATGTAAGTGAAAAAAAGCTAGGACAGCTGGAAGTTGAATAAAAAGGACTATAAAAAAAAAAACCTAATATCTAAAATTATCAAAATCGTACACAAAAGGCCTACATTACCCAACTATAAAAATAAATCAAAAATCAACTTTTCCAATAAAATTGAGCTTCATGTTTATTGTAGTTCAACCTTTATATAAAATAGATTTTGATTATTTGATTAGAATTTTTTTTTTCATAATCAAATTTTTTTGAAGTTCGGTGCTGTTTTATTACTCATGTGTGCACCCATCCGTATAAAATTAACCCTTTGAAAATTTATCCAAGCTTGAAAATCGCCAAAAACATTTTCTTTTCTCATTTTTCTGCAGAAAAATCTAATCATTCTTTTAAAATTTGAACGCTGGGAGGCGTTGCGAATTTGTGTGTTCAAGGTATTCATTTTAAAATGATGAAGTTTAAATTTGAATTCTGATCAAAGTAACGGCCTTATGATGAAAAAACAGATGCTTTTTCATGTAGATTTCAAAATGAAACACTTTTCTGGATTCTTCTAATGTTTCATCTTTTTTTCCAAACGTTTATGTTACTTTACAGGTCCTGCTAAAACTTTGAGAAATTCCCACGATTTCAAATGTTCCATTATTCCTAGTATTTGCTATTAGATAACATGACCTGATTAACAAAAAACAAGATTAAAAAATCGAATTCTTCAGAAGTACTCTTCTCGAAAAGAAACAGCCATAAAATTTTCAAACTTCTTTTCAAAAAAAGTAAATATAATTTTTTTCTACATCTTTTGCTACAATTTTTTTATTGCTACGCTTATAAAAATTTAACTGTTTTTTTTTCTTTCAATAATTGATCAAATTATTTTTACCTCGTGTTGGAAGAACAAAACTTCATATTCGCTTTCATCAAACTTTTTTCTGTCGAGTATTTCGTTTTTTTTTTCTTGAAAACTCATGATCAAATCTCAAATTACTGAACGTTTGGAGTTGCGCCCGACTCAAAACGACTTTCGCGTAGATTCATTGGAGAGAGATGAAAAATGGCGGCGCGTCATTTTAAGTTCGGGCAAAGCTCAGTTTCGTATTGTTTTTTTACTTTCGGAAATACTTGTCCATTCTTATAGATGGGATCTCTGTACTAAAAGGATTACTATTGTCTACTCGACAGATCACTAGCATTGAACAGAATAATTTTGAAGGCACCTAAATAAGTATACAAGAGGATACTGATTTTGAACTAATGAAAACGTCATGGACCCGTACAAAAAGGCTTGAAAAAAAGGGACGCTAAACTGGGTTTTGGTTTGCTCTTGAAGATGAACTGTGCAAAAAATGCAGCCGCTCGCAAGTAGTTTTAAGCCGGTCACGCTTAGAAGTTCTATAAAACCGCTACGCGACCGCGTTAAATTAATTTTTCGCGGTATTGTTTTCTCTCAAGTTCTCGTCATTTCCTCATGAAGTTCCCCTTCTATAGAGAGGATTACCAGTTCTAGTAATCGAAGAAAAACCTGACTAAAACTACATATTCTCTTAAAAATGGGATTACTTCTAGTAATATCACAAAAGAGATTACAACTCTTTCTTCAAGGCTTACGTCTAGAATCGACCAAGACACTCAAAGTTCGCTTTTTTCGAGTATCAAGGAAGTTTTTTTCCCATTACCTGATGTCTGAAAGGACTTATTTCAAGATTGGATTATCGTTCTTTTATCAAAAACAAGGATTACACAGCGGCCTCTATTTCGTTCGGACGAAAATCAAATAAGCCTCATTTTCAGAACTTTTTGACGTAAATATTCGGGGCAGAATGAAAAAAAGGGGGCTCTGAAATAAATAGGTGAACACGTGAAGAATGAGTAATCCGGCGGCCCCCTTAACATATTTTTCATTACTTCCTCTTTTTTTTCGCTATATATACGAATTTTTTTTTATGAATGTGTGTACTTTCTTGTCAATGAACTACATTCATTCAAAAATAAAATCTAGTTTATTATTTTTTTTTTCTGAGTTTCCTCCCTCTACTAGCCAAATCAAGTGACGCAAATCAAATTCAAACATCTTTTTCAGAACACCTGCCCGAGTTCGAATAACCATTTTTCATGTCTGTAATGAAAATTCCCGTTAAAAATTCCTGTGGTCCTCATTATTGTTTACATGTGACTAGCTGAAATCCCTAAACATGGGAATGAGAAAATGAATCATTTCATTATGAAAAAGACTAGACAGTCACTAGAACTTTCACATTTCCTGGACTTGCTAGGCTTTTAGTTAACTATTTTCTCATCAAGTGAGCGACAAATAATCGGAATTTTTCAGTTTTTTTTTCAATTCTGATTTCCATCTTTTTTGATCTCAGTTTGTGACTATATGAATTTTATGCACCTTAGTTTGGACTATGAATCCTAATTATGAAGGGATGTTCTTATAAAAAAATCTATGTAAAATTTGAAGATCCAAATTTTTCAATTTTTAAAAATCGATTACCCTTCTACATAGATTATTAATCTCCCCACGCCTACTTTTGAAGATAGCTTACTCATAAATTCTGCTACTAACAAAAAAAATTCGCCACGCTCCCACGCCTTTTGAACTCGTACTGAGAATCTCGTTTTTGTGATCCAAAACGTTATTAATTTTTGAATGGCACCATTTTCTCGATTTTTCCTTCAGAATGGATGTGACAAAAGTTGTCTTCGTCTCGGCTCACACAATTCTTTCGTTGGCTGGTATTTTCTTCAACGGTCTTCTCATCTACGTCGGCATTTTCCACTCACCGAATAAAATCAAAACTTATGCTGCATTAATCTTGAACTTCGCCTTCTCCGACTTGATTATCTGCCTTATGAACCTGTTCATCCAGCAAAGGTAACATCTAGTTTTTTTTTATCGCGGTTTGGAGTTTTCTGAATATATGTTTTTTTTAAATCTCCGGAAGTTTATATTGAGATCCTTCTAGCTACATAAACTTTTATTGTTGAAGATATTATTTTTCAAAATTTCCCTTTAGCACAAGATTAGGCCTGGAACCATCCCTTTGAAAGTCGGAAATTTTTCATCTCAAAAAATGGAACTTTTTGCAGGCCTTGAGAAAACCTAACAGACCCATATCAAACTACAGAAAATTTCAAGAAATGACCTGTAAACTTGGAAAAAGGGCATATCCTAATCGGAATTTTATTAAGATTAGTGACGACCGGCGATTCGACTATCTTCGTTTCCAATGGCCCGTGCAAGTTATTCGGCCCAAGTGTTTGCTTTCAAGCGTGAGTTTCAAGTCATTATCTAATATCAATGTTTTTTCCTTTCCACCTTCAAACAGTTTCTCATCGAATCTCCCATTTTCAGGAACAACGTCCAACAACATCTCATCACTTTTGGAGCTTATTCCCTTCTTTTATCATTCTTCTACAGATATTATATTATATTGCGAGTACCACCCTCACGACGAAATGTCCTGATTGTTCTCTTCATATTTTATCTGCCTTCATTCATTCAATATGTAAGGCTTACAAGCCCCTCAAATGAAGCATTTGTTTCATTCAGATTTTATCCTTATTCATGGAAAGCCCTCCGGAAGAAATGCGGCAGATTTTCGAAGAAGCTTTCCCTCAGTACAATTCAAAGTGTTTGACAATCGGTGGAATCAAGGACAATACTCTTTGGCTGCCAAATTTGGTCATTTCACATGGAATATTCGCTGTTATACCGATTTATGTGGCTATTTTCGTCTTCCGATATATGATCATGAGAAAACTGAAAGTCGTCATGTGCGTGAGATCGGAGACTAGAAGCATGCAGAAGCAATTTTTGAAGGTATAATTCTTATTCGAATTGTACTCCATTCGTCACAAACCGTGTGACAAGGGAAGTGTTTTTAGCCTCCCATTGGACTTTTGATCGAAATTGGCCAGAGTTTAATTCAAAAGATCCTAAAACCGAAATAAGAAAAAATATACAGCGATAGAGCTTGATTTTGAAGCCTAACAGTTTGTCCAAAGTTTTCAAGTTCATGCTTGGTCAAAATTTCAACCTGGGACTAAAAAAGCTATTGTGCTTGCTTTTGAAACACTAGGAGGGCACAGATAGGCGGTTTCAAGCGGCGGCGAATGAAGTATGAAATAAACTTCCTTCAATTTATACAGAAAAACGATCTAACTTACCCGATTCCAGGCTCTCACCTACCAAACCTCGATCCCGATGATCAGCTTAGTGGCGATGATTTTTTTCGGGATCGGTCAACAGAAAATGTTCAAACATCCGGCTATGGAATACGCAACACCAATTTGCCTACTTTTAACTCCAGTCGTATCCCCTCTGGCTTCTTTATATTTTGTCCATCCTTACAAAACAAAAGTCCAGAGTTTGATGGGACAAGAAGCCAATTCCTTTTCACAGAAGACCGCTATCGTTTCCATTTCTCAAACTTCGAATGTATAAGAATAAAAGATTACGTGTGCATTTTCAACGGAAGAGTTGTTTCAATTTGCACACCGTTCTGTTCCAAGGTTGAAGTTGGGCGAGAAAGAAGAAAAATATAAACACTTTCGTATAAAGTAATGATTTGGACTCAACTGCGGATTGGAAATGGGAGCCTTACAAGAAAAAAAAAACCAATAATGGTTGTATACAAGTATAAGGAAAGTTCTCGATCTGGTGTATCCTATAAAAATTGTCTTACAAGGCGGTTGAGAAAAGTTAACAAAATCTCCGCTGATACTAGACCCAACCCTCACCTCACAAAATCTTATCTCAGAAACTAGAATAACTCAAGTAGCCACTATGAAAACACCTCATCTAGGCCTCTAGAGAGTATTTTTGCGTAATTTCGGAAAATTCCGGAATTCCCATCGAAATAACTTTCCTTTTTAGTTTTGACACGCTGAGCATGTACTTGAGGGTGAACCACTGGCCTAGTGTCGAGAAAAAGTAATTTCACCTTTATGCGGTCTCCTACTTTTCGCTATGATGAAATTTTTTTTCTCTTTTTTAAAAGTTTTATCTTATAATGATAAAAGATTTAAGAAAACATAGTACAGTGCGCACGACCGACAACATAGTTAAAAACAGGCAAAATCAAATTCGTTTCACTTTTCTGTACGACACTCCGCTGAAACGCGAAAACATAAATGAGAATTTTACATGAATCGAAAGAGGGAGGTCCACTTTATCTTTCCACCAATTTTCGTTGGAATTGGTTCAGTATTGCTCTTTTACGAAAACAACAAAAAAATGACCAAAAACAGTGCATTTCACCATCGCAAAAAGGGGCGTGGCTTTGCGGACTCTAGCACTAGACTTTGAAAAATAAATGTAAAAAGTCAAGTTTGAGAATACCAGAGAACACCTACAAAACTGACTACAAAGTTTCCAGCAAGTCCAGGTATTTGATAAGAAGTGCTCAAAAAGATTCAACACCTTGTCAATTCCTCATCGATTGGATCGAAGGTGTTTCGGATCTCAGCCTTACTCCTTTCCAATTGAAAACCCAAAAAGTTTTTGCAAAAGAATCAAAAAAATACGCCAGTCGCTTTGTTTTGGCTGTTTTGAAAGTCTTATTTTGTTCTCATTTCCCCGTCATCAGGGACTTTTTCCAAAAGTATCTTAACAAAACTTGGAACACTTCTCGGGGCTTTAAAAATTTCACATTATCTTTACTGTTCCATATGTTAGTATGCCTTACTACTGTAGAGGTAATTCGCGAAAAAATGGGTATGGGAAAACGAGAATGACTCAGTGAGTTACGAAGAAGACTAGACAGTCACAAACGCTTTTTTTTTTCACATTTTTACTCCACTTCCTGAGCTTGTCAGGAGTCAGTTGATTTTTTCAATGAAAAATGCGTAAAGTATGCTTTTACTTCCAAAAAGACACTTTGGAAAGTTCCCGCGCCTCCCATTTCGTATTGAGAATGTTGCTTCTACCATATTCCATTAATTTAATGTGACTCAACCTTCCGCTTTGAACATTAACAAGGCTAGAAGCTTTAGGATGGACGGCATCGATTTTATCTTCATCTTGGCTCATTCGATCCTTTCGTTGGCCGGAATTTTCCTCAATCTTCTTCTGATCTACATTGGAGTTCACCATTCTCCGGATAAAATCAGAACTTATGCTGCTTTGATCCTCAACTTCGCTTTCTCCGACTTGATTATTTGCATCATGAACTTTTTAATTCAGAAAAGGTAATATATTTTTTTCATTCGATTTTCAGCTCTGAACAGAAAAGTATGAATATTTGCAGTATCTGAGCCTTTTAGACTCAAGAAAATGAAAAAATTTGAAAACCAAGTTACAGACTGCTGACAACTGGTAACTCCACCATCTTCGTTAACCACGGCCCTTGCACGTACTTTGGTCCAACTTTTTGCTTTCAAGCGTTAGTTTCACGACCTTTTTGGGTATATACATCGATAGAATCTATTTGAAGCATTTATTGTTGACAAAGAATATCCCTTTAGTGTAAAGTTTCGAATTGTCTAAAAATTTACTGTGCTCTATAAAGGCCTGATTAAAATTACTCAAATTCGTTTCCTGTGGCAATTTTTCCAGTTTTTGAAACATGAATTTTCAAAGTTCTTGTTTAACACAGAGCTAGGCTTGAATCCCGCAATAGTCACCTTATAAAAACGTTATCTCAAAAACCAGAAGGTCGATTATGATGGATTTTCTCGTAGACCTTCTAAAATTTTCGAATCTTCCGAATTCAATCCTAAAATAACCTTCCCAAATGAAATTGATAAACAATACTACAGATCAAGCGTAGGCTGGGGTACATGAATATGAGATTTTTCTGTCTCTTCAGATCGAAGTTGATCTTACGGTCTCACCATTTTGAGATGAAATGTTCAGAGAAAAGTAAAATAGAAGCTGAATATCATCATCAAACAAATTTCCATTTCCAGGAACAACGTCCAACAGAGCCTTCTCACTTTCGGAGCCTATTCTCTTCTTTATTCGTTTTGCTACCGATATTACATTTTAATGCGACCACCTCCCTCAAGACGGAATGTTCTGATTGTCCTTGCTTTAGTATATCTGCCTTGCTTCTCTCAATTGGTCAGCCTTTTGGTTCATGAAGTGACATATATTTCCTTCCAGTGTTTATCCCTGTTCATTGAAAGTCCATCAGAAGAAATGGTGAAGATTTTTGACGACGCTTTCCCTCAATACGACTCCAGAAACTTGACAATCTGCGGAATCAAAGATAATACTTTATTATTGCCAAAATTGGTCATCACGCATGGAATCTTCGCCGTTCTTCCACTTTATGCGATCATTTTCATCTTCCGATACAAAATCGTCAAAAAAATGAAAGGCGTCATGCCCGTGAGGTCGGAGACAAAAAGCATGCAGAAGCAATTTTTGAAGGTTTTCCTTTTCTACGGAATTTACTGATCAATTTTGATCAATTTCAGGCTCTGACCTACCAGACCTTGATTCCGATCATAACCCTGTTCGCGATGTTCTTCTTCGGTATTGGACATAACCAAATGTTCAAACACAAAGCAACTGAATACGCAACTCCGATTTTCTTACTTGTCACTCCAGTTGTATCCCCTTTGACTTCTCTTTATTTTGTTCACCCTTACAAGCACAAACTCCAGAGTTTGTTGAGCGGTGATCGACCTCCACAAAAGACAATCAGCGTTTCGACTTGCGAGACTTCCACGATTCGATAAGAAAAACGTTTTACAAGAGCGATTTTTTTTGATTGTACAATAAATATTGAAGTTTGAAGAGAAACTGATGCCCCGAAAAGTTCATTTAAGGCGCCGAAGAAAGAGGACTTGCTTTCGACGAGCGGATTCTCAAAAACTTTTATCTTATGAAAGGAAAGACTGTCCCAAAGCCTTCTAGGCATCGAAAAAGAGCTCTCTAACAAAAAGCTGGTTTCCAAAAAATGTTGAAAACATCACAGACTGAGTGAAAAGACTTTCTCGCCAAGAGAATCATCCAGCAAGCCTTTGAATGGAAAAAATGCTTTGCAAGATCTAGCCAAACAAAAAAAAAATTGATGGCACTCTCTGAAGACAAAAAATTATCAAAGAAAGTAATTGGCCAACTTGGAAAGTGAGACCTTTGCAGGGAAAAAAAGCACTTTTCAAGCCTTTATCTCAAATTGGAGTTGAAGATATAACTCGTCCTACTCATATTCCACCGAAAACCAAACTTTTTGCAAAGTCCAAAAATGTGCAGAAGAGCAAACAAAACATCTTTCTTTTTGTTTTGGCTTCTCTCATTTTGACGTCACCCAGGTCTTTTTCAAAAAGTATACCTAGCGAACTTTGGAGATCTCAACCATATATCTTCTTTTAGTTAGTTTCAGATTTAGTGTTGTATTTTTTTTATCAATATACTCAAGTGCCTTACTCGACAGCCTTTTTAAAACATGGGAATGGGAAAACCGTAATGATTCAGTGCTTTATAAAGAAGACTAGACAGTTGAATATCTGGCAAATTCAATTATTCCACTTCCTGGACTTGTTAGACGTCAATGGTTCCTTTAAAATTATCAAAGGTATTGACTTCCGAAAAGATACGTTGTAAAGTTCTCGCGCCTCCCATTTATTATTAGGAATACTTCCTATGTCATTTGAAACCTCATTAACTTTGAGTTCCTCAATCTTCCAAATAATGATCTCTTGCATTGAGCAAGATTTTTCTCTCAAAGAAGGCAGAGAAGGCTTTGATTTTCTTTTTTCTGCGTTGGCTGCTCTAAAGTCTTCTTTTTATTCGAATTTTTTTCACAATATTTTTTTCGATGAAAAAAATAGAAAAATCAAAGTGAAAAATCATTCGGAGTGTGTTACGAAAAAAAGCAAAAAAACAAAAACGAAAAACTGTATATTTTTGATTCAATTTCTGGGTTTTCATTGAAATCTGAAAGAATGGGAAATTCGGACTTTTTTCAATAATTTTGAGCTTCTGCTCATTCTATTTCTTTTGTCTTTTCGTATGGGATTCGGGAGTCGTGAAACTTTTATTTTGCTCAACAGACTATAAAAGAAACTTGAATAAACTTTAAACACAAATATACGAAATAATTGTTCTGAAAAAGTGAAGATACGATCCTTCAAACACTTCTGATGCAAATATCCATCAACAAGACTTTTGAGCTTTTGATAAAACACCTACTTACAAAATTAATTTTCCCAGTTAGTCATAGGTAGGGGGCGCAAAGCCCCGCCCCTTCACGCCACCAAAATGACGATTTTTTTGTTGCAAAAACGGTTTTGAGGCGTTTATACTAGCTAAAGTCCCACTTTAAAAATGAACTGTTTCTGTTAATCTATGTAATCGACAACGCTCTACAAGACTGAATATTTTTTTAAAAACTACGTATTTTTTTCAAAAAAATAAGCAAAAAAAGTAAGATTTAACACGAAAAAAACTGACAAGTTTCACAAAAATCGTCGCGTTTCAGAAAACCAAGTGAGGAACGCTTCTGAATTTTTGAGTGTGTTATACATTAACACTTTCTTCATTTTTTTGAATAAAAAAATAAAAAAATCTAACGACGCGAAAAAATCGAAGCTTGTAAAGTGACACCAAACTTTGAAGCTGAAATGCGAAAAAAATTTCAGCGACATGGTATACTTTTTTTATTTGATTTAAAAAAACTAACAGTGTGTCCAAAAATGAAAAATTCAAAATGAAAAACAATTATTGGGACAGCGAATCAAATTATATTTGAATTTTACCAAAACCTCCTTTTTTTCGCCTGCCTCGTTGTCGCATGAGAGAATAGGATCGCGTCTATACTTTTTGATCAGGTTATTGAGCGTTTAAAAACTCTATCAATGAAAAAAATTATGAAAAAAATCGATCGACGCGAAAAAAATAACGGCTTTGAAAAACCTCGAAAAAAATGACAATTTTTTTGAAATTTTCGGAAGATTTCGTGCAAGCGTCCGTAGCAGTGTTTGCGTCAAACACACCGATGCGCCCTTTTAAATGTCGCAGGAGCCGTTTTTTTCGGAGTCAAATTGCACTTTTTCCTGTTTTTATTTCGAAATAACATTATTTTTTTCATTTTTTTCTTTTTTTCCAAATCGAATGATAATAATTTTTTTCTGAGTAGAAAAAAAGAAAAAAATAAGCTGAAAAAAATCCCTTTGACCTTTTTTTCTAGGTAGTTTTTTTGATATTTTTTTCAAAAAAATTCTTATGAGGATTGTACAAAAGATTCATACCAAAACATGAAGCTCAGTTCGGACAACCTTTCAGAACAGAAAACCGATTTAAAAACGGTCCAGAAACGCGCAAAAACATTTAAAAAGAAAGCGTGCGGCAGCGGGTAAACCGTGAGATTTTGCCTTCAGTTGTACGCCACGCGAGCTCGTTTTTTGGCCATATCTTTTTTCTTAGTGGAGCTTTTTTCAAAAACTAAACGGAATATGAAAATGGACAGTCTCCTCTATCGAACAATGTGAAAAACATATTTTTTGAATCGTTCTGAAGAAATGGCTTGCGGACCCTAGTCATAGGCTTTTAAATCTAACTAGACACTTTCCAAAGGTCTCACGCCACCCATTACTTACTTAGAACTTTGTTTCTGTCAGAGGGAGCCTCAATTGTTGTCACTTTTTGAAACTTCTCAAAATTTCGTCACAGTTTTTAAAAAAGCGTATAAAAATTTCAGAATGGACGTCATCGATGTCATCTTCGTCTCTGCTCATACAATTCTCTCCTTGGCCGGCATTTTCTTTAATCTTCTTCTGATCTACATCGGAATCTACCATTCACCGAATAAAATCAAAACCTATGCTACATTAATTCTCAACTACGCCTTATCCGACTTTATTATTTGTCTAACGAACTTGTTCATTCAAAAAAGGTTAGAAATTTTTTAGGATCAGCAAAGTTGAGTTATCGCATGGGCTGATTCAAAAATAGTTAGTTGTGTGAAACATGATAAAAAATGATTAAAATAACCTTTTTCAGGTTGGTCACCTCAGGTAAATCTACAATTTTCATTTCGAATGGTCCTTGTAAGTACTTCGGCCCAACTGCTTGCTTCCAAACGTTAGTTTTCGGATTTTAATGATTAGAAACAAAAAAAAAAGATCAGAGAGGCTGAAGAGACGGCGGAGAAGTTCGAATCTTCTCGCTGTCTAGCGTCTCTTCAGGCCATTATTGATCTCTCAATATCGGCCATGTTTCACAGAGGCTTCTGCAAGTCATCCATTTCATATCAAAGTATACTTCGTTTCCAGGAACAATATCCAGCAGCATCTTGTCACTTTTGGAGCTTATTCTCTTCTTTTGTCCTTCTGCTACCGTTATTATATTTTACTGCGATCACCACCATCAAGGCGGAAAGTTCTGATAGTCCTTGGCCTATTCTATCTACCTTCATTCATTCAATTCGTAAGCCTTTTTTTTTAGATCTACTGACACATTTTTCCGATTTAAGATTTTATCCCTATTTATGGAAAGCCCAGCAGAAGAAATAGTGAAGATATTCGATCAGGCTTTTCCTCAATACGACTCGAAGTTGTTGTCGATCAGTGGGATCAAAGACAATACTCTATGGCTCCCAAAAGTGGTCATCACACATGGAATTTTTGCTGTCTTTCCAATTTATGTAGTTATTTTCATTCTACTTTATAAAATCATCAAAAAACTGAATGCTGTAATAGGCGTGAGGAAGGAGACCAGAAGCATGCAAAAGCAATTTTTGAAGGTAATAAGGAACACTTTCATTCAAAAATTTTTCCTATACTTCGCTAATTTAAATTTTAAACAATTTCGAATTCTGATTCTGGGCTCAGATCGTTTAAGAAAAATCTTTCAAAAACTCAAAATCGCAACTTTGAAATGCACATATTCATAAGTTTTTGCGGTAGTTGTTACTTTAAAACCTTTTTCTAAGCCTTTGAAGAGAGTTTATCTGAATTTTTTTTTAAAAAAAAATTTCCAAACTTCACTCTAAAATTACCTCCTTTTTTTTCAAATGCTGAAATTTTAAGAGAGTGTAGATAAACTAGTTTGTTCTAGATGGTTCTTTAGTCGATCGAAAAACGACAAAAGCAAACCCTCAAACTCGCTTATTTTAGGCCCTGACCTACCAAACCCTCATTCCGATCATCAGCTTCTTCGCAGTCTTTTTCTTCGGGATCGGTCAACAGAAAATGTTCAAATACCCGGTTGTAGAATATGCGACGCCGATTTTCGTTCTACTGACACCAGTTATATCCCCATTGGTCTCATTGTACTTTGTCCAGCCTTACAAGCAGAAAATCCAAAGTTTTATGGGCAGGAATGTCGATTCGAATTCGCAGAAAACCACGATTATTTCGGTCTCCCAGACTTCGGAAATTTGACTATCAATTCATTCATCCAATAGTAGAAGCCAAGCTTTCAATTCTAATTTTCAAAAATTCTAGAATTTGTAATGAATGATCAAAAACACCAGAAAAATAAAGATTTACAACTAATCACTATTCGGCTTACAAAAATGTGGAAAAGGGTCACAGATTTGTTCAAAGGTACAGTGACGTTACTCAAAGGAGCACTAAAGTTGTCACTAGAACTTAAATCCGGCGCTTAGTCGTCACTTAAGAAACAAACTTGTAACAAGAACAAAACTCTCAGTAATCTGTTTATCAAGCCTTATTATTATGTATCTCATCCTGAAGTGATGAACAAACTTCCTAAAACTTTAAAATCTCTACTCAGTCAAAAAAGTTGATTTTTAAAACAAGATCTAAAAGTCTAGGAACTCAATTCAGACTACTGATGCAACCACCAAAAAGTAGGAAACCTTAGAATTTTCTAAGAACCTCATGACCATCAAAATCGTTTCAGGTTTATACGTATGAGCTTTAATTGCACCCTAAAGAATCCACTGATAGCTTTGAAGCTTTGGAAGCTCTATTTCGACTTATAATGCTCATCAGTGATCAAAAACGTTGAAGAAATGACTCGAAACTTTTTGAGCATTTTCAAAATTGATCACATAATCCAAAAGTTCTGTCTTAACACAAAAAACTCTTGTTTTGTTGGACAAAGGTGTACAATTGAATTTCAAACTCAATTAAAGATAAAGTAATATAATTAACCCCCGAAAAAAGAACAGATCATAACTTTGCTTGTTTATTGGGAAAAAAAGCCTCCCTCGGATTGCTCATAAAATTTCATGTGTTGCAATGTGATACATTTTAAGCAGGTGGCAAACTTCCTTCTTTCAAATAAGTTCTTTGAATTGAGACTTTTACCTCATTCATCGTGAAAGTCTCAAACAAAAGGTTACTATAGTTTTTCTAAACCTCTTAACTTATCACACTAGTTCGCTTAGCTCGTCAATGCCTTTTTTTGGGAGGTTTCCATGATTCAGATTACGGTATTCATAATTTGTAAATTCCTGTCAAGACTACGCTTAAAAGTTCCACTGACTTTTTTAAATATTCAGTACAATTTTCCTTTTCACTTCCTTTTACTTCATATCCATTATTTTTTGTAGAAAAAACACACCTGTTCTTTGAAGGATGATCTGGTAACCGTATGGTTTCAGAATCGATTCATTCCGCTCACAATTTCTCTCTTCATTTCGGTGCCATTTCTGCAATTACCTCAATGATCCTTTAAATAAGTCCTGATTCTTTGTAGACATTTTTCTCATCTAAACTACAGCTGATAAATTCAAAAAAGTCAAAAATTCAATGGTTTATAAAAAACTTTTGTATTTTGTATTTTTCGTTAATTTTTTTCACCGAAAGTTATCCAAAGACTTTGAAGTGAAACGTAAATTTCAAAACCAGAGTTCAAAATCTTATGATTATTGAAGGGGAAAAAAAAATTACTTTGCTTTTTTTTTGCAGCTCGCTTGTTAGACTAACTCGTTTTCTACAAGGAGCACAATTCACGCAAAAAACGTGTTTAAAAATGGAAAAATTAGGTATTCATCACGTTCTGCTAGAGGCTGTAGAAGGCGTTTTTTTTAAAGTTTCTTGTTCGCTTTTTATGTCCTCAACTTTATTTATTACCTTCGAAATGCCGTTCAATGGATAAAGTCGAACACCAAAGTTCCAAAACCCAATTGTTTTCAACAGAAAAAAAGAAAACTTGGTAAAAAAAATTCAAGTTCGCTATTCAAAGGAGCGTCAAGTGAATTTTAAGTCTTAAAAAATGAATATTTTATCAGAAGTTCCAAATTTCTTGCTGAAATTGAAGTTAATCCATTTTTAAACATTGATAGATGAAATTTTCGCTCTCAAGTGACCCCAGGGAATTTCCTTTAGTCCTAAAAGTCTTTTGGAAATGTCTTGAGACTTCAAGAAGATTTTCAAAAGTAATATTAACCTACTTCGAACTTGATCCGAAAAATGGTATTTTTTTTCTCGAAAAACCTTCAAAGGCATCAGATCAACAGGAAAAAGCTCGACAACCCTTCCAAGAAACGGAACTCAAGACTCTGCATGGAATCGCAGGTGAAAAATCTCTCGATTCCGAAAAAAAAAACCTGAATGTGTTTTCTCGATCTAAAGGTATTCGAAAAGGCTTTTCCGAAAATGTTTATGAAGTTTTTTTTTCCGATTTCTTTTTAATCTTGTAAGATCACTAGAAATTGTTATTTCCCTACTAATCTACTTCAACTTCTGGTTCTTTGCTATTCTCACTTGGAAACTTCAACAAAAAAAGAGTGCTTTTTTTTATTTTCGCAAAACCAACTTCAGTTCAAAAGGAGGGCTCCCATTACAAAACGGAAAGACGTAAGAAATCTACGTCGTATTTATCGAAGCCCGAAAGCCTCAGAACGTATTTTTCTTGGAAAATGCATGTTTTTACTCAAAAATTCGAAAATTTGCAGTTAGTTTATCTTTTTTCTTACAGCATGTTTATTGGTTCAAAAATTTCGCGATGCGTTTCAAGTTTGGTTTCATAACAAAACTTGAACAATTCTTGTCAAGGCTTCCAGGCTGCGGCGCGAAAAACGCTTCTTGGTCGGGTGCGCCTTACAGAAACCGCAGCGCAGTCGCTACGCGTTGAGCCATTCTAATTCGTTTATAACTTGATAGCCGCTTTATATGGAAAGAATGTATACCTGAGAGGCTCAAAATTAACGGAAAACCCCTAAAAAAAGACCACTTCATTTTTTTCAAGTGCTCTGAGAATATTTCATAAAGTTTTATTTTTTTGTTTTCATAATTTAATCAAACTGTGTAGGACTTTTTTTCAGCGCACAATTTTTCTTGAATCAAAGTTAAATGTTAGCTTCAAAAATTTAACAAACTCGTTATTCACGTTTCTATTTTAAAGAATTTTTTTACCTCTATTCCACCAAGACTTTACTGATCTTAATTTTTTGTTTTTTACTTCAACTTTTTTTTTTTTTCCTCATTTAAATTGTAGATCGAAGTGAACTCGTTGGGGTTCACACTGATCTGTGAATAAATTATTATTATAAAGTTTTAAAAGTATCTCTATGAATCAATATGACGTTTTTTGATCACGGCACTTCAAAACTCATGTGACGTTATCAACTTTTCCCAAATCGCACTTTTGAGCGCCAATTTAAAACTTTCGTTTGACTTGTTTCTCGATTTCAGAACACTTTTAATCGCTGTTTTACTTAAAACTACGCATTTGTTTTGATATTTCAAGTGGATTTGAAGAATCTCTATAGAAATCTCCATCCGACAAGGCTACTAATGATGCTGTCGGGATTACGCATCTTACTCCTTGCCCTATAAAAACAGCAAAAAACGAACTGAGCTCTCTCACAAGGAAGGCCTTTTTGCTTTGCGGTCGAGAATTTCCTGAAAAAAGGCCCCAAAAGTGATCTCTTAAGTGACCTTCTAGGCTACTCAAGTCAACCCACAAAACCGAGACCTTTTTCATATGATTTGATGTTTCAACCCTCTCAGGGCTTATTAGGACAAAAGTCATTAATTTGACGATTTTGTATGTTGTGAGAAGTTGACTCATTGTTTTGCCTGATTCTTCAAAATTTGTTAATCGAGTCTGCAAAATTTTAGGAGAACAGAGTAAACCGGAAAAGTAGCACTTTCACAGCAGCTTACTGAGATGTTATAAGGGGAGGAGCATAGATTGGAAGTTAATATCTACGGTTTTTGAATCAATTTTTTTTCTGAATAAAAAAAGAAACTTTTTTTGAACCTATCCTCATTGTTCACGAATATTCTGTTCATTATATGGTTTATTTTATAAACTAAGTTCATCAAATGTTTTCAATTTCCGATAATCTGAAACTATAAATTTGCAACCTGTGGAACATTTTTTTAAAAGTAGGATTTTCGAGTTTTTAAATTGTTCAAGCATCGTTTTCCTAAAGAAGTTGTATTGTGAATGTGAATAAACAACCAAAATTTGAAGAAAATTCTTGAATTTCCTTTTTTTAAATTGTCTATTCACCTTCCAACTATCACTATAACGATGTTTCATCTTTTTTGAGATTTAATTTTTGATAAACTGGATCCAGACTTTTCCTTCCTCACGACGATAGAGAATAGTGTGTTCCTCACCCAGTCAGAATTTGGAAAACATATTACTGAAAAGTCTACCAACTTTCTCAGGCCTCTCTATTCGTATGTGATTTTCGTTTTTGCCCTTCTAAGTATGTCATAAGTTATACGATAACTTCCGATTATTCCGAACTATTTTAAGCTTGCAGAGAATGGACGTCATCGACGTAATCTTCATTTTGGCCCATACAATTATATCGTTGGCCGGCGTTTTCTTCAATCTCCTATTAATCTACGTCGCCGTTTTCCATTCACCGAATAAAATCAGAACTTATGCGTCATTGATTATCAATTTTGCTATCACTGACTTGATCATTTGCATACTCGACTTTTTCGTTCAGCAGAGGTCATTTTTTATTAATTTTTTGATCGCGAAAAAAAGTCAAAACCTCTTGAGTTTTGTAAGCTTTTTTTCATTTTGTTTGCGCTAAGTTTTTCTAATCAAAATATTTTTCAGAGCCATTCCATCAGGATGGTCGGTCATCTTTATTGGAAATGGCCCTTGCAAGTTTTTCGGCCACACGGCTTGTTCCGTAGCGTAAGTTTTGAAGCTTCTTTTTCGTTTGGAACTCGACAGCCTTCATTCTTCTTTTCTGCATTTAGAGGAATAAAAATTGAAGAAAAGAGAACTATAAAACCAAATAGTTAAGAAAGAAAACTGGTGCGTCAGAAGTATTGACACAATTTTTCATTAACATTAGCAAGAAAAACTTTCTCAATCTACGTTTCACATTGATTCTAAATATGAATCGAAAACAGTTCGATAATTCTTCTTTTGCACCTATTCCAAATCCATATTCAACTTCTGAAAAAAGTTGCACCGCGTGAAAAAAAATTCAACATCATTTTTTATAAATCGAGCTCGCAAAATTTCAAAAAAAAATTTTTCTCCTTCTAAATATGGAAGCGATTTATGGGAGATAATAAATAAGACAGTGGAACTAAAGAGACGGAAGAGAAGGAGAGACGCTCGCACTTCTCTGGCGTCTCTTCAAGCCTCCGCTGATCTCTCGCAAGCAAGGTTTTCAGAAACTGCTTCCAACAGCATCTTCTAACCTTTGGAGTCTATTCCCTTCTTTTATCTTTCTGCTACCGATTCTACATTGTCTCCAATCCAACCCCAAACAGACGGGCCGTACTGAAGATTCTCGGCATAGTATATATACCTTCATTTGTACAATTGGTAGGACTTCAGGCTCATTCTGAACTAGAAATCTGTTTCAGATTTTCTCGTTACTCATGGGAAGTCCCCCAGATGTCATGAAAAGAATATTTGAGGAAGCGTTCTCTCAATATGACACTGAAGATTTGCTTATCAATGGTGTCGAAGATGTTCGAAAATTCTTCCCTGCCGTCGCCATTTCACACGCTATTTTGATTGTCCCACCAGTCTATGCGATCATTTTCGTTCTTCGGAAGATCATTATCAATAAACTCGATTTTTCCAATGTGATGAGGTCAGAGACGAAAAGTATGCAGCAGCAATTTTTGAAAGTTCGTTATTATCACATAATTTTTTTTTCGTAAAATTCTTAAATATATTTTCCAAAAGACTTCACCTTGAAGACTATGTGCATAAAAATATCAGAAATTTTCGGAAAGAGTTAGAAAAGTTGGAAAATCGAGGGCTTTTTTTCATACTCACATTTTTCGGGCTGCAAAATTTACTGTGCGTAGTAAGATACTTTTTGTCCCTTTTCCAATGTTAAATGACTTGAAATAAACTTTTTCAGGCCTTGACCGTTCAAACCTGCATTCCAGTGTTCAGCTCCATCGCCATCATTACCTACGCCATCGGCCAACTCAGATTTCTCAATCATCCAGCCTTGGAATACGCTTCACCTATTTCTCTAGTTCTACCTCCAGTCTTATCTCCCTTGGCTTCTCTATATTTTGTTCAAGCTTACAAGAAAAAAGTCCGAAGTTTGGTTCAAAAGAAAGGCAACCATGTCGACCAAAAAACTGCCATTATTTTCTCAGTTACTCCTACCTCTCTGCAAATGTAATATTGTATTGTATGGATGTATGTATGAAAATCGTATTATGAAGCCAAGCTTTTTTTCAATAAATATATTATGATTTTCGAAGAGAAAAAAGTGAAAAAAACATAAACCTCAAAAAAAAATACTCAAGCTTTTTTAAAATCATATTTATACTTTTTATTCGTTCAATTGAATCTTTTAAAACCATAAAAAGTTACAATTTATCGAAAAACTGCTCAAAAGGGAGAGAAATGGTGTCTCGAGTTTGACCTGGGAATTCCCGAAAAAAAGTCGCGTCGCATACGCAACGCTTCACTCTTGTCAATCTACCCAACTTGCCTTTCAAGTCGGAAAGACTATAGAACATTTCAAACTTCTCACTGAAACGACCTCCATAGCTAGTCATAATGATAGTCAAAATAATATGTCTAGTGACTCTCTCACGCCTCCCTTCCCATTATGAGACTTTAGGTTTTTACATTGTCAGGAGTTTTGTTCATACGATAACCAGAAGTACCCCAATCATTCTCAACTCCCTTCATGGACCTTCTCGACACATCCTTCATCTCGGCCCACATAGCTCTATCGTTGGCCGGCATGCTCTTCAATGCTCTCCTGATCTACGTTGGGATATTTCATTCGCCGAATAGAATCAGGACTTATGCTACATTGATCATCAATTTCGCCATCACCGACTTCATCATTTGCTCAGTCGACTTGTTCGTCCAGCAGAGGTAAAACCGAGTTATAACCTTCGTTTCAACTCGAAAAGAACTCTTGAATCTTCACCAGCACTAAAAGCTCTTTCAGAGCAATTCCAGCGGGATGGGCAGTAATATTCGTCGCAATTGGCCCTTGCAAGTATTTCAGTCCCACTGTCTGTTTTCTGGCGTAAGTTGTGATTTTAGGCCTTCAAAAAATGAGCGAAGATGAGCGTCAAAAATTGAGATTATTTTTTGAGATTGCCTTTTTTCTAAAAAAATTGAAAGTAATTATCGGTCTAAGCTCTTGTTTCAGACTCTAATTATAATCTTTCGACGATCTCTAGGAAGAAAAAGTTTTTTCAAAATGTGAAAAAAGAGCGCCTTGAAAGTGCTTTTAAATATATTTTTTTGTAGAATCTACCTTGAGTTTGTCGGTTGAGTAGGTATGAAATTTTAAAAAAGGAACAAAAGATACGCGAGAACCTAAAGAGACACCAGAAAGCGAGAGTTACCTTGACTTCTCTGATATCTCTTCAGACCAGATCTCTCAAAAATCAAAGATGAATGCACTATGAGCAAATCGAAGAACTCCTTGACATCATCAACAGCCTGGAGAGACTGAAGACGGCTAGAGCGCTTTTGATTTCTCTGGCGTCTCTCTTAGCCGTCGTTGACGTTTCGCAAGTTAGCTGAACCCAACATTTTCAGAAACAACTTCGAACATCATCTTCTAACTTTTGGAGTCTATTGTCTTCTCTTATCTTTCTGCTACCGATATTACATAATAACGCGATCTCCGCCGAAAAGACGACCCGTTCTTTTTTGCCTCGGCCTGTTCTACATCCCTTCTTTCATTCAACTGGTTTGATTGTTGGCTGTATCTTCTCTAGAACAATGTTTCAGATTGCCTCTCTGATTATGGGAAGCCCACCAGAAGAGATGAAGCGGATTTTAGAACAGGATTTTCCCCATTACAGTACGGAGAATATGGCGATCAGCGGGGTCGCTGATACTCGTGAGCTTTACGCTTCGATGGCGATTTCCCACTCCACTATGTGTGTTCTTCCGATCTACGCAGTTATTTTCTTCGTCCGGCGAAAAATTATCAATAGTCTCAATTTGACCATGAGCGTGAGGTCGGAGACAAAAAGTATGCAGGAGCAATTTTTGAAGGTTAGTTTAACAATAATTTTATGAGGTTAATTCTAGGCGGCGCTATTTTTGAAAGTACTCAACTTTGCCCGACTTCAAAAATTTTGCGCTAGTAGACGTCTTGTAGCTCAGAGGCCAATAAGTTCTAGTTCAGGCGAAACTGACTGACTGAATTTTAAATTCACTTCAACTAAAAAGCAGATCAACTGCAACTTTTTGAGTCATTTTTTTGTCTTAATGAACAGTTTGCATCGCGATAAATGCTTAATTAACCATATCCATTTTTACGGTGATTCCTAATCTGTACTCAAAAAATGCGAAGGAGGTCTATCAAAACACATTTTTGAACGGTAGATAGAGCTGAATTCGGTAATAAAGAAACATAGTTTTTTTTCAAACTGCTCCGTGCTAAAAATTTCCAAAAAATGATGAGACACTCTTTTTTTAACTTGAAAGTTCATGACGTTTTTTTTAGCATATATCTGAAATCGGCGTTAAAAGCGCATTTGTTGACCCTTTTTTTTTCAAAGTTCCCTGTGAGCTAAGGCCAGCGGTAATAAGTCCGGTATACTCTGTTATAAAATAAATTCAATAATGTTCATTTTGGTCAACTTTCAGGCTCTGAGCGTTCAAACTTGCCTTCCGATGTTCAGTTCGATCGCCATCGTTTGCTACTCGATGGGCCAACTCAGAATCTACAACAATCGCGTATTGGAATACATTTCACCGATTTCCCTGCTCTTGACTCCAGTCACGTCTCCCCTGGCTGCCTTGTTTTTCGTCCATGCCTATAAACACAAAGTTCTGAGCTTGTTCCCGAAGAAAACCGACTCTATCTCTCAAGTAACTCCCAACATTTCTTTGATAACTCCGGCTTCTTAGTTAAAGTTTTCTACGCATAAACATGGTCCAAGAAAGCTGAGCTTTTCCTAGATAAATTCTATTTTCCCTTTTTTCTTAAAGTGAAAGTTACAGAAAATGTGCATCTCATAAAATAAAAAGCCAAAAAATGGTTCGCTGTATAATCGCATCTTTTTTTCACTCTTTGAATAATCGGGGACTATTGGAATAATGATAATCAAATCAAGTCCGGCTTTTCCTCAGAAAAATGTAATTTTTTTGGGAGTCAGAGGATACTAGATAATTTTTTTAAATTAAAAAAATCTCCTCATAAAAATAGACACTTTTTACGGTCCATGGAAAATTGCTTTGAAAACCGCTCAAAAAAACAGCTAAATTTTTCGTAATTATCGTTCTAAATCCAATTCTTTTTCAAACCTCAAACGATTGTTGATTATCTTAATAAATTCATTTTTTTCTTTTTCAAAAAAATTTCAACTCAACCCAAAAAAATTTTTTTCACAAGCGTTAGAAAAATTTTTCCAAAGAAGGACATTCGATTTGAATCCAAAAAAACCGGAAACACCTACTCATTTCGAACTTTATATTTTGCACAAATCTGATTTCAGAAAAATAATTTCCATTCTGCAAAATTCAGTTCACAGCCTTTCCTTTCTTGTAATTTTCGATTATTATAACATATTTTTGAAATTCTTTTTTTGAAAACTATAGCTTACCAAATCATAATTCTTGAGTTATAAATGCAAAAAAAAACAAGAAAAGTACGTCCATGATTTTTTTTTTTCTAGCTACGTGAGAATAAGGAATTTTTTCAAGGAGAAAAATGAAGAAATAACCTTTTGAACTTCCTTTGTTACTCATTTTTTTCTCACGGTTCACGATATTATGAGAAATAAGTCCGTCATTTGTGTTCCATATTCTCTGAGAGAGCCCCTGAAAGTTCAACGAAAAATAAAAAAATTGGAAAAAGGGCAGCTTTTTCGATTATTTAATGTGTTCTTATTTCTAGGAAGTGAGAAAAATTTTTGAATAAATAATAATTCAAATCTATAAAAAAACTAAATCCATTGAAGATACAAAGGTAAAAAGTTCCTTTATGATATCCACACATTCTCCTTTCAAAATCTGAACTTTTCCCAACCATTTACCGTAAATGCTTATTCATACAGCTCCAGTTTCCCTAGATTTTTGATTTTCGAGGAAAACTCTTCCAATTTTTGAAAGGACACTTTTTGTCCTGGATAAGTCACTCGTGTACTTTGAAAAGTCTAATAACATTCTCACACCGCGAAATTCAAAGATCTTAACTTCATATGTATTTGGAATACTTTAGAAGTCCTCTAGCCGTTCTAAAAACCAAAAATGGACGTCACCAAAATCGTCTTCATAATGGTGCACACAACGGTGGCTGCGGCCGGAACTTTCTTCAATCTTCTATTAATCTACATTGCTATTTTTCATTCTCCGAATAAAATCAGGACTTATGCTTCTTTGATTCTTAATTTGGCCTTTTCCGACATGATTATTTGCCTCATCGACTTGTTCGTTCAGCAAAGGTGAAAATGGTTATTTTTTAGTTTAAATAAAGTCAAAAATACTCGATTTGAAACGGTCACAAGAGTTCAGTAGTAAAATTTGGCGAGGAAAAAATTAAGTTTTTTTAAAGGTTTTTTTGTCTTTTTTATTTTTATAATGAAGTTAAGCATTAAATTTTTTGTTTTTGAACTGAGTGGAACTAGAAGAAAAAACTTTTTCAAGGTAAAAAGATTTTCATCAGAAAGCACTCTTAAAAACACGCAGCATTTTTTGAAAGTTATTTTCTTTGCGACAAAAGTAGCTAACTCCCCTTATAGCAGTTATGTTACTACCGCGTTTCAAGTTGAATATAGAAAAAAGTCATGTCTCAGGTTAGTCCCAACAGGATGGTCAGTCATCTTCATCGGGAATGGCCCTTGCAAGTATTTCGACTATACTCTTTGTTTCAAAGCGTAAGATTTGAATTTATTCGTTTACTACAGTTTTCAAAACACTAGTTGAAAAATACAAAATTCCAAAATATCTTGAAAATAAAAAAAGCAAGGAATCGATAGTTGGCTGAATTTTTCAGGCATAAAGTTGAACGAAAACTAACTCTCATTCAAAATAGAAAGGGTATTGCATTCTATTTTTTTATCGATGAAAAAAACTAAAAATACATATTTATTTCCTTATTAAATAAATGTAAACTGTAAAAAAACTTGAAACTTCTCTACAACTATAAAAAAATCGAATGCTGTCGGCCTCCAAAACAGGCTAAATTCAAAAAAATTCCTTATTTTTTTAAAAAATAATTTGAAAAACGTTTGATTTTTCAGGAACAACGTCGGTCAGCACCTCCAAACATTCGGAGTTTACATCCTTCTTGTCTCTTTCTCCTACCGATATTATATTCTGGTGAGATCACCACCAACAAGGAAACAAGTTCTGATTCTTCTTTCCCTAGTATATATCCCATCATTTTTCCAATTGGTTAGATTTTCGTTTCACTTTTTTATGCGGAAAAGTTACAGATCTTCTCCCTATTCATGGAAAGTCCTCAGGAAGACATACAAAAAATATTCGAAAAGGCTTTTCCTCAATATGAGACCGAGAATATCATGATCACCGGTGTGAAAGACATTCGGGATTTTTGGCCTTCTATATCCATCTCACATGCGATCTTTTCTGTGATTCCAATGTATACAGCGATTTTTGTTCTTCGTCAAAAAATTATCAACAGATTAAATGCGGCGATTTGCATCAAATCTGAGACAAAAAGCATGCAGAACCAGTTTTTGAAGGTGAACTATAACATTTTTGGAAAAGTTTAAAGCTTTTCGGTGGTCATTCTATCTCTTACAAGGCTCTTTTCAAAGCTTTAATTCTTTAGAATGTATTTTTCCAGGCTCTAACCGTCCAAATCTGCATTCCGGCCTTCTGCTCCATCGCCATCATTACCTACGCCATCGGCCAACTCAGGATTTTCAACCATCCGGCTTTAGAATATGCATCTCCGATTTCCCTCCTTCTAACTCCAGTTGTATCCCCATTAGCATCTTTATATTGTGTACATCCTTATAAAAACAAGGTGATGAGCTTGGTTCGAAATAGCTCCCTCTCACAGAAAAACACCGTCGTTTCACACACATCTACCTTGTAAGATGTACTGAAAATAATGGGAAAAAACATTCAATTGATAAAAATTTTCAGAGAAAATTGAAATGGAGCAAAAAAATACTAGGAAGGATTGGAAATAGCCGAAGGATCAAGTTTATTGTAGTTCGAAAAGAGTCATGAGTTCAAAGAAGTTGAAATATATTCGAAAAAGCTAGAAAAAAAAATGTTTTTTTTGCCAAATATGTACACAAACCTTCACAGATTTCTTTTTAAATTCGTTGAAAACCCTATTTTGAACTTGAAAGCGACGCTACGGCGATGTTCTCAGCCATTCTAGGGGTCCTCGAGAACTTACATTTTTTTAATCAGATGGGAAACTTATTCACAAGTGTGAAAATAGCCTAACGTAGCTCTTCTTCTAGGTGCAATGACTTTTCGAAAAAAAAAATTTTTCTTGGAATGAAAAGATCAAAATTCGTAAAGCGGAAACACGTCCTCTTCTGAACTTAAAAACCTAGCTTCAAAACAAATTATTTTTGCTCATCGCGAAATTTTTTCTTTTGTATCTGAGTTTTGAGATCTTCAAAGTCAAGGTCGCTCTCTTCAAAACCAACATGGAAGAAGGGTAAATTCTAATCAGTTACTCATTTTTGTTTCATGTCAGTTTTCTTCTAATTCAATGCTTCAAACCCTTCAATTAGTCTTGCAAAGGCGGATAAATCAAAAAGACATTTCTTCAATTGACTACAAAACATGAAAAGTTTCTTTTAACTTCAATGGGCTCGACTTGAAACTACATGGTCGCATTTAGAATGGGTCAAAATGTCGCGGTCACGCTCCGTTTTTAGATTAACGCCCTCTAGAATATTCAGCTTTGGAGCCGCTACTCAGCCTTTACAGATATAACTTGGTGCGAAATCAATACTGATTTTTTTTTTCTTGAATTACTGGCTTCTGTCTTTTTAGGTACGTTTTTGCAAGAAAAAGCTGACGTAAATCCCTGTACTCTGCACCCATACCTAAAACTCCAAAAATGTCTGCAACAAAAGAGAAATACAAAAAAAGATGGGAAAGAGGAAATTTTTCGTTCAGAAGTTAGTCACAAGCTCCCCCTCATAGAGGAAACGTCAGACGACGTTCCCAGACCTCCCATTCCCAACTGGGATCCTTTTTTTGTTTTTTGTTTTTTCAATGCCCTTAGAATTCTTAGTTTTCAACTTCTAAACGTTCAGAATGGACATCTGCAAGCTGCTCTTTGTAACGGCGCACACGATTTTGGGCGCAGCTGGAGTTTTCTTCAATTCTCTGCTGATTTACGTTGCGATCTTCTATTCACCGAAAAAAATTAAAACCTATGCCGCATTAATTCTCAATTTGGCCTTTTCCGACTTGATTGTTTGCTTAATCGACTTGTTCGTCCAGCAAAGGTAGTATTTTATTTTTCCTTTTTTCTAGCTTGGTACAAATAATACTCTGCCAACTAATCCGCTAACCATGTGAAGCCATCATTAAAGGTTATCTCTAGTCATCGTTCAATGAATTATAAACCCATCTTTTTAATATCCGTTAAAAGTTCTCATTTTTCGAACATTTAAAAGTCTGCTTTCAAAACAAGATTAAGAAATTTAGATCCCGGCAGCCATTTCCTTGAAGTTCATAAAAATTGTCATTTTGCTCAAATGATCACAAAACACGAATTCAGTATTCAATGCTTCTTATTTTTAATATGAAACAAATAACTTCTTCCATTAAAAATATCGTACTTTTAAACTGTGATTTCCAGAAAAATTTTCATAAAAATTCCATTGAATTTACTTAGGGGGCGCAAAGCCCCGCCCCTTCACGCCACCAAAATGACGATTTTTTTGTTGCAAAAAAACGGTTTTTGAGGCGTTTATACTAGCTAAAGTCCCACTTTAAAAATCAACTGTTTCTGTTAATCTATGTAATCGACAACGCTCTACAGGGCTGAAAAAAACTTTTTAACCTATGTATTTTTTTCAAAAAAATAAGCGAAAAAAAGTAAGATTTAACACGAAAAAAACTGACAAGTTTCACAAAAATCGTGGCGTTTCTGAAAACCAAGTGAGGAACGCTTCCGAATTTTGAGTATGTTATACATTAACACTTTCTTTATTTTTTGAATAAAAATTTAAAAAAATCTAACGACGCGAAAAAAAAATCGAAGCTTGTAAAGTGACACCAAACTTTGAAGCTGAAATGCGAAAAAATTTCAGCGACATGGTATACTTTTTTTATTTGATTTAAAAACTCACAATGTGCTCACAAACAAAAATTCAAAATGAAAATAATTATTGGGACAGCGAATCAAGTTATATTTGAGTTTTACCAAAACCTCCTTTTTTCGCCTGCCTCGTTGACGCATGAGAGAATAGGATCGCGTTTATACTTTTGATCAGGTTATTAAGCGTTCAAAACTCTATCAATGGAAAAATTATGAAAAAAATCAAACGACGCGAAAAAAATAACGGCTTTGAAAACCTCGAAAAAATGGCAATTTTTTTTAAATTTTGGAAGATTCCGTGCAAGTGTCCGTAGCAGTGTTTGCGTCAAACACACCGATGCGCCCTTTTAAATGTCGCAGGAGCCGTTTTTTTCGGAGTCAAATTGCACTTTTTTTCCTGTTTTATTTCGAAATAACATTATTTTTTTCATTTTTTTCTTTATTCCAAACAAAATGATAATAATTTTTTTCTGATTAGAAAAAAAGAAAAAAATAAGCTGAAAAATTCCTTCTGACCTTTTTTTTCTAAGTAGTTTTTTTGATATTTTATCAAAAAAATTGTTATGAGGATTGTACAAAAGATTCATACCAAAACATGAAGCTCAGTTCGGACAACCTCTCAGAACAGAAAAACCGATTTGAAAAACGGTTCAGAAATGCGTAAAAACATTTAAAAAGAAAGCGTGCGGCAGCGGGTAAACCGTGAGATTTTGCCTCTAGTTGAACGCCGCGCGCGCTCGTTTTTTGGCCATAACTTTTTTCTTAGTGGAGCTTTTTTTCAAAAAAACTAAACGGATTATGAAAATGGACAGTCTCCTCTATCGAAAAGTGTAAAAAACATATTTTTTGGATCGTTTTGAAGAAATGGCTTGCGGACCCTAAATTTACATAAATTTTAAAAAGAAAAGGCTCGCACCTGTAAGTCCATCATAGGAATCGAGGCTTCGTCCGATTTTCAATAAACAGCGATCTTGAATCTCTCGACTAAGTTTGAAGTTGAAAAATGATCATCGTTTCAGCCACGCACCTGAAAAAGCCAAAAAATATTTTTGAACATCGTTGAAGTTGAATTTTTTATAAATTTCCAACTTCATTTATTTTCAAAAGGCTTTTTTGTTTTTGAACGTGCAACAGACTGTTCTGAAAATAGTTTTACGGCACTCCATTAATAGCAAAAAAATAATTAACAAATTCCATAAAAAAACCTCTCAAATGCATGAAAAACTTTTATTTTTCGAAATCTCTCGATGAAACCTTTGAGAAGTAGACTTTTAAGCAATAAAGTGAACAAATAAACGAATCTCAACAAATAATTTTCTAGAAAACGACAGAAAATATGAAATTTGAGTTTAAAAAAAAATTCGAGAATGTCAAACTACACCAAGTTGCGGGCTGACGCAATCTTGCACCGAACGCTCGAAATTTTGAATTCGGAAAAGGGAAACTTCAATTTTTGTACTGATCGTTTTTTTAAGACATAGTAAATTCATATTTAAAAAAAAACTTATTTGAAACTATTTTTATCATTCTCAAAATTTTAAATAATCTAAACCATACTGAACGCTAAAAAAAAAAGTGAAATCAAAAAGGCATAAAAAATTCTAGAAGTTTTTATGAGTCTTTTTTTTATTTTGTCATTTTTTGCAGAACAGTTCCGTCCGGGTGGTCAGTCATTTTCATAGATAATGGCCCTTGCAAGTTTTTGGGTTCAACTTCTTGTTTTATGGCGTGAGTTCTGAACTTTTTTAAACTATTACAGAGTCAGATGAACTTCTAACTAAACGGAAAGTTTAAAAATTGCTTTTTGAGACTTCAGTTTGGATGAAATTTGCAAGAAATAATCTCACGACGGTGAGTAACACGAGTGCGTCCAAATAATTGACGCAAAATTTTCAACAAGAGTTTTCAAAGTCCAATAAAGGAGGTAGGGACCGCAAAGCCACGCCCCTTTTCGCGATAGAAAAAGTGGCTTTTTTTTGGTTTTCAACTTTCATTTTGTTGTAGTTGTGAAATATGTGGAACTGGCAGATAAAATTTGACACACATGTACAGAAAAGCTTCCTCTTTCGTTTAAAAAATATTTCACGCTTTTTTGATGCGTTCTCGCGGAATGTCGTACAAAAAAACGTGAATGGAACTAAAAAAATTTTTGTCATTTTTTTGCTTTTTTTCATGTGTTTTTCAGGTCGAACGCACTCTTTTCTTTTTTTATATAATGATTTTTGATTCAAGTAACGGTAATTTTAAAACAATAAAATAAAAAAATTCGTCTTTGCCAAAAAAATTTTAGGGAGTGCCGAAAGTCATAATTCAAAAATATCGTTAATAAGCGAATATAATCGAGTATTTGTTTTTTTCAAAAATTTAGACCATGGGCTTACTTAAATTTTTTTCTCTACAGCATATGTACTTGAAAAAGTTGTGTGATACGCAAAAATGCTCTTGAAAATAGAGAATAAAGTTAGCGGCGTTTATCACACAGAAAGCGGTCGAACGCAGGTTTTTCAAACGATTATATACATTTATTAGTAAAAAAATCTTCCAATTAAAAGAATAAAATAAAAAATTCGTCTTTGCCGAAAATATACGGGGCCGTTTTAATGCAGCGATCGTTAAAAGAGGCAAAAAGCACTGAAAAAACAGTTTTTTCGAAGTAAACTTTCACGAAACGTTTGAGTAAAGATTTGCGAACATATTCTGATGAAAATAGCTTAATTACTTCAAGTGTTTCTTTTTGAAATAGACAATCTGTGCTATTTAAACGGCTCAAGGGTAAGGCGGATGGAAGCTCCCCGCGCTAGACCTGGCCGCTTGGCGCAGCGCGTGCGTTGCGATTTTTCATTTTGAGGTCGCGAGTTCGATACCCGCAAGCGTCAGTTTTTTGTTTTCTGGAAAATACTGACTTTTTCGGCAAACTAGCAAATATTCATCATTTTAGCACTCTATTATGATTTGTTACATCATAATAGACCAGTATCAAAACTTGTTCTAGAAGAAAAATCGAGAAAATGTTAAAAATGGATAATACCAAAATTTCAGTACTAAAAAAATGGTGCGCGGCGCGCCACATTTTTCGTCATAACTTTTTTCATCCTCAATCTTTTTGAAAAACTAAACGGTTCTGAGTTTTGAATCGAAACAGCTATCAAACCATACAAAGCTCGATGCTGAAAAAAAATTTTTGAAAATTCGTCTGCGGTCCCTAAAAGGAGGATAAAATTTTAAAGCCTTATACGTCTGTGAACTTTTTTCTCTCACCGGAGATGATACAAGAGAAGCCGAGAGAATAGAGGGCGCAGACAGTTTTGTATGTCTCAAGCCATGCTGAATGGTGTATGATGAAAAAAAAATTCGAAAGTTTTAGCAGAAAAAAAAGCCGATTTTATCTTAGATAATATTTTTCAGGAACAACTTCGGACAGCACCTTCTGACTTTCGGAGTCTATTCCCTCCTCTTATCCTTCTGCTACCGATATTATGTGATAACAAGACAACCTCCAGAACGACGTACGATTCTAACAATCCTCGCGTTAGTATATATCCCCTCATTCATTCAATTGGTTGGACTTCGTTTCCATTTTTGATCTACTCCTCACTCTCAGATTCTGTCTCTGATCATGGTCAGTCCCGAAGAAGAGATGCGACGGATTTTCGAAGAAGCATATCCTCAGTACAAGTCGGAGAACGTCATGATCAGTGGGGTGGCCGATATTCGGGATATCTGGCCCGCGGTCGCCATTTCACATGCAATTTTTTCCATTATTCCAATTTACGCGGCTATTTTTGTTCTTCGACAGAAAATATCGAATCAACTCAATATTCCTCTGCGAATCAGTTCGGAGACGAAAAGCATGCAGAAGCAGTTTTTGAAGGTTGGTGATTACCTTACGAATATCGGCTCCTATTTAAAACTAGTACATTTCAAAATGAACTAAACGCTAAAATGTGTGATTTTTAACGTTTGTCAAGTTTAAATGGACCTTTCAAAGGCAATTTTTCTGAAGGAAAATCAAATTTTCCTTTCCCATTAACTTATCACTCGAAATAAACTTTTAAAATCCAAGTCTCAGCAAGGAAATAAAAAAAAAACTAAAATCAATCTGTCGCCATTTTTCAATTTTCAAAATTGACTCCCACAAAGATCTTCCTATAATCGAATTCACGTGGTACTTCAAAGCTTAAAAATAATATTTCAAGAATCGGTCAATTTTTCTTTAGAAGTATTTTCATTTTTTCTAAAATGAGTTCTCACCTGCTTTTATACCTCAAAAGAAATTTTTGTCGCTGGTACTCAGTTATAAGTAGTTTCAAAACCTCAAAACTGTCCCTTTCCAGAAAATTTTTCAAAATTTCAGGCTCTCACGATCCAAACGTGCATTCCGATGTTCAGCATAATCGCCATCTCCACCTTCGCCATTGGTCATTTGAAAATATTCAACCATCCGGCTTTAGAATATTCGACCCCCTTTTCTCTGCTTCTAACGCCAGTCGTATCCCCTTTAGCCTCATTATATTTCGTACATCCTTATAAAAATAAGATTATGAGCTTGGTTCTGAGAAGAAGCTCCGTTTCACAAAAGTCTGCCCCCGTTGTTTCCTACACGCTTTGAAAATAAGTTACTATTCGAAATTAGTAGACTTTAGACAACTTTTTTTTGATAATACTGTCATTTTTGACGTTGCCGGGAAAATAAACTATTTCGTCTCGTTGTCAATGTTTTCAAATAATGGCTCTAAAAATTACCTGGTGTAAATTAAAGATCTTTTGTAAACTGAAAAATATTTCATGTTTTCCTTCTCATGCATAAACAAGAAGAAACGTGTTTCTTGAAGCTGAAAAAGGGCACATTTTATTTTTTTAAAAAAAGAAATGTTTCTGGGAAAATTTTTAGTGGCCACTATTGAGGCTCGCCCAGGACTACTTGGAGAAGACACTAAAGTGGCCACTAAACCCATCTCTATAGTGACCACTATTTTCCGTTCTAGTGGCCACTTCAGTAGTTTTTCATCCAGTAATCCTTCCAGTAACTCTGATAATTTTTAAACAAACAGATTGGACCAGTTATGTTGATTCATTGATCCCTAAAGTAGCCACTAAAATTTTTAGTCGTCTAGTAGTAGCACTTAGACCTTTATAGTGGCCACTAATTTTTAACCCCTCAATTGGCCACTATTTTGACTACTATAGTGGCCTCTAAAACGTCTAAACTCTATAGTGGCCACTAAAGTTTTTCTCAGTAAGAAAAAAATATAATGAGCTCATGGACGAAAAATAACGACTGCATTCCATTAATGAGTTGTTCCTAGACACGAAGTTTTTTTTTAACATTTTTCTCAGTCTTCTACTCTATTTCTCTTGAAAAAGGTAGTTTTTTTCGAAAAAAGGTTCAAAACGAAGGTAGTTCGAAATGTTGTAATCATTTTTTCGAGTACAATGAATGTCCTGGGAAAAATTTCGCATATAACTCGGAATTTTTTGACTTTCTTCTCACTTTTATGCCTTTTTATCAAAGATCATTTTTTATGTTGAAAGCGTTATAAGTCTAAAATACGTGAATAAGTCATTTTAAAAAGAAGTTTCTTTTAACAGTACTACGAAAGAAAGTTCCTCGAATCTTTTTTTTATGGACTACAGAGAACTTCACAAGTTCCCTGATGATTCAATGATCAAAAGTTAAAAAAAAACAAACTTTCAATGCAATTTTTCCACTTCACTTGACCCCACAAACCGAATAATTTGACATTTTCGAGCCTTTTTGTAGTTTTATGACTATTAATCTTTTATTTGTTTACTAGGGCCGCAAAATATTTAAAAAAAGCTGAGATTTTTCTTTGAACTTTTTTCGAAAAATTCCCTCAATTTTCATAAATCTTCCAACAGACCAAAAAGTGCAGCAAAAAACCTCCAAAAAAACGCCCTTCGAAAAAAAAATAATCAAAAATTTTCACTTTAACTCGTCTGGGCTATAAAATTGAAGTTCCTGTCTCCAAATTTATTTTTGACTTTATATTTTGGCATTTTCCTCCGAAATTGTACTCCGTCTGACTCAACCCACTTTTCCTTTTCAATTGCAAGATCAAAATCATTTTTTCAGCTTCCTGGAAAAAAAATGGAAGCGATCAGGATGCTTTTCTCAACGGCGCACGTTTTCATCGCCCTTTTGGGCTGTACATTCAATTCCATACTGATTTACATTGCCCTGTTCCACTCGCCGATGAAAATCCGCTCCTATGCTACTTTGATCGTCAACTTTGCTTTCACTGATTTGTTAACATGTGTCGCCGATCTATTCGTTCAGCAGAGGTTGGTTTTATTGTTTTGATGATTTGTGGCCGCATTTGGAATGGCTTAGAGTGTTGGGGGCGCGATTTGAAACTATGCAACATTCTCTCACACTTTTTCGGAAGCACTGTGATTGACAATAGTAGTTTTGAAATGGCTGCTAATATTTTGAAGAAAAAACTTGATCTTTTTTCTTTAACATTTTATCAGGCTATTTTAAAAATGATAGCCGGAACCGCAGAGTCATCCCAAATGCGACCAAGATCACGAAGAATATATCTTCAGATTGATTCCTGTCGGAGATTCTCTAGTCTACGTTTCCAATGGATTTTGCCAGTTCTTCGGACATTCTGCCTGCTTCATTGGGTTGGCTATTTCATTTTACAATAATAAATAAAGTTTTCAGGTATAACTTCATGCTCCACCTTCTAACCCATGGACTTTACTTAGGGACCGCAAAGCCACGCCCCTTTTCGCGATAGAAAAAGTGGCTTTTTTTTGGTTTTCAACTTTCATTTTGTTGTAGTTGCAAAATATGTGGAACTGGCGAATAAAATTTGACACACATGTACAGAAAAAGCTTCCTCTTTCGTTTAAAAAAATATTTCACGCTTTTTTTGATGCGTTCTCGCGGAATGTCGTACAAAAAAACGTGAATGGAACTAAAAAAATTTTTGTCATTTTTTTGCTTTTTTTCATGTGTTTTTCAGGTCGAACGCACTCTTTCTTTTTTTAAATAATGATTTTGATTCAAGTAACGAAAAATTTTTAAAACAATAAAATAAAAAAATTCGTCTTTGCCAAAAAAATTTTAGGGAGCGCCGAAAGTCATAATTCAAAAATATCGTTAATAAGCGAATATAATCAAGTTTTTTTGTTTTTTTAAAAAAATTTAGATCATGGCCTTACTTAAATTTTTTTCTTCACAGTATCTGTGCTTGAAATAGTTGTTTAATACGCAAAAAAATGCTCTTGAAACTAGAGAATAAAAATTAGCGGCGTTTATCACACAGAAAGCGGCCGAACGCAGGTTTTTTTAAACGATTATATACATTTATTAGTGAAAAAAATCTTTCAATTAAAAAGAATAAAAATAAAAAAATTCGTCTTTGCCAAAAAAATTTACGGGGCCGTTTTTAAGGCAGCGATCGTTAAACGAGGAAAAAAAGCACTAAAAAAACAGTTTTTTTCGAAGTGAATTTTCACGGAAAGTTTGAGTAAAGATTTGCGAACATATTCTGATAAAAAAATAGCTGAATTACTTCAAGTTTTTTTATTTTTTTGAAATAGGCAATCTGTGCTATCTAAACGGCTCAAGGGTAAGGCGGATGGAAGCTCCCCTTGCTAGACCTAGCAGCTTGGCGCAGCGCGTGCGCTGCGATTTTTTTCATTTTGAGGTCGCGAGTTCGATGCCCGCAAGCGTCAGTTTTTTTGTTTTCTGGAAAAATACCGACTTTTTTTCGGCAAACTAGCTGATGAGCATCATTTTAGCACTCTATTATGATTTGTTACATCATAATAGACCAGTATCAAAACTTGTTCTAGAAGAAAAATCGAGAAAAATGTCAAAATGGATAATACCAAAATTTCAGTACTAAAAAAATGGCGCGCGGCGCGCCACATTTTTCGTCATAACTTTTTTCATCCTCAATCTTTTTCGAAAAACTAAACGGTTCTGAGTTTTGAATCGAAACAGCTATCAAACCATACAAAGCTCAATGCTGAAAAAAATTTTTTGAAAATTGGTCTGCGGTCCCTAACTTTACTCTCTACTACTATCTTTCTGCTATCGATACTATATCCTACAAAACTGTGTTCCAAAACGAAGATCTATACTGGGAATTTTATTTCTGATGTATTCACCTTCGCTTTTCCAATTGGTTTGCTCTTTTTCCCATATTCAGTTTGAATTCAGCTAGGCGTCACAAAATGACTATAGTTGGTGGGAAAATACATTTTTTCCAGAGGATTTATCACAAGATTCTTCCGGGATTAGGCTTCTACTCAAAAAGAAAATAAGACAGAGAAAATTGAAAATGTGTCTCAGTTTAAAATCTCCCCAATTGAAATTGAGCCTTTTTTCTTATCACTTTTTTTCGCTGTTTCTTTTTTCTGAGCTTAATTTGAAAAAAAAAAACATGAGTCTAGCAAACTTCTCTGTAAAGCAGACATTTTTTTAAAACTGTATTAGCTCGAATTCATTGAGCTTATTATTCAAAAATCAAAAAATAATTGCAGATCAGTTCAATACCATCGGAAAGCCCCCCAGAAGAAATTCAGAAAATAATCAACGATCGATTCCCGACCTACGAAATCAAAGACGCGATGGTCAATGGCGTGGCTAATATTTATACTTTCGGGGCTCAGTTCACAATAATGCACGCTTCACTACCAATCTTCCCAATTTACGCAGTTATTCTCATACTCCGCAAGAAAATCATCAAAAATCTGGGCGTTATCAACACCTCGATGCGGTCCGACACCAAAGCCATGCACAAGCAGTTTTTGAAGGTTTTTTTTTGGCTTCCAATCAATTTTTAAAAATTTTCATAAGAGTTATCGGTATTCAACCTTAGCGAAAAAAAAGCAAAAAAAAAAATTAAGCAAAATACCAAATTTGTACAAAAATATTTCAAGCGCAAGATGCTTGAAAAACATCCCCGCTAAGCAGCGCCGAACTAGGCATGCGGTGGCTTGAAGAGACGCCAGACATAAAAACTACCACGACTTCTCTGGCGTCTCTTCAGACAGCTGTAGTCTCTCGCAGCTACTTGTTTCTACTGAAATTCGAAAAATCAGAAATAAATACTTTTTTTCAGGCCCTAACCTACCAAGCCTGCATTCCGGCCTTCTTCTCCGTCGCTGTCGTCTCCTATTCTCTCGGCCAACTCAACATTATCAACCATCCAATTCTAGAGCACACCACAGTAACTGCCCTAATCTTTATCCCGGTTCTAACCCCTTTGGCTTCATTGATCTTTGTTCGGCCCTATCGGGACAAAATGGGTAGTATGCTCAATATTAGTGCCAATTCAGTCAGCCGAAATGCAACTGTTTCGGTTTCTGGAGCATTGTAAAAAAAATTTCCCTGTTTTTTTTTTTCGAATTTTGAATCATCTTTTTGGTTTTTTGAAGCACAGCCTGACTTACGTATTTGTTATAGTCAATGTTTCCCGACTTGAAAGGTGAGAAAGGCGGGGCAAGGGGCGGGACGCGTAGCGTGTGCGTTCGCGGTCCTTGGCACGTGTTCAATTCAACCGCCATCTACTCCTTGAAAAGCCCGTTTTTCGCTTTTTTTTTTCATTCTTGTTTCAATTATTTATTGATTATGTTCATGTGTGCATCAAGAAATAGTAGAAAACATTGAAAAAGAGCGGTTGCCGAGCTTTTTAAATAGTCGGCGACAATTGAATTGAACTCGTGCCAAGAACCGCGAACGCACACGCTACGCGTCCCGCCCCTTGCCCCGCCTCCTTCGCCTTTCAAGTCGGGAAACATTGACTATACCTTCTTATCTCTTTTTGAGGATAAATGATAAAAGAAAAAGAACCTTGATTATCCGAGACTAATATTGAGATATTGTTCCAGTTTTTCCTGAAACCAATCATTCTGCCAGTTGCTTGTCTGACCGTATATCTGAAAATTATTATGAAATAAATTCATTACCGTTTTCAATAATAATAAAATGTATATAGATTTTTGTTCGTCGGTTTTTTTCAAGCTTTCTTTGTCAAATTAGCTTTTCAATGCCCATATTTTTTTAAAAAAACAATCAATCAAAAAACAACCTCGAAGGATTTTGCGCTCTATAGATGATTTAAAGAGTTTGCACAACTTTCCACCAAATTTCTTGAAAAAAAACTTTTTTCAAGATTCTCTTTTAAAATATCAACTGAAAGAACCCAATCGAAAAAAATTCCGCTTGTGTCCATCATTCCTTTTATGAATAGCTTCATTTTGAAAAAAGTTATTCATTTAACTCTTGAATTTTCCTCAAGCAGCAGACTTTAATCAGCTCCATTCAACACAAAAATCTGTTTTTCTAACTGGAAACTTGCTTTGTCTGGCTTCAAAAAATGATAGATGTCTACCAATTTTTCTTTGTTTCTTTCCACATAATCATCTTTTTGACAAGCAGTACTTTGAATCTGCTTTTGATTTTTCTCGCCTTGTTCCATTCACCGGCCGCAGTTCGTACCTATTCCGTCTTATTGATAAACTTCGCCTTGACTTTCTTTTTCTCCTGCGCCACTGATGTTTTCATCTGCGTACGGTAGGTTTTTTTTGTGAATAATTTTACTAAAAATGAAAAAAATTCCCTACAGTATCAACTTTGGAAGGTGGAACTTTTAAAAGCCAATGACAACATTTTGAAAAATGCTTAAGGAAAAGCTCAGAATTTAAAAAAAAAACGTCGTTGAATCTCTATGGTCGCACTGAGAATGGCTCAACGCGGCGCGGTCGAGTTACGGTTCGAGATAAGATTCACCTGAAGTCAGCACTTAGAAGCTTACTAAAAAACTTCTCGATGACCCTCTGCTAAAGTCATTTTGAGTCGGACACGGGGAATGGCTCAATGCGTAGCGGCTGCGAAGCGGTCTCTGCAAGTGGGCGTGCGCTTCAGAATGGCACCGCTACTCTTCGAGCCATTCTATATGCGGCCAGAAAGTTCCATGATTTTTTGAATTCATACCAGTAGGACTGTTTTCAAGAAAACATTCTAGAGTAATACCAGCCGGCTGGTCGACTTTTCTACTGTTCAATGGACCGTGTCAAATTTTCGGCGATTCTGCTTGTTATTTTGGGTTAGATCTTCGTTTCAAATATTGTTCCCAATTTTCCAGTTCAGCCACAGTTTCATGACTCATCTATACCCTTACTATTTATGGTCTTTGATCGTTTCTTTCTACTACCAATGCTACATTCTGGACCACACAGCGCCATCAAAACGCACAATTATTCTGATTTTGACGGCTATTTATATCCCTTGCTTCTTTCAAATGGTAAATTTCGACTATTAGGGTTCAGAAACTCATAGTTTTAGACCTATTGACAAAGAGAGTTCAGTCAAAAGAGCTTTATTTTGAAGGTGCATGGGCAACGCTATGAAAAAAGTTTCAAAGCGAAAAGGGTCTTTGTGGAATTTTCAGCTGTACTTTATACACGGAAAGCTTGCTGGAAGTGTTTAAAAAATAGTAAAGCTAGAAAAAAGGCACTTTTCGCTTCGAGACCTTTAAATTACTGGTATATGCGCCTTTAAACGCCTAATGAAGCTTTTATGAAGGAAATATTCTATAGAAGTTTGAAGCCCTTTTTTTGACAGATTAAAAAAATTTTCGAAGTTTAAACATTCGAAAAAGTTTTTTAAGAACCTCGAAAACTATAAAAACTAAAAAACGTTCGCCTCGAAGCCTTTCATGGCTTTGAAAATTTTAAAAAGCTACTATAAACGGACTAAAATACGTTTTAGTGAAAAATATGCATTTTTTTTCAGGTCGGCTTATTTTGGAAACGAGACGAGAGCAAAGTGATGACCAAATTACTCATTTCGAAATTTCCTCACTACTCTTCGGACCATGCAACTGTTTCCGGCGTGGCAGACCTCCGGAAAACTTTTTTGGCCTTTATTGCAATTTCTCACGCTTCGCTTCCGATTCTACCCATCAACGTTGCTGTCATTCTGATGCGTCGGAGAATTATTCGAAAACTGGCCGTTTACAGTTCCATAATGGCCAGGAAGACCCAGCTCATGCACAAACAGTTTCTGAAGGTTGAATTTTTTCTTTTTGGTGACCTTTCATTAAATTGTTTTCGAAGGTGCAAGGTAAGTCATTCCAAACTACACAGTGAAATGATTCTTTTCTCCAAAACATTCAAATTAAGGCTTTTTGAACTTTCACTCAAAACCGTAGGAGATCCTAACCGATCTTGGAATGGCTCAAATGACTCAAATCGTAGCAGCCCCCGACCAAAAACGACTTACGCGAAAAAAAACCATGAAAATATTGAAAGCAGAATCCAAAAAGTTCCCCTTCAGGCGCTCACCTACAAAGCCTGCCTACCATGCTTCTACCTCCTCGGTTTCACAAGCTACTGTCTGGAAAGGTTCGAAATAATATTCCACCCAGCAATCGAATATTCAACCGTCTCTTTCATCGTCTGCGTCGCCGTTTTGTCCCCGATGATCTCACTTTATTTTGTCCAACCTTACCGCCACTTTATTCAAAAATCTCTCGGCTTGAAGCCAAGTCCAGCTCCTCAGAAAATTGTATCTGTTGTCCGAAGTCAGACCGTTTGAAATTAAACTTTTTTCCGTTTTCGCAACGCAAAAATGACGTATCGACCAACGCAGTCAAATTTTTTTTTTCTCAACTTTGTAAATTTACTTAAAGGAGTCTTGAAAACTTAGCGCTCTAACCCAAACTGAAGCTTCTCAGTTGCTTTTGGAAAGGCTCAGACTTTCTATTTCCGTTTTGAAAATCAAAAATTTTTCTGCAAACTCTCTCAAAATAATAAGAAAATTGAGAATCAACATGCCTTTTCGAACTTTTCATGCTTTCTTGCAACCCTATGCTCGCATTTGGAATGGCTTTAGAAGCGATCTTTCCCTGGTCAAATCTCAGCGAAACTCCGACGCATTGAGTCATTCCAAATGCGACCATGCTCGATATTTTGAGTTTATTTTCAGCAAATTGAAAGTATGATCTCCTTGATCAGATCACCCGATTTGAAACTTGAATTAAAACTGAAAAGACATTGGCCGCATATGGAATGGCTCGAGAGATCTTTTCACACTCCAGCGCAACCGCAACGCGCTAAGCCATCCCAAATGCGATTCGAATCAGATTAAAAATCCTTTCAGAAGCTTTCTGAAACATAACATGCACAACCAAAAATAAAATATTTATCAATCTCTACTGATTCTTCTTCAACAATATATGACCATTTTTCTTGGGGGATTTTGCTCTTTGAGCTAAAAATTAGGAGAGTTAGTAGCTTATAACAAATATACAGAATAACAAATAAAATCAGGGAGATAAAAGCAAAAACGTCGAGATTCAAGTAGACGATTGTGTTCATGCGCGAGCCCTCCACATGCAGTTCTTCAAGCACCCCGTTTTCGATGGCAAACTGAAGGAGTCACATTTTTTTCTTTCATGTTTTTATATTTTTTTGTATTATTTATTATTAAATTTATTTTTCCAGTAACGAATCGAATTTCAGTCGCGCAAATACTTTCTCAAATAGAGCTTATTGTGGCGAATTTTAGGTTGAGAATCCACAAAACCTCTTACTTAACGAGTAAAATATTCACCAAGTTTCCGAAAGTCTAGAAGTTGAAAAAAAGTCACCTTTTTCTTCCTATTTTTTTACTCTTGAAAAGATCCCTAAAGACCCTAATAACTTATAAAACTTGAAAAACATACCTCAGTCCATTTGACCAGACGATCCTTTGGCGAGAACGGCTTATCGCGCATCATTGCTCCTAGTCTTTTCGCGTTTTCAGAGTACCTGAAAGTAGGTAAGTTTAGATTCATTTTCAAAGACACAAACTTGGGATTCTCGACAATTTCCTTGACAGTTGATTTGAAGGTATCGTAGCCCATGTCAAGCTTGTGGATTACCTAAAAAAAAGGTAGCCGTTGAGTTTTATCTGTACCCAAAAAAGAGAAAACGTTTCAAAAGGGTTTGAATTTCATAACTAAAAAAAAGTGAAATCAAAACTTTTAACAAATAATTCGTGATTTCAAGACACCAAAAAAAGCTTATTGAATGAGAAAAAAATATGGGTGGTCTGCAAAGCCTCAAGATGGCAAATTATCTTTAAATTTTCAAAGTTTTCATTTTTTTGACAAAATGATATCCAAAAATCAGATAGAAAACAAGCTTTATGCCAATAAGAAATGAGAATCTATTACCATATTATCAGATCACCATTTATTCTTGAGCCTCTAATGAAAGCTGAATGAATTGACCAGGGAACGTTTTTACCCCCTGATCAAGAAAAAAATTCTCGCAATAGATCTTGTTTCCGAGTTATGGGGCTTCAAAGTCCGTAAAATACGCAAATTAGGCCAAAAAAGCACTATTTCGGGCTTTTGAAGTGTCCTAACTCAAAAACGAGATCTATTGCGGGAAATTTTCTTTTTGTTCTGGAATCAGAGGGTCCTGAAGTACACTTCAGCAAAGTTTCAGCAAAAGTTCAACAGGAAGGTAAAAAACGTTCTCTGAGGAAGAAAAACTTCTGTTTCCGTTGAAACAAACCGGATCATTTTAGAGAGTTCTAGTTCCAAGAAATACCAACTTTTCCGATGCCGCGCTTCTCGACAGCCCTGCCATTCCTGAACTGATCGGCGAAAACCGGCACAACGACCAGAGGAACGCCTCGAAGAGCCGCTTCGACCAAGCCGTTGAGGCCGCCGTGCATCACGAAAAGTTTCAGTCTTGGATGTCCTGAAAATCAAAAATTCATTTGTATTGGTCGGTGAACTTATTCTTTGTTGAAAATTGAGTATAAAGACAGTTTTCGCGTGTCTGCGTCTCTCTGTTCCCTCAATGGTAAGGTCAGAGAAACATGAAAATAGCACGAAAACGTGAGAGGGTCGCCGAGAGATAAGGAGGAGTGCGCAGAGAAGTCCCACCTTTTCGAGTCGCGAAGAACGGACTATACACGACTTTTCAAAAATAACTTGGATTTATAGCAAATCGATTTCCTTTAGAATTTCTTTTTCAAGTCATCTAGGCTATAGAAATCGCTTTAATCTTCCCCCTACATACCTAAAATATCGACTTGTGGAAGCCATTCGACGAGGTCGTAGTTCGGAACTCCAGCGAACATCGGCCCAGTCTTATTATCTCCTTAAAACTTCTCCGTTTCTTCCCAAGAATTAAGTTCGCACCTTTATCAATTTTGATGATAAAATGATAATCTTCAAACTCCTTGATGGCTTGGATGATCTGACGCTTTCACGCTTGGTTGGAATGAACCAAACGGAATAATTGACCCAAGTGAGATGATAATCACGCCTTTTCGGCCTTTCTCCATGAGCTTGGAGAATTTCTGAAAATCTGTCACTGTGCAAAAAATTATATTTGTAGGGGTGTTACGTTTCAACTTTTGGTCATAAATTTTACTTGCCTCTAAAAATAAAGTTTTTTCTGAAAAGGTAAGAAAAATAAAACTGTCTTCAAAATGCGCTTTTCGGAAGAAAAAAATGCTTTAAAATTGAGTGAATGAAGGTGAGTCAAAAATTATGACGCATCTGAAACCTCACAAAGATCCCCAAAGTTTCCTTTTACGACTGAGGTTAAAAAAATACAAAAGACTTTTAAAAAGTCCCTGAACATACGGCTTTTATCTTCAAGCTTAATTCAATAATTATGACGCGCCGAAACACACCTCGTCCAACGGCTTGGGCTCCTTGTCGACCCCCAACCCTCCAATGTAGATCGTCTTGTGGATGATCGGCCGAGGGAGGTCGAAGATCTCGTCGGAATTCACAAAGCAGAGGGAGGAGTTGGCGGCGATTTCGCGGACGTTGGGGAAAACCGGGTCGAACTGACGGAAGACGGCGGTGGTCCCGTCGGTGCCGATCCGGTGGACGACGATCGCCGCCACGTACATGTACAGGTTGAAGCTCCGTTGCCAGAAGTCCATCACGTCGCCGTTGTCGTTCTCTTCGATCGTGGGGACATAAGAGGGCGGTGCTGGGATTCCTGAAAGGCTCAATTTTGGTTAACTGACCCTTATGCTAATGAGGGTTAACCAACCGGGCTAGAGCGGGCTTTCGGCGGGTGTGCCCGTTTTAAACGCGTATAAGCACAGGCTGTAGAACTTTTGGCATTTTTTCACAGCACCGTTGGGTCACATACTTTCGAAATAAACACAGCTGGGTTACCTATTCCTTCTTGCACGTTTTAGCCCAAATGAGAAAAACGGGTTTGAAACGGGCACACCCGTCGAGAAACCTGGCCAGAGTGACATAGTAATTTCTTTATTTTGAAACTCCAGAACTTTTTCGTTCTCGCAGAAAAACAGAAAAAAGAGGCTCAACTTAGGAACGCGTTAGTAATCCCAATAGGGATAAGGGAAAAAAGAGCCCTTATAGGGATACAAAAACTGTTTTTAGATCAAAAATAGATATCTCTTATCACTCAAAGCCATAAGGAATCTAGTTCAAATCATTTCGAGATAAAAAATGACGTAAAATAAAGCTTTTAACAGAAACTAGGCAATTTTTGGCTTTTTTATAGTAAATCCCTTGCTTTTTCTTGCTTTTTCCGGCGGGGAATAACTTTTTGACCAATTAAAGAAAAGAAGGTTTCTGTGAAATATTTTAACAATGGTTTTCATATCAACCATTGTATTCGTAATTTTTTTCAAAACCATTACCCAGATTGTAGCTGACCGCGTCCATGATCGACGTCGTTGAGATCCAAAGGTGATTTTTGATGCCCAGGTACCTGAAAAAAACAAACTTTAATTAGAAGAACAGAAAAATAAAGTTAGAACCTAATGACGCCAACACCGCAAAGGTCAATCTGTTCACTAAAACCGACGTCGAATCCGTAGTCGGCCAGGGGCTTTAGTTCGTCTCGCCGTTTCATGAGGTCTGAAAACAGAACGGTGACTTTGAACCGTAATTGTTTAAGAAACTTTCTAGAACACTGTCAAAAAATCAAAGTGGCACCAGAATATACAGTGAAGCTTCCAAACAGGAAATTGCAGCTTCAAGAAATATTGCTCATGTTTACAAGCTTGCTGAGAACAGAATATCCTCAAAAATGCAGTAGCTCAAAAGAAAGTATCTACGAAACTGGGAGCTAAAAAGATGCATTTATTGGATAACATCTAAATCTTTGAAGTCACTTTTAGACCCAAAAGTTTTTTTGAAAAATAAAAATGGCATTGAAGTACAAAATTCTTAGGACTTGAGAAGAAGAAAACTGATGATAAAGCCTAAAAAAATCCTTTTTCGGTATAATAAAGCAGAATTTTTTCAGATACATATTCAAACTGTAAGACGGGTACTGTAACGAAAGATATTGTATAGTATCCAGACCTCCTAAAACTTTAAGTATGACAAGAATCCTGATGAAGTAATCAAAAAAAGTTCTCTAAAAAATCAATCCAGTACCCCCACAAATCGACGTGGCCGTGTATTCGAAATCCAGCCGCTCCATCACACTTAAGCGGTCACTTTTTAAGGTCAGCTCCGGCCAGCCGTCCATCATCTCGCCAAAGATTGGGTCTAAAAATCTCCTTTTTTTAGATTTTGACCCTGAAAAGAGGAGAAAACTCACTAATATTCCTCATAGTGATGACCTTGGCTTTCTTGGTACCTAGAAATGACGTCAGAGGCATGTACTCCGGGATGAACATCACCTGGAAACGGTGGGTTTTTGGATTTCTTTTTTCTAAAACTCATCGAAAAAAAATATGCTTAAAGCTTTAAAAATATCGATAACTGATAATATTCCTTCCTTGATCAACTTAGGAATGCCAAAGTGGTCCCTAAAGGCGCATCCTTAAGAGCCCTTGAAGGTTCCCCTCTAGGGGCTACCTTACCTTCCTTTTGATTACAGTGATTCCCACAAAGCTTGAAAGTGGCCAGTGTAGGGTTTTCAGTAAGTGGTCACTCTAGGGGAGCATGCTGGTGGTTCCTACACGTCTTTTTATCGTTCAAAAAATTAATAAAAATTAAAAACCTTTGTAAGGACGTCATAAGCTTTAGGGTCCTTAGGGGTCAGACCCGGGCACCTCAATTAGGGACCGTAGACGAATTTCCAAAAAATTTTTTTCAGCATTGAGCTTCGTATGGTTTGATAGCTGTTTCGATTCAAAACTCAGAACCGTTTAGTTTTTCAAAAAAGATTGAGGATGAAAAAAGTTATGACGAAAAATGTGGCGCGCCGCGCACCATTTTTTTAGTACTGAAATTTTGGTATTATCCATTTTTAACATTTTCTCGATTTTTCTTCTAGAACAAGTTTTGATACTGGTCTATTATGATGTAACAAATCATAATAGAGTGCTAAAATGATGAATATTTGCTAGTTTGCCGAAAAAGTCAGTATTTTCCAGAAAACAAAAAACTGACGCTTGCGGGTATCGAACTCGCGACCTCAAAATGAAAAATCGCAACGCACGCGCTGCGCCAAGCGGCCAGGTCTAGCGCGGGGAGCTTCCATCCGCCTTACCCTTGAGCCGTTTAAATAGCACAGATTGTCTATTTCAAAAAGAAACACTTGAAGTAATTAAGCTATTTTCATCAGAATATGTTCGCAAATCTTTACTCAAACTTTTCGTGGAAATTCACTTCGAAAAAAACTGTTTTTTTAGTGGTTTTTGCCTCGTTTAACGATCGCTGCATTAAAAACGGCCCCGTAAATTTTTTTGGCAAAGACGAATTTTTTTATTTTATTCTTTTTAATTGAAAGATTTTTTTACTAATAAATGTATATAATCGTTTGAAAAACCTGCGTTCGACCGCTTTCTGTGTGATAAACGCCGCTAACTTTATTCTCTATTTTCAAGAGCATTTTTGCGTATCACACAACTTTTTCAAGTACATATGCTGTAGAGAAAAATTTAAGTAAGCCCATGGTCTAAATTTTGAAAAAACAAATACTCGATTATATTCGCTTATTAACGATATTTTGAATTATGACTTTCGGCACTCCCTAAAATTTTTGGCAAAGACGAATTTTTTATTTTATTGTTTTAAAATTACCGTTACTTGAATCAAAAATCATTATATAAAAAAAGAAAGAGTGCGTTCGACCTGAAAAACACATGAAAAAAAGCAAAAAAATGACAAAATTTTTTTAGTTCCATTCACGTTTTTTTGTACGACATTCCGCGAGAACGCATCAAAAAAGCGTGAAATATTTTTTAAACGAAAGAGGAAGCTTTTCTGTACATGTGTGTCAAATTTTATCTGCCAGTTCCACATATTTCACAACTACAACAAAATGAAAGTTGAAAACCAAAAAAAAGCCACTTTTTCTATCGCGAAAAGGGGCGTGGCTTTGCGGTCCCTAACCTCAATTTCAGCCCATTAGTGACAGGGGCTGCTTTCCCTTAACCCTCTAGGAACTACTCTAGCGTTCCAAAGTAACTTGCAAAAAAATTTTTTTCAGAAAAAATCGATAATTATTCCTTATTCCGTTTTCGAAACTAACCACATCGTGTCCAGCATCGACCAGAGCGTCTGCGATTCTTCCATTCGAAATCAAATGGCTGGTGCTGATCGATGGACTGTACACTAGGATTTTTCCGGCTTCCGAAACTGCGAACAGTTGGAGAAGCGCCAAGGTCAGCCCTTCCCTCGGCTTCATCCTGGAGATCTGGAAGTTCATGAAGCGCTATTTATCGAATTTTTTATATATATTCTTTACTTACAAGCAGAACAAAATAATATGTACAAGGATACAAGAAATGTAAAAGAAATTTGAATGAAAAAATATCATGATTTGAAAGCTTTATGCTTTCGAAAAGCTGTCAGAAAAGTGGTTTATACCCTAAATTTCAAAAACAAAGTCTCTGACCAGAGAAAAAAGCAATTTCCTAGACCTGGAATGCAAAAAAGTCAGAATAAATATCACATTTAGGCAGGAAATTCGTTCTTAAAATAAAAATATTCATAATTCAATTTTAAAAAAAGATTCATTGTCTCCATAAATGATAGAAACATATTATTCACAACCTAACTAATTATAAACTAGCAACTAAAAAATTTTTTCAAAAAAAAGTCCACAACGAAAGGACCTATTGAAAAACTACAAAAAGGCAGGTTAAAAAAAATGTGGAAGCTTTCTGCAAACGAGGCTTTATCTTTCTTGTCACTTTTTCGCTTTTAAAGTTTAAAAGCTGGAAAGATGAAAAGCTTTTAACTTTTTCGCTTTTAGAACATCAAAATGGAAAGGTGAAGATGAAAATGTGCCCTTCAAAGTGGTTTAAAAAATATATTCCTTTTTTTTGCTTTTTAAAAAATTTTCAATTATTCGGGTAAAGTCGGAATGGTGGATAATGGCCGCTAAATAGAAGAGGCTCAAAAAAGGTCGCAGAAAGGTAGCAAAAAGAGTCCCTTCATCGAGCCTGAAATTTAAAGGCCCGAGAAATGGTGGAAAAAGGGAGAGGCAGCAAAAATGGTGCAAAAAGGCAGAAAAACAGACCCTTTCTCACTCTATAAGTAACCTTTTCAGACTTTGCCTATGTGAAAAAACGATAATTTCATGTTAAAAACCATGATCAGAAAATTTGAAATAACAGAGTTTCTATCGTTAGAAGTTTGAATTCAGGATTTAGAAAGAAAACTTGGTTTTTTACAAAAATCTATAACTTCAACTTAAAAAGTTCAAAACTCCAAAAAGGGTACGAAAAAGCAACCCAAGAAGAAAGAAAAAAGAGGAAATTGGGGAATGTCTCTTGTTTCTTCCAATAAATGATAGCGATTGATAAGCGCGCCAATAGAACGAGGTCGATACACGAGATTTGATCTCTATTGACGTGTTCCTCTTTTTTTCCCGCGGTCATTTAAAATGGTGCGTCCAAAACGATTCTCTAAATGTTTCTTTTTCTCAAAAATCATACTCGGACCTTGGTAACGCGAACTCGGACGTGTCGGGGCGTTTCTAGTGGCTACTTTAGTAGCCTCAGCGCTCTTAAGTGATCCCTAGAATTGCCCAGAATAGTCCGGAGCGCGTCCGTTTCGCGTTACCAATGTCTGAGTACGCAAAGTCGGAAAGGGTCGAAAAAGGTTCCATAGAAACGTTCTTTTAGGGTGAAAAGGTTTCCCTTTTTGGTGCCTTTTTGCGCCATTTTCTCAACCCTTACGCACCATTTTTGCTGCCTCCCCTTTTTCCACCATTTCCTGAGCCTTTAAAATCCTAGAAAATATGGAAGGCTCGATAAAGGGACCCTTTTGGTGCTTTTTTTTTTTGAGCCATTCCCTTTTAGCGGCCATTATCCACAATTCCGACTCTGCCCGAGATATCGATCATTGTGATTTTGAAGAAGTTTTTAAGGTCACTCAATAATTTTGTATGCCTCTACCTATTTAAAAAAAAAATCTCAGAGCGCAAAAAAAAAATTAGATTTTAAGTATTTTTCAATTTTAGGGTTTCCTAAAACTCTATTTTTCCAATTTTCAAATCGGTTTGATATTCGGAGAAACGAGGAATTAATTTTGAATCTAATCTCTAAAATTTTAAAAAAAGCACTGAAAAATTGACTCACTTTCGCTTTTCACTGTTAAGCTCCCCTTTCTTCCAATTTTTATCGGGGCTTCTGAAAATAATAAGTTTCAAATTCATTACTTTTGTCGATTATTTAGCCTACTCAGAAAATTTGAAGATCCTTTTTCGGAAGGAGAATCTAGAAAAAGTCGTGAAACTGGAATAATTCGGCCTACTAAAAAAGCTTGAACTGAAATTCTTCCCGATAAAATATGATTTTGATTCAAAAATTGGAGTTTTAAAACAGCTTGGTAAAAATCAAAGAAAAAATCTAATGCGCTCTAAAAAATTACCAAAATGATTTTTTGACTGCCAAAACCATTGAAAAATCTAAAAAATACGGCTGGAGCCTTAAAATGAAAGATAGCCGGAAATCAAATAGCTACCCTGCTCTATTGATAAAAGTTCAATTCAAAAAGTAACCTCCATTTTTTCTACATTCTAAACGTAGCACTCAGCCTTCTTTTTCTCGAACCTTCTTTTTTTTTTCAAATTTGCACTAAAAAGATGTCTAGAACAGTCATTTTCTTTATCGAATATATACTTTTTTTTAAAACAGCGGGGATCACACGTAATCTCGTACACATTGCCACAACTGGGGAAAAAGGAAGATTTTGGGAAGAAAAAAATTTTGTTTCTTCATCTTCTGTGCCGGTGATGGGGTTCAAATAAAACGGAAACACTATACCAACAAGGAAATAAGAGAAAAAAAAAACGAAGGAGGATTAATTAATAAATAGATAGAATAAAAATAAGGGGGATAAGGTGTATATATTTAGTTGAATTGAGGGCGTAAGGCAATAAAAAGATTTAGCACTCGAGAACACTGGGAATGTTTCAAAATTGGGATTTTTCGAGGTTCCCCAGTGTTCTGTTTCAAATTTAGCAGCCGAAATTGAAAAGGCATTTTTTGGCATTTTGTTTCTTTTTTTTTCGCAGAATGAATGAAAAACCAAACAAAACAATGAAAGGGGGAAGAAACGTTAGAAAATCGGTTAAATTAAGGAGAGAACCAAGAAAAGAAAATCGATAAATTAATGCCACCGGATGGGGGAAAAGAAGAGAACGCGAATTAGTTGGTGACCAAAAGAGCGGAGAAAAATCTTCTTCTTTGGTTTCTTCTTCGCAACAAAATAGGTAAAGATCATTCAAATCGAGGCAAAAAGAGGGAGGGTCTAAAACATCACCTAGATGAAAGAAATTATATTAGAACTGACTGGATTGGAATTGCAAGAATCAGAGAAAAGATAGTTTTACACGAAAGAGAAGGGTTAGGGAAGAGATGCCCCAAAAAAGGGAGGCATAGGCTTCTCACAATTAATGATATATATTTTAGTACAGAAGAGAAAGGTTATTCGCCGTTAGAAATATAGACTTTGGCGAGGGAATCGGCGCCGGCGGATCCGATCAGGGGTCTCGACGGGTGGAAGGCGACGCTGGTCACGGCCGCGTCGTACTTTTTCCGGTGAGCCGAGATCTCCTGCAAAATTTCAACATTTTTGGTATATTGGTTTTGTAGTTTGAACAGATTTTTCTATAATCTCCAAAAAAGAGGTACTTTTTTAGGATCTGACGATCGAGACCACTCAAAAAACTTTTTTTTCCATTCAAATAGGTTTTTGTGCAAACGGGTGTTTCTAAATACTCCTTATCGCCCATGGTACACTCACAAGATTAATGTTGTTTCGAAAAAATCATGATGTATGCGTTTTTTTTTGGTTCCGCCAGGAATATAAATTGAAAAACAAGGCTCAGAAGTTGAAAATTTCAAAATTAAAGCTGGAAGCTCAGAAACTACGTTGCTATTTTCTGTTAAAAGTGGAGGCTTGATTCAAAATTGAAAATAGTTTAAAGTACTACAAAAAAGGCTACAAAAGGCATCATTGGCATCATTGGAATCATATGGATAGAAACATAGTATTTGAGTATGAAAAAAACAAGTTCAGATCTAAACTTGAGAAATGGTTTGAAAACAACATTACAGAACTAAACACTCTTGATCCAACAAAAAAATATGAAAGCTACATAATCGACATTTAAAAGAATAACTTCAAGGTTATTCCAATTTACTCAAGTGGGGGGTTAACACGACCGCGAGTCCTCTTCCCTCCATCACCACAAGTTCCGACACATATGTTCCCAAATTCTCCCTACATCTATTTCGTGAAATTTAGTACTTGTGTGTGAGAAATAAAACATTTGATTGATTGATTGATTGAAAAGGAACTTTCATGCATTTTCGATCACTTGACGTCTATTTCAAAAGCGAAGGACTTTTTGAGAAATTTTTCGGATTTGTTGTCTTTTCAAACTGATTCGATTAAAATTCGACCAAAAGAAAGCAGCAATATCAACGGTACAGAAATTGTAAAAAAAAATCTAAATAGTTCATTTTTCCATTTCTTCTGTTTCCCTTCAATATTTTACATCTTTTCCTCTTTCCCCTTTATTTTTCCCACTCTTTTTTGGTCCACCGCACCTGGAGACAAACTTTCTTCTCCATATTCCACAGTCTCAGGCTTCCGTCGTGGCTTCCGGACAGCAAATAGAGGCCGTTTGGATCGATCGCCAGTGAGGAAACGCCCTCAACATGGGCCACCGACGAATGGATCAGGGATCCTGGAAGTTCATTTTATTATAACTTCTTCAGTTTCAGTTATTTCTCTCTCACCACTACTCGTATCGAAATAGCGAATTTTTCGATCGTCGCCGCCAATGACGGCAATCGGCATCGTTGGATGAGAAACGATTCTTGTTAAAATGGATCCTGCCGTAGCGTCTGAAAAAAATGAGTCCTTTTACATGGTGTGGAAAGCGAAATCTACGTAAATCTACTCGGACCTCGGTAACGAAAACTAGACGTTTCTGAGCTATTCTAGGGATCACTTAAGAGACTATAACTTATGGTTGTACTAGCGTTTTTTGCTGACGCCGCTAAAGTGGTCATTATAAATGCTCCGACACGTCCGTTAGCGTCACCAATGTCTGAGTACGTACAGCTCGGGCTTTTGCGCTCTATAGAAAATTTTTTTTCTATTGTCCCAACTTTTTTCACCGCCAGATTCAGTGATACAGCCATTTCACTTCTACTAGCTTAAGACGCAAAGAGGCGTGGCCTGTCTGGACTCTCCACCAACCATACACTCTTTTCTTATCGTGTCAGGACCCTTTTGAAAACTAATATTTATATACGTATCGAAAGTCGCTTTGGCTACTTTTCAAACTGATTTTTTTAGATGCAGATTAATACAAGAAACCATTAGATACATCTCAGGAGAACGAAAATCGTCTAAAAGTGCGAAAAAAGGCTTAAATTTGTATAATCAGAAGCTTGGTTTGCTGGAGAAAGCTATAAAAATTGAGAAAATCACTATTGAAACGGCTTGGGGCTTTTTCTTTGTCATTTTTATTATCATTTTATTTTGATGATTGAAACTTTCAAACCTCAGAGTTCTTCCAGCTTTAAAAACTGAGCTCGGGCGCTTTTTTGCGAGTTTCTTTCCAATTTCAGAAAAATATTTCTCGCAATTTTTCACTTAATAGTGATATTTTTGTGTAGCGAGCCATTATTTTCCGTTTGAAAACTCACCAGCGCCGAAATCAAAGACCAAAATGGGGGCGCCAGTTTCGACGTCGATAATTTGAGCGAAACATTGGGTGTAGGCGGCCAGGAGCTGATTGGTTTCCGTCGAGACAAAATCCACAGAAGTCGGGATCAGATTCGCCCGCGGCGCTTCGATAACTCGTACGAGAGGCTCGCCATTTCCTGGAAAATTCGAGTTTTGAATGGATTCTTTCACACGGGAACTTTAAAGGGGGTGGTGGGAAATTGAAGAAAACTTTTACAGAAATGATTTCGGATGTGCTAATTCCAGATTCATCAAAATTATCAATTTTTCTTTTCAATAAAATTCTAGAGACTTGAAGCCAGATATCCTCTTTTATCTTCAATGCAAGGAAACTGTCTGTTGAATATCATTAAATAAATTCTCGCGTGGTTCGATGATCCTTTAATAGCGCTAATTTTTCCATAAATTTGAAGGAGAAAACAAATTATAGCCCTATTAAAAGAACCATCGTCACGTTCGACATGAAATATATTGTAGCCCCGGGACTAGAATTAGCTGCTCGAAAACAAAAATTATAACAGACCATAGACTTCGAAGATTAAGCATACGTCGGAACGGCTCCGAGTGCGGCCTACCCCCTAAAACTGCAGCCTACCCCCTCCCCCACAAATGCGGCCGCGCAAAAGGTTGGGGTGTGATGTATGTACTTAAGGCGCCGCAAATTGGCATATTCGTAGAACCAAAGTTTCCTTATGAATTCTTCTAAATCAGCATATCCGAAAGTACATATGTTAAAAGTTTCATCAAATTATGCCTTTTCCCCTTTTCCTGTTTACTTCTTTACCTGGCTCCCAGAGGCGAATCGTCGAATCGGAACTGGCCGAAACTATCCGATTGTTCGAAGATTGGAAAGCCACGGACCATACGGCGTCGGTATGGCCTTCGAGTCGTTCAGGCAGAACTTTTGGATCTGGAATTTTTTTTTTTTTGATATTCTGATAGTTTTCAAACAGATTTTTCATCTAGAACAATGATAAAGAACAAAAAATCGGGTAATCGTCTCTTTAAATATAATAACCCTCACCATACGGATCGAAAGGATCACAATTGGTAGAAGGGACGTTCCAGCAGCAAATCACACCATCCACACCGCCTGAAAGTCCCAAAATGCTTAATTTCCAACATTAGACTTTCTAAACCAGTGTACAAATGATCTCCAGTGGGCGATAGTTCGAGACAAAGGACAGGACCCATATGGCCGCGGAAGGTATAAACTGGCTCCAGTTCTCCAGCTCCAGTCGCATGTTTGTCCTCTCTTTTCTGCTCCAGATTCCAAAGTTTGGCCGTACCGTCTTCGGAAGCCGTCACCAGCACCGGTTCCACGGGATGGAACTGCAAGACTTGATAATTTAAATCTCTTTTTTCGCGTGCTTCGAACTGCAAAGAAGGTCCTGAAAGTTTATTAAAAATTGAGTATCAACTTCGAAAATGAGATATTTTTATTTGAAAAATTTTTTGTTGAAAACGAACCTAAAGAAGGACACGAAAATCGATTAAATTTGGTTTATTTTTGATGGAACTCACAAAATCTTAATTTTTCAGATTTTCGATGTCTTTTTGTTCATGAAACTCTACCTGCATGGCTCGGATGGAATCCAAATGCGAGCGGAGCGTGACTTTCAGGTTCCACTTGGTCGGATGCATCGAGGCGTCGTCCTGAAGTAGCTTTTAGTAAAAATTAGGTAGTTCAGTCTTTTAAAATGTGAAACTTCTTCGAATAAACTTTCATTTTTGAATTTAACTCATACCGTTAGAATCAAAAGCCTGAAATAGGTACCGTGCAGAGCTGAATTTTTCCAAAACATAGGTAAAATGGCAGAAAAGCCATGGAAGCCGCCGCAACAAACGTAATGAAAATGTATATATTTTTGCAATATTCCATCCAATGAAGAAAAAAATACATATGATTGTTTTCCAGCTTTTTGAAAATTTCGCAAAAAAAGCCTTTTTTTTTTTCTTTACCCGATCGGAGAAACTTTTTATGATCCCTGTAGGGGCTGTCTTTTCCTAACCCTACTTGAGCTGTAGGGGCTAAAGATTCAGACTTTACATCCCTATAGAGACCATTTTTTAACCCACTATAGGGGCTGTTTTTTTTCCCCTAACTTTTACTTGCGACTCCTATAGCTCTATGAATGAGAAAAAGAAAGCAACCTCCATAGCAAAATCGTCCTTGATATCGATGGTATCATCGGGCGGCAGGCCGAGGGCCGAGTTCAGATCGACGCCGAAGTTGCTGCGACGGCCGCCGCGGATCCCGGGGGGAGCCGCAGATTCGGCGGCGGTCGCTGCGGCGATTCCTGGCGGCAGCGAGAATTCGGTCTCCGTTCCTGCAAGGTCCAATATTGGACAATTCCGATGTCAATTGATGAAAAATCTTCTCAGAGACTCAATTTTAAAAGGGTCAGATCTGTAATTCACACAAAGAGACACTTTTTAAAGCCTTTTTTGATTTTCTTGTGGAAATATTTCTTCAAGTTCCTTTTTTCCCGTTTTTACTTTCGAAACCGGAATCAGGGTTATGTTCTGAACTGCAATGCAACATTGAACTTCCAAAAAAAGACCCAACCATTTTCCAAATTGGCCGATCCAGACCGTCGATCATTGGATTCGCGGCGAACTTCCTGCCGTTCCCGTTCGACTTCGTCGTGTCCCTCGTTCCGCTTCTTCACTCGAGGATCACTCCTGAGAAAAAAAGAATGACTGTGTAAAAAAAAATTTCAAAAAAAAAAAGATTAAAAATCCATCTTCAGAAGCTCTACATTATAAAAATGTTCTAAATTTCCTATATTTATCTCTTTCGTATAAGAAACGTATATTTTAGTCGAAAAAGACGCTGAAACTCGCTTAGAATGGAGATCAAGGTTTCCTCATTTTATACGGCTAAAATCCTGAAAACCAACTTATACTTGGCGACGAGCCGATCGAACGTTCCCTCCTTGTTGGCCGAAAATTCGTTCATTTCAGCCTGAAACAATTGTTTCTTTTTTATTCAAGATTCCAAGGGTTCCGATTACAATGGACGGAGCCGCCGGTTCTTCTTTCAGAAAGGAAAATTCGTCCAAGGCTTCGGTCGCGTCGGCGTCCAAGTGTGCGCCATCGCCCTCGTTGTCCGAATCGCTGGAAAAACTTGGAAATTTCGATTATGAGGCTTGAAAAATGATATCAATGTAAAACTGAAAATCTCGGCAAAAAAGAGCTAAAATAAATTTTTTTTTTTGAGCTTTATGGGGCTTTATCTTTTTTCCATTATGTACATTGTTCAATGACTGAATTTCAGAAGATTCTCTAGGCGAAATTCAAAAAAATCATTGAAAAAAATTAGAAAAGTTGAGAAGCATACCAGAAAAAAATTTTCGACAGAATTTCAGAAAAAAAAATTTCATCATTTTGAGAAAAAGTACCATTTTCTTCAATTTGAGAGATTCCAAAAACAGGTTGAAGATGAATAGTTGAGTATGTAACACAAGAAAAAAACTAAAAAAATACTCGAAATTCTCATTTACTTTTTTTCCATTTTTACCTATCACTGCGGTCTTTTTTGCCATGTGGCGAGCGGTCACTGGACGGCAGATCGTTCTAAAAAAATAATTCATTACGAAAAACATTTAAAAAAATGAAAAAAATCACCGGGCCAATCATGCCGAGCAAGTTTTTTTGACGCGAAAGGTTCGCACGTCGAGAATCTGCTCACTGTAGCCGATTTCCTGAATAATTTCCATTATTTTTTTCAGTCATTTTTTGAAACCTCGAGATATTTTTTGAGCAATTGTCGGCCTTGTTTCCAACTGCCGCCGCCATCTTGGGCCGTTGTATAGGCTTCCAAATCGGCTTGAACATGAGAATCTGAGGAAAAAATTATCATTTTGACTAACTTTCAATGGATTCAACTCATTGAAAAAACAAGGGCATTCGAAATTACAATGAAAATCGGCGGGACAGAGTCAACTTTTGAATTTGATGAACTAAATTATGGGGCAAATGGAATCAAAAAAAGATTCTGAACGAAGTCATTCAAAAAAATTACAGCTAAAAAAATCCAATTTACAACAATTTCTTAACAAAGAACGATTATTGAATTTCTACTTTTTTTAAAAAAATCCTTAAAAAGATGCTGAAAATGATAAAAAAATCTTCTTTCTAATTCTACATATTCTGTCAAAAAAATGATCAATTGAAAAAAATACTTTTTCGAAAAAAACTTGTAAAAAAATAATATTTCCATTCAAATGAGTTCAAAAACCGACCAACTGGCGGTTCAGTTTCTTCGTAAGTTGGCGGATCTTCTCCGTTGTGTGTTAGCCGATAGTTTTTGGCCCTGGAATACGTCAAAATTATCGCTTCAAAATTTAAAAAAAAACCTTTCTTGTTTGAGACAGAACTCGAGCATTTTGACGCGTCGAACGAGGTCAACTTTCAGATTCTCCTGGCCCTTTCGTTCTCCAGTGAGAAATGCGATTCTGGCCTGAAAGGATACGACAATCTTATTCATCGAAAATAACATGCAGAAATGAAGTTTATGATTCTGAGCTGAAACGTATTCTGAAGTAGGAGAAAAAAAAAGGTTTTGAAGAGGTTAGGGAGATTCTCGAAGGTTTTTACTTATTTTTGGAAAGTTCTTCGAATCAATTTTCTGTGTTTGAAACAGAACTTATAGTTATTAATCCAATTTAATCTAATTTTTTAAAAAATTCATCGCTCTTAAATTAAAAACAAATTAAAACTATATTTCACCAGAAAATTATCAAACCTAAAACGATGATTCAAAATCTGTTCAAAAATTCCTAGATTCGCTTTTGATATTTTGAAAGCACTTGGGACTTGAAAAACTTAAAACAACCTTGAAACCGATTTTCGTTTCGAAAATTTCATGATGTCGTGTTCAAAGTAATTCCGCTGAATCCAAAAAAGCCATCAGAGAAAGAAAAATATAACTAACTTTTAGAGGATCAGTGATAATTTTGCTTTTCGCGGAAATTATTTTGAACACGGCATAAGGTACTTCTGTGCTCCTTTTAAATTTCTAAATACTTAGAAAAAAAAAATTTGCAAGTTTCAACAAAGTTATCCAACTTTCCAACTTTCTACCTGCATTTCAGCCCTTTCGGCCTCCCATCTCGTTCTTTCCAATTCATATCTAGACCATTCATGCTGCAGAAAAATGCAGAATCCCGTGCATCGAATACGTTGGACGACGCTGGAAGAATATTATATTATTCTTCAAATTCAACAAAAAAATGAAAAAGAAAAAAACCTGATCATCCGTCGCGTCATTTTGGCCACTTGACTGCCCTTCTTCGCCAGCCACCATTATTTTTCTACCCAAGACCTTGAAAATTTCTAGGTTTTATTTTTCTTGTTCTTGAAAACTTACTGCAATTTGCTCCGATGTTAAATAAAAAATAAACTAGATGAAAAATCTAGCCGCGAACGGTTAGCAATCTGAAAAAAATGATAAAACTGGAAAAAAATAAAAAAACAAGAACAGATGATATGAAACGACAAGAAAGTTTTGAATCGATGCATCAACCAGGTTAAAAAAGTAAATTAAGTGAGACGAATTTAAAATTTCTATTATAAAAAAAAAAGAAAGAGTCCCTTAAAAAAATTTCTCCAATAATGATTTCACATTTCAAAAAAATAGCGAATACATTAACTATTTATCTATAGGCGAATTTGAATCGATATAAACCAGGATTTCAGCGACTTTTTGAAGCAACAGTTTGTTCAAAAATCCTTGCCGTGGTTTTGAAAAGTCATGGACAACTTTCTTGGAAATTTCCAAAAGTTAATAGTCCTTTTTGATGTTCAATCAGGCCATGTGAAACGGCTAGACTTTCAAAAACCTCCTTATATACTTTAGAACAGACTATTATCATTTTTGCAAAACAAAATTGAAACGAAAAAAATAAAAATAATTTGCCAGCTTTTCACGTTTTATTTTCCGCAAAGAAGACCGTTTACCAAACTAGCTCAAGCTTTAACATCTTCGTTTCAAGATTTTTGTTTTTTGCTGTTTGTTTTATAATTTTTGTAAAGCAAAAGTGCAAAAAAAAAATTCTATTTTACGCTAGCTTTTTTCTGCCAATTTTTGAAAACGTGATCGTCTCGCGCGGAACACACTATACAAAGCCTTGATATTAATCGCAACCTCAAACAAGCAATAGAAAAAAACCCAGATCAATCAAAACGCAATCAAACGCGGGAAAAAGGGAGAAAAAAAGAGGAGCGAGACGAGCGAGGCGCCGGCAATCGAGAAACGTTGGACGCGGCGCGTGTTGCGTCGCGTCCGCCACGACGCGTTCATTTTCTTCCCAATTTTTAGTACATTTGCCGTGAGCGGAATTGTACTTTGCGTGTTAACATGAAAAAAATTATTGACTCAGCGATAACAAGGTATTGATAAGCGCGGAAACTTTTGGGGAACGAAGGAATATAAACAATAAAACAATTTTTGAAAAAAATTATTTTATTTTAATTATTATTATTTTTTTCGGATGACTAGAATAAAAAAACACGTGAATCAACACCAAGCACCGTCCAGTTCACACTTTGCCTTGAGCCAAGCCGCTAAGAGTCGATCCTCTTTCGTCAAAGGCTGTAATAAAAAAAAAGTTATTTGATTATAATTTTAAAAGGAAGTTATTCTTGTAATATATGATATATTCAAGGTGTTCTTCGAAAGCCAGATTTGTTTTGAGCACACTCGAAATTTGTGTGCTCTGCTGCTCACGGGAGCTCTTCAAAACGTGCCAAACAATTGGGGGGTCGCCTTAGGAAATTCGGTAAAGGGCTGGGTGTGGTTGAAAAATAAACAGAGATTTTGCTCGGGTTTTTTTGAGCTTATTTTGAAAGTAAGAGGGATTTTTCGAAAAATAAAAAAAGTTTTTTTAAATATTGTCTTAGCATGGTAGAATGTGCATTGTTAAAGAAAAAAAGATTTAAAAAAACCATTTTCGATTTTAATCATAATTATTATGTATTTTTTTGGTAAAAACCCTAAATTTCATCAGAATCCGAAGTTTTTCAGAGCGAGGAATTCTACGAAAGCAACTGAAAAAATATTCAAAATATTCAAATGGAGAAAAATGCTCGAAACTTTTTTCCCGTTCTAAATCTATTTTACCATTCATTTTCGACAAATACCTTTGAAACACTATAGTCCAGGGCGATCCTTCTCATATTTCTGCGGTTCAGCTGCTCCAAGTACACAGATTTCAGAAAATCCGCCGTCATTTCCGTCATGCACTGCCCACAGAGCTCACATTCCTGAGATTTCAAATTGAATATTTTTCAAAAAAAAACAAACCAAAGACGAATCGCAGCGATTACAACCGCCATCGACGCAAATTTTCAGCGGAATTCGAACATCTCGATCAGAAACTAATGGATTTTGGCTCCCTTCCCGTTTTCTGGAAGATGAAAAAAAGTATGAGAAAAAAAGGTTGTGAAAAACTAATCATCTTATTTTTTTAGTTCAAAAAAATAGGGTTCAAAAATTCTATCAGAAAGTTTAAAAATTGCTTTTTTTCCTACACTTTCGACTGTGGAAATATTATTTTTCTGATTCAATCAATATACGAAAGTTATTTTTGAAACAAATCCAACGTTGTTGAAACAATATTGGATTTGAGTAAAAACAGAGCTTCTTTATGTTTTCTGAAGGACTGAAGTCATAGAATTTTTGATTTAAAAAATTGATTTATGAATAAAAAGTTATCAGTGGAGTAATAGTGAGAAGTAGATGCAGCCTTTCCGAGCTTTGAAAATGAATTTTCTTCAGATCAACGAAAAGCTTCGGAAAATATCTAGCAAGCCAAAAACTTTAATTTTGATTATTTTTTTCTATAAACGATCACGATTCGATAACAAGATCTTTTCACAGAAAAGCTTCTCAGAAACTATAGTCTGTGTACCACGACTTGAAATTTCACGGAACGACATTCCGCTGTTCCGCTGCGTGCGTTCGCGAAACGTTTTTCGATTCTAGGTCACGCTTTCAATTGACTGTTATTGCTGCGAGAGCACATGAAAGTAGAGTACCTTAATAAAAAATAAAAAATTAAAAGCGCGACCAAGATTCGCAAAGGCGCGCAGCGGCACAGCGGAATGTCGTTCAGTGAAATTTCAAGTCGGGGTACACAGACTATAAAAAGTCTTTTAAAAAACTGAAACCAACAAAAGTGTCTCCTTGGTCTCCTTGGTCAAATGTTGAGCCAAGCCGGTCAACGACATGACGCTCATCAGAACTTGCTCATATAAAACTTGATTTTGTTTGAAATGGCCCGAAGACAAGTTCGGGGACATATTCGCCTGAAAATATATCACATTCTGCAACCTTTTCAGTTCTTGAAACCTCCATGAGGAACACGTTCAGCTGATCATCTACCACAAAATCGAAACGACTCAGTTCAAAGTATTTGGCCTTGAGTTGAGAAGCTTGCAGAGCGGACAGCATTTGGGATTGCTGATTTCTGAATACCTATAAAAACTGATGATAATCAGTTCAGCCGCACGGAGAATGGCTCAAATCCGACCTCCCCGATGATGCTACCGATTTGTCGCCAAATAACCGACGAATCTAATCCTTTAGAACCCAAATATGCGTCAATCGTATGTTTGAAAGACGTTTTTTGCTTGTTGAAGTACTGGTCCAAAGATGGAATCTGAAAAAAGATTATTATGAAAAATCAAGATTTTTACCTCCCAAATTGGTGTATAATCATCGCCGACCACGTATTTGTCAACATCTTTCACGTCAAAAGGTTCATAATCTTTTGGACAGAACCTGGAAAAAGAATCATCCAGAATAGGCAAAGTCGGAAAGGGTGGAAAAAGACTCCATAGAAATGTTCCTTTGAGGGTGACAAAGGTTCCATTTTTGCTGCCTTTTTGAGCCATTTTATCGGCCCGTATGCACCAAATTGCTGCCTCTCCTTTTTTCCACCATTTCTCGAGCGTTTAAAATCCCAGAAAAAATTGGAAGGCCCGATAAAGGGGCTTCTTTGCTGCCTTTCTGCGGCCTTTTTCGAGCCTCTCCCTTTTGCCGGCCATGAACTGCTTTTTAATGATAATGAAAACTAAAAAAGAAATAAAGTAATCATAAAAAAATTTCTAGAATCAACCACCATTTAAAACATTTATAACGTTTAGGAAATTTGTTGATGAATTTACCGATCATTATACGTTTCAAATTCGATATATGACAAATTTTGCCTAGTTTTCAATGTTATCATATCATCCGAAAGAGCTTATTTTGAAAAATATTACGAAAAACACTGTGAAGTTGCATATAAACGCTTTGCTCGAATTGAAAAAAAAAATCGAAAATAATCTAAAAAAAACTACAAAAATGCACATTCAGCGTTGAAATTTTTCCACCAAAACAAACTAATAAAAAAGAATAACAAAAACAATTCCGAGATATGAGATATGAAATTGAGAAAGGTATTTAAAAGAGGTTTTTACAAACACAGAATGAAGTTTTTTTTTCGCATCAATAACTCAGTTGAGCAATTGAAAACGTGTAGGAGAAATTTCACAGAAGGAAAATAATTTCTGTTCGCATCAGAACATTCAACATTGAGAAACCTTTTCATAAGTCCAAACTTTAGTTGGATTATAGTAATACCTGATAAGAACATCCCCTTCGTAAATATAAACACGCAGCGGTAATAACGACGTGACGACCGTGTAAATTCCAGTATCGAATTTTCTAAAATCTCATATCAAGAAAAAAATGATTGATTTCCTAAAACCAACCGATTATCAATGAGAAGCGGATTTTCAACAAATCTCTGGACGAACGTTCCTTTCTTTTCGAGATCCATTTCTTCAACTCGTTTTATTTGAATATTCCTGCAGATAATTAGCCATGGAACGCATTTCAAGTCAAAAAATATAATTAAGTTAATTTTCCTTGTGGTGAAAAAAGATCATTTTTCGGATCTCGGTAACGACAGGTTTGTGCAAGGGCCGGCCCGTCTGCCTATCGCCAAATTTTTTTTTCAAATTTTTTCGAAGCCTGATCTGGCCCAAGCCCGCGCAAACTTTTTTTCAAAAATGAGGCCCAAAAGCCCGGCCTGACGCAAAAGCCTGTGTAACGAGAACCGGTCGTGCTCCGGACGTTTCTGAGGACTTCTAGGGATCCCTTAAGAGTGCTGACGCTACCTAAGTGGTCACTAGAGTTGCTTCGACACGTCCGATTCGCGTTACCAAAGTCCGAGTTCCGATGAAACTATCAACGAAACTTAGTTGTTAAGATTTTGAGTGTCAAGTACAATGAGATCATTCGAAAACGCTCTAGAAAAATCGCTTTCTGATTGGTTCATCGCATCATTAGGGACGGAGCTTGAGCGCTTCCAAATAATTGAAAATCGGACAAAAATTGATTACATCTCAAAACGAGGGTATTCCCAAGCGTCCAGCTTATTTCTGATCTTTTTTCTTGAAGTTTGGTTCCTTCCTACCTGTGATTATTATCCTTCTGAACCCAGAGAAAGTCCGGATTCGCTTCAACAAACTTCAAAAATTTCGTTTTCTCCTGAGGTAATTGGAAGGCTTCGGGAACACCTTTTTGAAGGCCACTGGTGGCCAGGGATACCTGAATGGAAACTGTGAGCACCTTTTTCATATTTATTTCACATACAACAAGTTAAAATTTTCAAATATGTATAATGATTTTTTTTCAGGAAACTTTTTTTGCTCCAACCCATTTTTTTACCTTCAGTTTGAAGCTTTTTTTGGTTAGTTTTCCAATTTGTATATAGAATCATAAACCTTACTAGTGTAGAACCCAGATCCAGGCACATGGTTCACGATTTTCTTCTCATCGGCCTTGAAAGCCATCGATTTGAACGGCTCATTGGAAAACGTGTAGTCGTGGTACCACATCACGTCCCAATCTTCTTTTTCAGTGATATTCCCCGTTTTTATCTGGAAAAATCTTTCTGAGAACATGAAACCTATGACCAAACATCGAACTTATGAGGAAAAAGCAGTGACTTTTTTGATTAGGAAACACATTCAGCCAATTTTTTAATTATTTTTTTTTTGAAAAAATTCACCTAAATATGTATTTAACATTGGATAAGATCTCCAAAGTGTGAAATAAAAATTCGAAAAAAAAAACGAACCTCATAACCCAGCATTTCGAAAACCTCTCGAATGTGCTTCATATAAGTGTAAGCGGCCTTAAAATCTTCTTTTTAAAAATTTTTTTCCAAACAAGAAAACAACCGGATCCATCCTCTAACATGAGCAACACGAACCTTGTCTCCATGACCATCGACAATAGCAATCCTCTTATTGGTAGTCTCTCCACGACTATCATTTTCCAATATTTTGAGATCTTCTTTCAATTTTATCCTGAGAAAAACAATTAAAAATATGTAGATGCGATAGATTTACGGAAGCCGGGAGAGACGTCAGAGAAATAGAGGTTTTTTGTGGTCTCGAGTCTCTTTAGGCCACTCTTGGTCTCTAGCTTCCGCTCAAGCGAAAATAGAAAATAGAGAAGCGAGAGATCAACCGCGGCCCGAAGAGACGCCAGACAATGAAAGATGTCTTCATTTCTCTAAGTTCTCTTGAAACCTTCTGTGTCTCTCGCCTCTACTCCTTGCCAATACTATTTTCTCATCAGATATTTTTCAACCTACCTAAAGTCCAGTCCGTTCTGATTAACTTGAAATTGAAGCGAAAAATTGGACCAGTCGATTTGCGTCAAAATTGATAGAATTACAACGCTAATCAAAGTTTTCCCATTGAAGAGGATCCCACAGAGGGACATCCTAAAAAGTATAGATTAAAAGGGGAAAAATCGAAGAGAAAAATGTAGTTTCAAAGAGAAGTTTCAACGCAAATCGATATCTTTTCGCATCATTTGTCTTTCAACTGATTGACCCCGAAATGGGTTCTTAATCGTTCAATTTGCAGTGATAGAACAGTTATTTCTTGATTTCGAAGTAAAGAAAAAATTGGAGAAAAGTTTAGTTTTTCTAGCTAGATTTGAATATAAAAATTTGAAAAAAGAAAAAAAAGAAAATATTTTTAGTGTAGAAAAGTCTGCAGTTAAATCAGAGTTCTGGCCTCCTAGACCAAATTTGTTCGTCTATTTCAGACTTTCAGAGAAATCTAAGTTTTTTTTTAACTAAACCAAAAAAATTCTTAGACAACCCATGGTAGTTTTTTTTTTTTTCCAGAAAATTTTCAAACTTCCAGGTAGATTTCTCGATTATGAGGTAGAAGATATAACAAAATTTTAGACTTTGAAACAAATTTTGATCTCTTTTCGACAACTGGAAGGCTTCAAAAAATCTATGAGCTTTCAGAAACCGAAAAATATTCTAAATCATTCTCGAAAAATTCGAAACTCCTGCAAAACCATCTCGAAACAGAACAGACTGCTAGAAAATTCATAAGACTACGAAAAAAAAGCAGAACAACAAAAACTTTCGAGATCAATTGTGGAAGTTGGGCGGCGAAAATCTGTCGCCGCCCCAATTATCGTCCAAATATCTATGAGTATCGCTCGTCCGCAAAACAAGACGCCGAGAAAAAAAAGCAAAGAAAGAAAAAGAAGACTGCGAAGACCTGTGTCAATTGAAGGTTAGCCACACTCGGCCCGAAATTTCTCAAATAAACTTGAAAAAAAAAGAAGAAAGATTCTTGTAATTTCGCAGCTTCACAATACTCTTCGATTTAAAATTTCAGATTTACCTTCTAAAAAAAAATAAATACCTCAGTTTTTCCTACTCTGAGTGGTTTAATTAAAACCTTGAAAAGAAAAGTAACCAAAATAAATAGAAGCTAGGGAGTATAGAAAACATGGAGACACCCAGACGAACAAGGAAATTTTTCGCGTCTGCGCCTCCTCAATTTCTCTATTCTCTCATCTGTTTTGTTGGAGTCTCGTAAAGCTATGGTATGCAATAAAACAAAAACCAGAAAGTTATGGACAATTTCAGGATTTGTGGAAACTTTCAAAATGAATCCCGTGAGCCTGCGTCTCTCCGATTTCCCTATTCTCTAGCCATTTTCTGCTTCCAACCTGTTCAAATCTCCAGATTGAGTGGAAAGAGTATGGGAATTATGGAAGGATCCAGACAATCAGAGATATTTTCTAGATGTCTGCGTCTCCTCCAATTCGTTAATCTACCGTTATTATTTTTGAAGAGCAAATAATTTTCATAAAATCCGCAACTTTTTCAACAATATCTTTCAATAAAAAACCTTGGGCTCCATGGTCTAGAGTCAAACTCTTTCGTTTATGAAACTCAGATCCCGGGTTCGATTCCTCTCGGCGACAGCTAAAGTTTTGCTGGAAACTACTTCATCAAAAATTTGATTTCAAAAACGCAAATACTCTCGAATTTCTTTGTTTTCAAAATCGATTCAACACAACTTGAAATCCAACATATTCACGATTTATTGTCTCGAATATCCTTTTCGTTTAATTTCCGACGCGATGAGAAGAAGAAATGAAAAAAAAAAGAAGAAGAAGCAAGGCAAACTTCAACAGAAGCGCTCAAAGGCACAAATGAAGCACACGAAAAGAACAGAAAAAAGCGAACAAAAGCGATAAAATCGTAATTTCCTTATTATAATTAATTTAATGTCATGTCTGGAGGGCTATATGCTACATATAAACATATATTCAAGGAAGAGAAAAACAGGGATTCTTTGAATGCACAGACAAAGTTCAAAATATTCGTTGAGGAGGAATATAAAGGCACGAAAAAAAAACAAAAAGGTTTCTGAGGTGATTATTTGGGGGCTAGGTCCGACGATCGGCTCTCTTTTTTCCTTTTTTTGAATTTTTGAAGAAAAAAATGAGGGTACAAGCGAACCGAGCCAGCCGGAAAAGGAGAGGACATGGCAAGAAAATAAGTCAAAAATGTCGGATTTTGGAAGTTGGGGTGGATTTTTCGAGAAATCATCAGCGGAATAGCTTTTGAAAAGTTGATAATCTCAACTATTCAAAAAACTTTAGAAGCTCAAATCTTCCTCGAGAAGTCGAAGATTGTGGAAAATGCTCTGAATTCTCAAAAATTAAGCTCACGGAGTGAAAGAAAAAACATGAGCAAAATATTTGAAAAATCCACTCTAGATATCAAAAATCCATCAAAGAATAGGATCATCATCAATTTTGTCAAAGACGTTACGAATCAAAAAAAAATTTTTCCAAAACATTAAGATCATTGAGCGAATGTGAGTGAGATGTATCGAATTGGGCTTTCTATTCAAGTTTGAAAGCATTCTTGGGGACTAAAGGAAAGAATTCGAAAAAATAAAAAGAACCAAGTGAAATTGGGCGCGAAAGTCTTTTGGGGTTCAAAAAAAAAGATGAAAAGGGGAAATCAAAGGCAACAAATCGTGAATTACCAAACAAAAAGGCACAAAAATGAAGAAAAAAAGAGGAAAATTGTGGGATTTGGGTGGAAAGAACTACGGGTTCAAAGTTTACAGAGAAAAGAAAAATGGATACTCTTATTTGTTCTATGTGCAAAGGATGAGAGGGAAAAGCTTTAATTGGGTGTACAAAAAGATACTAGGCGAATATATTTCCAACTAAATTTCAATCTAATTCGATCCCGAAAACTAGTGATCATGACAATTTCAAAGATAAACTTGACTAATACGGGAGAAAACAATAAAAAAAAATCCACCGACTTAAAACAAGACTACATGTTGTTAAAAAAAGTAAGCATGAGAATAAATAAAAATTGGCGGGGCTTTTTTTTTTCAAATTTGAACTAACATGAGTAATTGAACGTAAACGTGGCTACATCGGTGTGTGTAAAGTTTCGGAGAGAAATGACGGAAAAAAATGTTGAGAATAAGAAAAAAAATAACGTGGCTACATTGAGGGTAAGAGGAAAATCAGCGAGCTGAGAAGGTCGTGGTAGATTTCGAGAATTGTTGTTTTTTCCTGGAACTTTGATAAACCCGAGGTCCTTTTCAAAATTTTTCAAACTCTCCACGACCATTCCCCACTCCCAAACAAGTCTACAGAGTACAAAGTATGATCAAAAAAAGAAAAACAACAAAACAAATCACATGATACTCGAATTGGGCGTGCATGAAACGCCAAGGTCCAAGTTGACGACACTCCTGCAGACGGCGTCCAGATGCGATCCGAGCATGATGTTGCCTAAGTCGAAGCGACTTTGCAGGGGTCGCGACTCGACGCCGTTCGCGCCGGATAGGGAGCGCGACCGAGGAGATCCGGACGCGAATGAAGAGCCGTCGCCGCTGGAGGAAGAACAGCCAGAAGAGTAGCCAGACGTCGCGTCGACCGCGAAGTTGCTGAGGACATCGGAAGAGAGCGGTGTCCAGGGTGACATCTGCAAGAGAATCAAGTATTTTTCCAAGACTTTCTGAATATTTGTCATGCAGAAAAATACTTTGCGAAAACGTTAAAGAATCTCTTATTTTTTCTATCCCTTAACATGAAAAAAACATCAAAAACCCTTACCGACAAGTTCTGGACAAAGTTATCGGCCAGGGAGCTGAAGTTACTCTTTGCACCGAATTCGCCGTCGTTCTGGAGTTCGACCAGGTCTTTGGAGGTGTAGATGGTGGCGGGAGGCCAAAGTGAGGCGTCACTGGTCGAGGACCGGTACTGCGGCAAGTTTGACACGGTCGGGTACTGCTCGCTGGTCGGCTCCCAGATCTTGGCCAAGTCCAGGATGTTCTCCTTCTGCGGCCGCTTGTTCTGCGGCGGCGGCGGTGGTGGTGGCGGGGTAGGTACTGGAACTGGACATCGCTGAGGCCGGATGTTCTGCTGTTGAGGCTGAAGTTGTCGCCGCGGCATCTGCGAAAGCTGAGGCTGCGGTTGAGGTTGAGGCTGAGGTGGTGGCGGAGGCGGAATGAGCCTTGGACCTCCTCCAAACTTGGCGACGGTCCTCGCTTGCAGGTTCTGGTTCTGCTGCATTCGGAGCTTGCCGCTGGGGTCTTGATTTCGCGGAGGTAGCTGGCTCTGTTTGGCCTTCTGCTGCTCGGCGTGCTGCAGCTGAATGTAGGCGAACTTCTCGTTCACGTCGTTGAACTGCTTGATCTCGTTGTTGGCGTCAGGACCGACGGAGCACATTTCCTGGAAATAATTTGATAAAACTCCCGAGCGAAAGAGATTTGAGAAAGACGGCAGTAAAAGAGAGACCGACCATTTCTCATTGGATTAAAAATTAGATGGTTTTCTTTCAAAAGTAATAGACTAGACTGGAAAAAAGACCTTTTTCGGTCAAACTCACATAGTACTTCTGGAAAAGGACCCATTGCTGGAGGGAAGGCTGATTCGAGCCATTTTCCATGGGATCGATGGTCAAACCCATCAGCGCGGCCTGTTGTTGCTGTCGTTCCTGCTTCTCCCGTTGTTCAAGCATGCGGTCTCTTGCGACGGCTTCAACGTGATGGCACCTTTCGCACTGTTGCGTGTGCGGCATTCCCATCCGATGTTTCCGAAGCTCCATCGGACAGACGTAACGTCGAGCTTGCTTCTTGAGGACCAGCGCGTGGCGTTGTTGAGCGTAGGAGAAGGACTAGAATTTGAAATTTGTGAAACTCTTTTTCTTTCCGAATTTTAGCTTATTGAAGTTAGACTTGGAATATTTACATTCTAGCCATTATATTAACTTTAATGTGAAAAAGCTTCCAAAGTCTGAAATCAACCAAAGCTACATGAGAACCTAAGAACCAAAAGTCAGGCTAGGCTGATAGAATCCTCACATCACTGTTGACGATCCGATCGAAGATGGAGAAAATCATGAGGAGGTACTCGTCTTCGAGTTCCGCCAACGGTTGCTGCTGCGTTTGTGGGAAGGCGAGCGCGTGAAGAAGCATCGCCATTCGGAACAGCATTCCCGTGAGGTTCTGTAAAATGATCAGCTAAATTGGCAGACTTTTCGACTTCTTTTTCACGTCTAGTCATTATAAGGGACGCCTTCAAAATTTGAGAAGGTCTTCAGATTCTTGGAAGAAACTCTAAAGAAAATGAGCTGCCAAGTTTATTTACTAACCTCATCAGAGATCATGAAGAAGGGGACGTGGAAGCAGTCGACGTCTCCGACCGCGGCCGGTTCCAACGAGGAGGCAGGGCCTCTTCGGTTCAACTCGTTCAAAGTCGGAGGCTCGAACCGCTTCAAGGGGCTGGAGAGCATCTGTCGGACTGTGCAGATCGCACATCTCAAGCATTGATTCTGCGGTTGCTTCGTCAGGCCCTGAAAAGATCAAAAATGAGGAAAATCACTTAAAATTGGAAACGTTTTTTGAAAGGTAAAGTTCTTTGCTATGAGTCGATCCGAACGATTCATAAGCTTCTGGCGTTTTTGATCCGACCGCTGCGCAACCGCGACGCGACTCAATGCAGCTTATTTTTTCGTAATTTTTCTTAGGATCTTTTTTTTATTATCCACATATGAAATAACTCAAAGCTCCAAGGATTGCTTGCATCCGACTTGAAACGAGTAACGCGACGTCTGATTCATCTACTCACAAATTCCAAGATCCTCAAGTGCGGCGCTCGGAGCTTCAACTTATCAATCGACTGCAGAATCTTCTTCCTTGCGCCAGCCGTAACCTTGAAAAATAATTTTTATTTTTATTTTTTTTTCAGTAGATATTGAAACCTGCATCTTTTCCAACTGCGCATCGTCCAGGGCCATCATCTGCTCGTAGCTCAGATTCTCGAACAAATTCGTGTACTTGTGCAATCGCAACGTCTTCAGCCATACCGGAATCTCTGCAAAAAATCGACTTGAGAACAATATTTTTCCGATTCCTCGGAACAAAGAATCGTTCACGCGCCCGCAAATAAAAGTGCAAGTTCTCTAGTCTGAGCAATGGTTCGGTTCCCATCCGTCGTCTTTGTTTCCAAAGAAGAAAGGAGAATGTGTCTGGGAATCTACCGCACTCCCTAAGTGCTTCGAGAAAGTTACACTGTGAGTTTTTTTTTCAAAAAAGTGACTGCATTTTTTGCTTTGACGTCCGATTCGGCATCAAATCTACACTCTTTTGAATAGTCCAACCCATGCGCCTTTAAATTATAAAAAAAAAAAATTGAATGTGTTATGGTCCAGAAACTTCCCTTTTCATCCTTCTGAGTTTTTTTCAAGTAAATTCCCGAGATGTTTTTTTTTCCTTCTCTGACTTGTCCAGCAACTATTTTCACTTCAAACAGCCCCAGATATTCTTTCAAAAAAACTTATCGAATCGAAAAAAAGGAACCGTCAGTCAGTTGAACCGTTATCTGGCAACTGATCGGTTTTCTCTTTTTTTTCCTCTCTCATTTCTTGTTTGCTTGGCCAGGGTGCGCGGCCATATCTAAGGTTCTTCTCAAGGAAGAGTTGACTTTTTTTTGTTTCTCCTTCGATTGAACACATCAAAGAGGTCCCCAGCGCCAAACGAGACGCGGCTAATTCGACTTTGGATTCTGATTCCGAGTCGAATTACCGTTTTGTGTGATGGGCATCAAGTGCTTCCGTTTTTTTTTAGTTTTTTCAAGGTCTTGTAAAAATTAAGATGATCTAGAACGAGCTGAACTTGATGAAGGAGTCATTTGAAAATGAAAAAAATCTCAAATCGAGTTGAAATAAAGATTGATTTGAAGAAACTTGATTTGGATGATCCGGAACATTCTAATTGGAAATATCAGGAAAAGTTCATTTCAAACAAAAAAGTCCAACTTTCTGATTTTAACATTCTGTGAGTCCTAAAAGTTCAAAAACTTGAAAAAGGGCAGCCAAAGTTTCTTACCTCAATCTCAAAAAATCTAAAACTCTGAGTCAGTATTTTTCTGCTTTAAGTGTTTCTCTTGCATTCGCCCTTCTCCACTCTTATCACCTTCATTAAATTGGATAATTAATTACGGTCAAAAAAACCCCTCGAAATCTCCTTCTCCCCCAGTGCCAACGACAAAACGTCACACACAAAAACCAAACGGCGCGGACGGTTGGGCAAAGGCAAAAAAAGAAAAAAGTGCAATGTGGGAGAGGCTGTGTGTTTGTGGGGGAACGCAGGAACGAACCGCCGACGGAGAAAAAAAAAAGAGAAAAAACCCGAGGCCGCCGACCGGCTGTGCTCAAAGAGACGGCAGAAGAACACCGTTCTTACCTCCGTTTTCTTTTCTTTTCCATCTCAAGTTAGTTTCGGACAGAAAAAAATCGGGAAAACGCAGAAAGAACGACTGTTCGAGGGTCGCCGCGCACTTGAATGTTGCATTTTTGCCCTTTTCGCTATTTGTTCAAGTTGGAGAAATGGTAAGAATGGACTCAAAAAGTAAATTATTGGACTGCGATTTTTTCTTAGAGCATTGATTACCCGAATATTCAGTTTTCAGTTGAGTTTTCACGTTTTTCGCTCAATTTTGAGAAGAAAGGCTAGGATTAACTTGTAGTCTATTCATTGCGGTTCGAAACGGTCGCAAGGAGTATGGCTCAACTCGAATCGGCTTCGAAAAAACAGCTTTTAAAAAAAGCAGCGCGCATTCTGAGCCCATTCCGAATGCGGACAAGATGTTTAAAATGAAGCAAATATAATAATCGGTCTTGAAGAAATAGGGGAAACATTTTTTATTGCGGCCAAATTTAAAGAATTTTATTTTTCAAACTATATTTTTTATTGGAAAAAAGCTTTAAAAATTCGAAAAACAAAACAGTAAATTCAAAGCTGTTCTTATGCTTTCTCCTCATTAGAGCTCATTTCCAAGGGAAAAAGTGGCATTTTTTATTCGAAAATTTTTTCAGTCTTCTTTTTTCTACCTTATCTTCCCTGGAAATCTCGAAAAAAAGACAAAAAACCAAACTAATGTGACTTTCTCAGCGCGGAGACGCTGGAAAAGACCTTGGAAGTTGGGGCTATCATGCATAGCCGAAAAGATGAAAAAATGAGAAAAAAAAAACGAATTTGATCGTTTCGATGGAGGAACATGCACACATATCATCATCATCTGCTATGTTCTTCAACCTTGACAGACTTGGATTTTTCTATGGAGGTCAAAAATAGTTTTTAGAACATTAAAAACGTTTTTGCAATATGAACCTTGGTTAGTCAGATTTCATTATCTGATTTATTTTTGGAAGCTAAAAAAATCAACTCAGGGAAGAAAAAAAGCTGGAAAATTTCACCAGAGTACTAAAACTTCACTATAACCAAAAAAATTTTTTGATTCCAACAAGAAACCTTTTTCCTTCAAAAATCCCTACAAAAAACTTCAAAAAGCCCAGAAATCCCGATAAAAATCAGTCCGAACGAACTTTAAGAAGGCTGTTGAAAAACGAGCTTGGCCGGTTTTTCTCAACACATTTATTCAATATTTCACGCTGCCCTTCGTTTTTCGCAACGGTTATTAATTACCGTCGTGTCCTTCTTCTTCTTCTTTGTCTCATCGTACAGAAATAGAAGAAAAAGACGAAGAATTCGGGTGGCAAGAAAAGGTCGTAAAAAATTCTCGTTTTTTTTTCTCCGATGCCATCAGGCGTCGTTAATTTTTGAGCGAATCTCTGCTGAAATAAACTTTCAGACTGGGATGAAATAAATGGTACTTCTATCAAATTGGTCAAAAAAAGGAAGAAAGAAAAAAAGCAGTTTTCAAAAAAATCTCTCTAAATAATCTATTTCGATGTGACAAACTGCGGAAAAATCAACTGTAAATGGGCAAAAGCTCAAGATTTTTTTCCAACTTTTTGAACTATTAGAATAAAAAAATGGAAGATATTTATAAAGAGCAAATACTGAGGAAGTATTTCAAAAAAATAGAATTTCATGCATTTTTTTGGTTTCCGGATCTTCATTTAGAGCTTAGCAGAGCTTTTTTTGCCGGTTTTTCAAAAAAATTAAAAAAATTCTATGTGAGGATCAGCCTCTGCAGAAATTTGAAATCAGTTAGAATTGTTGGTTCATTCGGGGAGAAAAAATGAATTACGCGTTTTGAAAAACTTTGTTCAAATTCCCTAGCTCAAAAGCTCAGATCCTATGCATCTTCAAGTCCATGTATCCTTCAAAAAAACCTCCAAGGTGCTTAAAAAGACCATTGAACCTCCCCACTTGGCAGAAACACCAATATTCCAACTTCAAAATTTCAAGATTCTGATCCAAAATATCCATCACATCTTGAAGTCTCCACAGAGCCTTCAAAAAGTGTCCGTCGATCCCGGAATTGAACTCAGGTTTCGGGAGTCCAAACGGATCCCCACCGAATCTTGATCAATCGTCGACAACGAGAGTTGTACGAATCAGCACACGTGAGCAGGGACGCGTACACTTTCGCCTTCTTCCTTACACCTTCTGTGCCCGGTGGCCCCGCTGTCATCAATTTTTCTTTTCCGATTGCGCTCCGATTGTGTGGAGAGCAGAAGCTTTTCCAATGATATGGATGGAAACCAAAAAATCAGCCAAACTCGAATTAGTTTTTGAGTTTAAAATGTCACGTATTATTTTTTGTTTGAAACGTACGTTGAGAAGTTTCCGGTGGTACGAAAAGAACACCAGCGAAAATTCAAACGGCAACTTTTCCGATTTTTTCATATCGCTAGGGAACTTTCCGACGGACACCTTTCCGACGAATCTTTTTCCGACTTTTTTTTCTCGATAAAATCTTCGTTTTAAAACATCCTATATAATGTAGGTAGTTGTTTCATGATTAAAAAACAAATAAATAGGGAAAAAAATGTTTATAGATGTTTTATAAACCGAAAAACATAAGGGAAAAAAAGTCGGAAAAAGATTCGGCGGAAAGGTGGCCGTCGGAAAGTTCCCTAGCGATATGAAAAAATCGGAAAAGTCGCCGTTTGAATTTTCGTTGGTTTTTTTTTTCATACCAAGTTTCCTGTCACTGAAAATCAAATGAATGTGCCTCTAGTGGAGCTTTTAATGTTTTATTTGAAATCGCTCAAAATTGAGTACTTTTTGAAAACATTGCTCCAAACTTTCTGCAACTTTCTTTGCTCCGACTGTTGCTATGATTCGGACTTTTCTGGCAAAAAACTTTCCTCGAAAATACAGAAATTTTGCGATTTTTAGTAGATCAATGGAAAAGCTTCATTTTTGCTTGCCAAACGTCTTTTTCATCTTCCAAGAGGTGAGCATCAAGCGTCCCTCAAATGACCACTTCCACTTCCCTCAGTTCAGCTTCTCACCCCTCTTCCAAACATTTTCTCAAAAATTTCGAGGTAAAAGTACTCAGAGACGTCTGAGAGAACAGCTGATCGGTTCATCATCGCCTTCACGAGTGCACTTTTGTCAGGTTCAGGCTCATCATGAGCTCCTCGAGAACTCGGGAACGACAAAGAGAAAAGAAAAAATAGAGATAGCGAAATTTCCGGTGGCGAACGCGGCGGCACACGCAAAAGTGTGTCTGGCCGTACCGGGCCGGACAGCCGCCGGCGCCATTTTTAAAATAAAACACTTGCCACGGCTCGCCGTCACCTTTCTGTGGTGAGTGCACTTTGCTCCGTGATTGTGTGACATGAGGCAAAAAGAAAGTCTAGTCGGAAACGCCTTGATTCGGTAGGTAAAGCTACGAAAACGTTTTAAAATCGAGTAGGAGAGAGGAAGGTTTAGTCAAGCATCTACAGAGTTTTGAAGACGTACACATCTCAAAGAAAAAATGACTTTTTCAGATTTCGATACTGCTTTCGCGACCTGTTTTTTTTCGTAATTTTGAGCCGGATAATTAATCCAGTTACGTTTTTATGACTATTAAGCTTTTTCCAGGCTTTCCCATTGATGAATAAAATTCAAAATTCGATTCAGCCTTTTAAAACCCAGCTCAAGAACACCTTCACTTCCATCCAAAAAACTTAAAGTTCAAAAAAGACTCTTCCTAGAAAAAGAATCCCAGACAACTTTTTCTACTTTACCCAGATTTCCCAGACATATTTGCCTTACTATAGAATAAAAGGAGCGAAAAACTGTTTCTTCGTTCGTTTAGACTTAAAAGCGCCGCGCCAGGTCAAACAGTAGGCGTACAAAAGCCCACCCTAGAGGTTACCGCTTTTTTTTGTTTGGTTTTTTGTAAGATGTTTTTTGAACTGTTTGGGTACGAAGTACGCCATAAGAAAATGTTGCTTCGAAAAAAACATGAAAAAGCCGATTTTTCGAAGCAACTGTGGTCTAAGGATATGCTTTTCAATGACCCACCGGCTCTATTAAAAATTTTGAACTTTCGAACCAAAAATGAAAAAAACCTCAATTTCACCTGTTTTCGAACGACTCTTCAAAATTTCCATGTTTTCAAATAGAACCAACTTCATCAGCTTTTGTATCTAAACAACCCAAAATTCTCCCTTGTACAATCCGTTTCTCCCTACACGATCGATTTGCACTTGACAGGTGGTGGCGTCGCCAAAATCGCAACATTTTATCAGCGTTTATCAGAGAGCGCCAAATATTGATAATGCCAGTTGCGGTGCTATCAATGATTATTGTCTCGTTGTCACAGGAGCTCTAAAGCGTTATCATTGGCTAGTGGAGGAGGCGGTGGACTGATTGGATTGGTTTCGACGGCGCGGCGTGGCAAAAGTTCTAACTTCTTTTTTCTCGCTCTACTCAGATTGATATCAGAGAGGCGTCTGATAAAATGTTGCCATTTTTGGGCCGACGTCCAAGAGGAATGGAGATCTTTTTCTTAAGTTATTTATAGTTGTTTTAAACCGAGAAAGTTGGATCTAATCGCACTTAAAGAAAAGCTATTTTAGAGTCCTTTTCTGCGCTCCAACTCAAAAAATAGCATCAATGAATAAATACACGAGTTTTCATTCAAACTTCAAACCTAAGCTGATTCGAGAGCTTATAAATGAAATATTATTATATTAGTTTCATGGAAAAATTATCTTAAACCTCAAACAACTCTCCCAACTTTCTAAAAGCTCAAAAAATCCTTTAAACACTCTCCAACTAAACTAAAACAACCTATAAATCTACACGATCTAAAAAAAATCTATTACTTCTGAGTTTTATAAATTCTTTTCACAAAATTGGCAAAGTTCATGTCAAAAGCTCTCAAAGAACTCACCCCCAAAAGCTCAAAAAGGCCTCCAAACTCATTCCAACTGCCCTAAAACACGCAATAGCTCTACACAATCTAAAAAAATCCAATCACTACTCTATTCAAACCCATTTTTGCGCATAAAAGGTGTTCCGATGCTCGCCTCACAAATACACACGAGCGATACAGAAAAGGGCAATGTATTCCAATATTATTGGATCATGTTCAAACAAATCCTTCCCGATGCGAGAGCATAGAAATGTTCCGGCAATCGAGTTGATCAGACTTTCTTTCTTTGGAATATTTGGACAAAGAATTCTCACCTCTCATTCCTGGGAACGCGCTTCGTTGGCTTTTACTCCGGTGATTCCGATTCTCTTCTTCGAATCCATCGTCGTTGACCGATTCGCCTGGAACATACGTATTTGAGTTTGAAGTAAAAAAGATAATTTTCCAAAATTCATTGATTTTTAAAACTTCTACTATGAAAATCTGCAAGTCTCGAGTTTTTGAAACGGAAACTTTCCTACGGAAGGCGAAATTCCAAAAAAACAAGTTGAAAAAAATGTTGAAATCAAACGAAAAAAACAATAAAAAAATATAAATCAATCAAAAAAATTTCAATGTATGATAACATTATGCTTCAAAGAGACTAAGAGCCCTCAAAAAGCTCGTGAAATTTTTTTAAACCGGAAAACCGAGTTTCCATGAAAATCTTGATTTGAAAGTGCGTTTTTAAAAATGATACTATACTTTTTGACAACATTTTCAGAGCTACTTTCCTAAAACTGAAACTTTTTTAAAATTTACCTAATTACCATCTCTCTGGGTATTGAAGCCATTTTTTCCCGTTACTTCAGTTCAATTCCGTAAACCAAAGCTCTCCTCCCAAACTTATTTAGTTCTTCACTTGCTCATGTATGATGGAACTTTTTAAAAAAGCCCAAAATCACCTTGATCTTTCCTCCTTCGATGAAGCGGCGCCTGATCGGCGGAGGTGTCGGGTCCGAGGCCGTGGATGGTGTTGATCAGTGGCGCCGGAGCCCAAGGGGACATCTGATGATGCTGGGGCTGCTGGACCGTTCCGAGGCCCTGAAAAATCACTTCTTCAATACTTATTTGATCATTAAGCCTTGCAAACATCGAAAAAAGTTTCAGATCAGCCGGTGGAGGTCAAAAAATTAATTAAGCTCAACTAGTCTGACTCTAATGAAATTTCATAGGTTTATAATGCTTGATCTTGTTTAAGGGCCGCATTTGGAATGGCTTTTTCTGACAACTTCACATGAATAAAAGAGATCATCCATTTTTTTTTACAACTCCAAAAGATATTCCAACCTCATTTTTTAAATTGTCAATGAATATATAATCAATTTTCATGTATTCATAAACCTAATGCAATTGGCCTAATTTGATGGCCGCATTTGGAATGGCTTTTTTCCCCTTCTTTACGTTCTCAGATTATCCAAGAAAAATAACCTCTTTTGTAAACCATAGTTCTCAAATATCTCAACTGAACCATTTTTCTATCCTTGGAGCGCAAAAAAACGTCACTCTGCGGCAGTTTTTTTCTGGATTCGTTACCATCAAACTTGGCCCAATATAAAGAACTTTCCGAGGCACTTCAAACAGTCCATATGACTTACTTTGTCCACAGAAATTCGGTTTTTTTTTTCTCTTTTGGAACTTTTTCCGTCACCCCCAGGAAAATCTATCTATTTGTTCATGGGATCGTATTGAAAAAAAATGAAAAATTTTCCAGGGCACGTCATTTTTCAGCTAAAAAGGGGCAGGGAAAAAAGAGAATGTTTAGAGTTTCTATGAATCATCCCTTTTAAGAAAAAGAAAAAAAAAGAGAAAAAAACCCGTCTGTTCTCAATAGCAATAGCGTGGGCATGTTTGTTTGTTTTCGCATTTTGTAGGTTGCAAATTCAAATTCTGGGTTGTTATATTGTATTGATTGGTGTTAGGAGAGCCTTCAAATGGGGATGATCAAACAAGCAAAACTGGAGAAACGGAAAAACTTTTGAAACGAAGGATTTTTTTTCCAAGCAAGCCAATTAATAAGAAGATCTCATTAAAGAGATAATTTCAAAAAAAAAGAACTTCTAGTGTTTTTTTTAAAGTTGTCGAGTAATCAAAAGAATAAAAACCTAATTCAAACAATTAGGAATTGAGTAATGATGAAATAATTAAACAAGGTTCAAAAAATTTCTAGTCACTCTATAAAAAAAAATAAATAATGAAGTGATAAAACAAAAAAGATATAAAATTGAGTACTATTTTTCCCGTTCCAGACCATTTATCTATCGAAAAATGAACTCTATTTCACGGATATGAATTTAAAGTTAAAGAACTCGAAAACAGAAAAGAGATTTTCGCACTAATTATGTGACAAGCCTCTTCAAAAAACGTCGTCCTCTTTTGTATATCTTTTCGCTCTATTTGAACAGTAGCCGCTTGTTTTTCGCCACGCAAAAGGCCAATCTGAGGGCAATATTCGGTCCCGCAGGTGTGTTTGACCGGCTTCACGGCCATTTTGTTTGACTTTTGCTTTTTAATTTTTGAAAAATATTTCGGCTTTTTATTAGGGGAAATAGCGAGGATGATTACAGAGCTTTTTCTTCTTCTCTCAAAGAAAGTTGCATTCCGAATGGATTTCGTTAAAATTTTGAAAAGGCAAAGCTCAGACAGCCGTGTACAAAAGAACACATGCGCTCCATGGATGTGAAAATGGTTCAAAAAGCCGACAAACAAAAAGAAAATGTTAAGGAAAAGCCATTCCCATTGCGGTCGTCAAAAATGAGGTGAATTTGATTAGAATTACGAAGATCAAGAAATTCCTGTTACGATTGAAAAACTAAAAATCTTCTTCAAAAATATTCGGGAACGGGACTTTCATTTTGTACTTTCAGAGCCGCACTCGGAATGGCTTTTTTCTCCTTCTCTGAGATATAAATGACGGAATAGCCATTCCAAATACAACCTTCAATACAGACAGAAACAAAATAATGAGATAAAGTGAAATTTTAGAGGCATCTTTGAAGCAGTAATTCATGACAGTAACATGCTTCTCAATTAATAACTCTAGCCATTCCCATTTCTTGAGTCTCTAACTCTTCTAACTGGACTATATCCTATTCAACCTGAATTTTCTCAAAATGAACCTTTTTTCTTTCTATGAAAATCTGTAACGAACCAAGCAGGCCAGGTCAGCCTCATCGTTGAAAAGTCCGTTCCGAGGCATTGAGGCGAGGAATTGCTGCTGCTGGGCGATGACCCGCTGGTCGAAGGGCGGAAGACGTCGTCTCGTCGTCGGATTCGTCGCAGAAGATGTCGCGACGTCTTCTGGCTTCGACGATGACGTCACGGCGGCGCGTAAAATGTCCGGCGACGTTGACGGCGTCGAGAATGCGGACGACGTTGACCCACCGAATCGCATCATGCGCTCATCTGGAAGAAAGATCCATTTTTAAAAGATTAGGAAAACAGTAGAAAGAAAAACGGTGGTAATACAAAAGTGTACAGGAATCGCTTTTTCAAGATCGTTTTTTCTGTGTATGAAATTTTGAAAAAAAAGATGAAATAGTTGAAATAATAGAATTATCACTGAAAGTTATACTGAAAAAGATGATTAAAAAGGTTAAAAAGTAATAAGAAGATTGAAGTCCAGTAAAAGTCCAGTCAAATTTCATTCAAGTTCAAAAAATCAATTTTGTCGAGGTAAATCTACTCATCTGAGCCTTGGTCCTGTTAAATCTGATTCATATACTTTCAGGAGCAGTTAAAGATAATGAAATTAAAAAAAAATCGTTCCAGGACCTCTTTTTCAAGATATTCAGTTTAACCCCTTCAAAAGTTGAAGAATGTTCGAAGTTTAGAAATTATACTCTCAGAATCATTTTATAACCCGTTTTCTAAAAATTTCCATTCTTTTGGAAATAATTTTTCAAGAAACTACCTCTGGGCCTTCAGAATTTTATCAAGATATCATGTTTCAAAACCAATTCCGCCATTAATTTTGATAACACCGAAAATGTAGAAATGAATTTCTACTTCTTAAAACTCAGGGAATGATATCTATCGCAACATCAAATTTACAAAACGAGAAAAAAGAAGAAAAAAGAAGGAAAAGACCACCCAAACAGATGTCCTCCTCTGGGCGCGCAGGTAAATTTATGTGAGCCAATAAAAATCAGCGGGTGGGGAGGAGATTTGCGAAAACAACATAAAAGTCTTTAAGAACAGCTGAACTTTTGCGCGAAAGAAGGAGGAGAGAAAGGGAGGAAAAAAAAGGAGGAGAATCTGAAGGGAGTTTTATTTCAAGGGAATGCGTTCATTAAACGACGTTCTTCTCCTTTTTTTTTCGGCAACGGAGCTACGAAAATACTTCATTTTTATTGGGAATCCGCTTATAAAAGGCAGATATGGAGTAGGATTTTTGAGAAAACTGTTAAATGAGAGCAAACATGAAGAAAAAAAGAAATGAGTTTATTGAAGCTTCAAACAAAATGTAGATCTGAAAAAAAAACTTGGATAATCAAACTTTAATTTGAAAAAAAATCCTGAACAATTAAAATAAGTGAGATAAGCTTCAAGGCACGAAGTTCAAAATAGCGTTTGAAAGAAAATTAAAAAAAAATACAGATCATATTTTAAATAAGGAAAAATACCAACAGCACAACATGACTAAAAAAACAGTTTCATAGCTAATATTTTTTCTACAGTTCTTTCTAGTTGAGAAAGGCTGTAAATCATTAATTACGTTCAAAGATTCTGAAAAAAATGAGACTAGGATCTTCGAAAACGGAAATACTGAAGAAGACAAGAAAATCTCCTCACAGGTCTGTACGATAAAATAAACTTCTTTGAATCATTTAGCGATCACTCAAGGGGATTTTGCGGCTTTTAGGCGTTCTCTTGAAAACAGACGCGCTTGGAAAGCTTTACCCGTATCTTTGATAATCGGAAAAGCTTGAAAATTATTGACCTTCAATTCAGAAGGGAAAAAAGTTGGAATAAAATGAAAGGACGATTGAACTGGGGGTGATGGCAACAGCCGACAGGAGCGCGCTGGCGAGAGAGGAGAGCGAAGGAAAAAAAGCGCGATGGTGAGAAGGGGTGGAGCTTTGCCTATTGGCGTCCTCCCCTCAGACACCAGGCCAAGGCTCTTTTTCTCTCTTCCAACATCAGTTCACTTTTTTCCACTGATGATCTGTTGATCTCAATCAGAACTTTTCAAGTCAATAGGTCAAACAAAAAATTGAAAATATCAAATTCCGAAAAAGTTAAAGATACAAGGAGAGAAAGCCGTCAGAAATAGCCACTGAAAAACGAAAAAAAAGCTCTCACTAAATTCAAAAATTCGCATTAAAAAAATACATTGATTTACTGACTACTTAGCCATGGAGCGGAAAAGCTCCAAGTTTTGAAAAAATCTGTCGAAGGAGGTAAAAAAATTAATTTAAAAAGTAATTAGATAAAAAGTGGTGTTCGACTAGAAAGCGCATCCAAATTCACTTCGAAAAAACTATTTTTTTAAAGTGCATAAAGCAATCTCCAACACACCAACAATATGTCCAACTCGAAAGCTTTTTGAATGTGCATGAAAGTTCATCTCATTCAGAATAAAACCAATCGGAAATATTAAAAATCCCCCAACAAAAGAGCAAACTTTCCACTGATTATATTCATAAAATAGACTAAAAAGCAGCAAAAAAATCAGCCAGAATTTCACATAGGCCAACAGAACAAGAGTGTTACAACAAGTGGCTAGAAAAAAACAGGAAGGAAAAAAAAGTTTTCTGGAAGAAACTTCTCGTTATCAGGTGGTCCTCTTAATGATGCAAAGTTTTCTGAGAAAAATTGAGAAACTTTCAAGTTTCAAAGGTGAGATTTCTCAATTCTAGGCGGACCCTAAGATTTTATTTTTTCAATTTCTGTTGATTTTTTTGTTCACAAGTTCATGTGAACAAAAAATCAACAGAAAATGACACAGAGAATATGAACGGAATCGAGATGTCCCAGTATCCGATCCACTTGAGGCTTTTTTCTCTTAAAAGAAAGTCCAAATATCTGGAAAACCATGAATTATCTACCTTGAGGTCAATTAAAATAGCATGAAAATTCTAAAAACAAAAACCAAACAAAAGAACAACTTTTAAAAGGACAAGCCGGTGGGCAACCTGATCTTGCCACGGCGAAAGTGTCACTTTTTCTCTTGTCACTCGAAACTCCACACCCCAAAATGATATGACGCCGCCACCTGGTCATCAGCTGATTGGCCAGAAAGTTCGCTCCAGGGACAATTAACAAGCCACGCCCAATTTCGAGCAAGAAAAAGCGATGAAAGTAAGTTATTTTCTACACTAGATTAATTTAGAGAGCCTTTTCAAGGAAATATGTAATAAGAAAAAAAAATTGAAGAAAGTTAATTTTATAGTGCGGAAAAATGCGCTCTAAGGCTAATTGATGACAATTTTGAGCGGCGCTTACTTTTGAGCTTCAAGTGAGATGAAATAAGCGAAAATGAATATGTTGAGCATTTTTAAAGAAAAGAGTGGAGCTGAAAAAAAAACGAGAAGAAAAATAGCCGCGATTATTTTCAAAATTGGGAAAATGCGCTCCAATGACAATTTTTGGCCTTCCTTCCGGCTTTATTCAGTCAGATCAGAATATTCAATAGTTTGAAGGTATTTTTCAACAAGAATTCCGTCAGGAAAAAAAGCTATAAAAAAATTCGACTTTGATCTTTAAAAATTTTTTTTCCTTTTTATAGTTCTTTTAAAAAGCTCAAAAATCTCGCTTTATTTTTTCTCATAAAAGTGATATGGAGAAAAAAGTGTTATTTTGTGGGACGTTGTAACGTTCCGTCAGCTTTTACGAGAAGCAGGAAAAAGGGAATGAAATGACCGTTTTGATTCGAAGTTTCGTGTGTTGCAGCACACGGGGCGATGGAGAAAAAATGTTTGGAAAACGATTTTCCTGTGACGTTTATGATTGCCGGTGGTGTCAGCTTACATTTTTCGCACTTTTTTTTGCAGAAAAATGATCGAAATGATGTTCTGATGATTTTACAGGAAAATGGTTCAAGAAATTTACAGTGTTCGACCGATTTTTCAGGCTCCTAATGCTCATCATTAAACACAGTGACCACAAAACTCAGCCTTCTATAAAAAACCTCATTTCGAAAAGCTCAAAAGAGCCGAAAAGCCGAAAGAGCCTCAAAGGTTCTCTCTTTTTTCCCACCTGCGCGGAACGACCCAATTCGCGCCATATTTCCACCAATTTCCAACCTTTTGCCCTCGAAAAAAGCAGCTTCTTTTGTCGTCGAAAAAGAAGCAGCTGGCCGATTTTTTATTCAGTTTCAGTGGGGGAGGGAGAAAATGAGATTCGAAGCGATTGAAATTGAGCTTTTCCTCAGTTGATTTGCAAAAAATTGCTCTTTGTTTTGGAAAATTGCTGAGCTTTTCTATGCGTTTCTTAATATGGAGACTTTGTTGAGTTCTTTAGAAAACGGTCCTTTTTTCTGTGGAATATTTTCCAGACGTTTCATTCGGAATTTGTAAGTTGAAAATATACTAAAATATCTATTTTCAAAACGTTAACAAAAGAAAATGGGGCTCAAAGCCAAAAATCGCGCTGGAAATCGGAAAATTGGTCTTTACCAGCTGTTTTGCGCAATATTTCGCAAGTTATTTGTCAAGTTACATGATTTAAAAATGAAACGGAAAGTTTTGAGAGACGGAAATGATAACATTTTCAAAACGTTATCAATTTTTCTATATGATTGGAACTTTTTGTGTTGATGGGAGTTTCCTTTGCTCAAAAACGGCCATTTTCCCATCGAATCAGAAAAATATCAAATTCCTAAAAAGATCAAAGATGAAAATGAAATTTTTTTACAGTTACATTATTGAACGGTTGATAAGTGTTTTCGAAAGGAATGAAATGGACTTTTGAATATCAAGAAAACTGAGTGTTTTGAAAATAATTCACCATTTTGCAAACGAAAAAGGCTTTTACTTGAAATCCAGAGATAAAAAAATCTTTCATTGAAAAAAATAACTTTGCAATAAAAAAATAAATGAGCAAACCGCCAAAAAAATTAAGGGAAAGTTCTTTTTTTAATTTAAGAGCTCTAAATACCAATTTTTCCAAATTAAATTTTGTGAAAAACTGAAAAATAAAGCTTTTTTTCACTGTAAGCATAAATCTTTAAATTTACTTTATGACTCGAAAATTTGAATAAACATTTTTTTAAAGGCGTTTCGAATGTAGTCTGAACGGATAGAAACTCAAAAAAACCCCTATTTTTTTCTCCTATAAAATGAGGAAAACCATCAGAAAAAAACGTAAAGAAAAAGTGAAATCAGCTGTGTTGGTTGGTTGGTTGGAGAGCATCCTTGAAGAGATCGCAGAGGAGGACAAAAAAAAATGGAAATAGGAGAAAAAACGACGACGCGTGGCAGTTTGCCAAGAAGAAAATGGAAAAGAACGGCCTTTTCTCGGTTTTTTCTCTTCCTATTCAGTTGCTCTTGAAGATCGAAGAGCAGTAATTATAGTTCATAAAAGCGAAATTCGCAACGTTCAAACGTCAAAAAAAGAAAAGAAAAAATGCTTGAAAAGAAATTTTTTTTAAAGATTGGAAAAAGGCGAATTGGGATGATTTAAAAAGAAACTACTCGGGTCCGAAAGATCAAAATTCCAAGATTATCCGCTTTCCAAAAAAAGAAACCTTCGGATAGAGATGAGAAAACAGAGAAAAAATTACTACCGTTTTGTAGGGAAACTTTTGAGCTCCCAGGATACAATTTTGAAATGAAGATTTTCTTTATCTGTCGTTTAGAGATTCCTAGCTTTAGTTCAGCCGGAAAGTTTCTTGCAGTTCACTCGAAAGAAAATTGAGAGAAATAAGCCGCGACAAGGCTCACAATATGTGCTCCACCGACAAGTTCGAATCAACGAATTAATATGAAAACAAAGGCTGTTTTTTTGTAGGAACTTATAAATCTAACGATTCTAGAACAAACCTTATGGAAAAAAAATAATGAGAAAAAATAGCCGTCTTGTGGCTCAACATTTGCGCTCCATGGACAAAATTTCAAAAATATTTCTATATCATTCATCAATCTAGCAAACATTCCTACAGACAAGAAAAAACAAAAATAGAGCCAAAAACCAGGATAAAAACGGGCGAAAAAGAGGCGTTCTCTAAAAAATGCATGGGAGTCATGCTCGCGTGTGTGTACCCGCTTTTCAAGCTCAATTTGCACTTTTGCACTTTTTGCTGTGCTCTCCAAGGCTTCAGCTCAAACCAAACAGAAGGCGTGAAGGATTGAAATTGAAGAGCCTTATAAAATAGATAATCTTCTGGTCAGAGACCAATAAGAGGCAGAAATTATGGGGTTTTAAAAGGTACTCATCCTGATTGAAAGGAATAAAAAGCTTTTCATTTTGATGACTCTATATGGGAGGTTTTGAGGGGAATTTCATTACAAATTAAGAAGCCCAAATATTCTACTTATATCTGCCTGACCTTGAGCGGCTTATCTTCAATGATAAAAATGAGGCAGTCTGGAAATCATGTTTCAAAGCTTGAGGGTTTCAAAGCTATCAAAGACGCTTCTTTCTGAAGAATTTCTCTTAATTCCATGATTTCCAGACTGCCTCGAACCGGAAACCCATTTTTCAAAAAAAGGATTAAATAACTCGAAAAATATTTCAAAAAAATAAATGTATTTCAAGATTCTCAAAGCCCCAGGTTACCATCTTACTTCAGATTAGGAAAGAAAAATTCTCAAAGTCGCCAAAAATCAGCATAAAACCAATTATACGAGCTCGTCAAACAAGAAAATCAAATTAAAAGACGAGAAGGAATGAAAAAAGGGCCGTTGGAAGGCAGAAGAAGAAAAAAGAAGGAGAAAAAAACCCAAGAAGAAGTGGAGAACGAGCTGAGGGGTAGGAAAGACGGACGGAAAGGCGAAAAAAAAAAACGCACTCTCTCTCGTTTTTCTTTTTTTTGCAATTTGCCAGAGAGAAAGAGAGAGAGGGAAGGGAGACGCAGACGGCTAGAGGGAAAAAGGTCCTCGCACTCCATCGGAACAACACACATAGACACAAGCTGGGGGTGAGCGGCAGCCGTCCGAAACGACGGAAAAAAACGAGAGAAAGTGGGCGTGGCCTCTGGTTCAAGTCGGTCTGGCGGCGGGGATGGCGATGAAAAAGAGGTGGAGCCTTGGTTTTATTCTCTGCTTTTTTCTGATGATTATCAATAATTTTCGTAGGAAAATAGGGAAATTCATACGAAGATGTCTGGTCTGTCTGCGCTCTCTTTTCTCTCGTTGGCGAGGTCATAGAAAAATGCGGATAGAACGTAAAAAGGAAGATGAAGGCGGCACAAAAAAGTCAGATTGGTTCAAAACACCGCGACTAAAAAAATAATTTTTTTAAAAAGAAATGAATTTTAAAAAAATCGGGCTTGACTTGAGGAAAAAAAGACTAGAGAAAAAGCTAAATTTGAGAAAAAAAGAAAAGAAATAAAGCCTGACATTTTAGGTGAAGATCTCTCACAAAAAACCTTCAAGAGTAGGAAAAAGTCTTTAAATAATGATAATAATGAAGAAAGACCGATTCTACACATTATTCTCCAATAAAAGGTGAAAGAAATGCGCGATCGAGAGGTCAATTACCCAAATCAAAAAGCTATCGAGATGACACTTATTATGTGCTTCAAGCAAAGGGCTGACCTTTAGGAACATTTTTTCGCAACAAAAACCTCAAATAAAATGAAATTATACTGCGATGAATATCAATCTGGCTAAGGAAAACTGAAAAAAAAAAACCAGCTCTCATCAATTTGAGACATCTGAATTAACTTTTTGATCTATTCTCTCTCTTCTTTGTAATGTGAAACTGCCGCCTAGTTCAAATATCAACACACCAACAACTGTAAATAGGGTCGAGTTGTTATTTTACGACACGGCGACATTTTTACAACTACCACGTTCGTGGCTTATAAATAATAACTGTGCTTTTAAAGCTGTTGTAAATGGATTATTGTCGTTTAAAGCTCAGATATTGCTCCAAGCGCAAGAATCGTGTATGAATCTTATCTTCTTTATAATCTGGTTTACAGTTAGAGATCCTAAAAAACTTAAAATGTTCCAAACAACTCGAAAATTCGCAGGAAAACTTACTTTGCGTAAATGACTGTTATGAGCAATTGAGGGGTCACTTAAGAGACATTAACATCGATCTCGTGCTTTCTTCGATAAAAGGGCTTTTTTCGAAACTATCATTGGTTTTTTTTGATCCGACTTCATTCAGTTGTCTTACCAGTTAGCTTACAGTTGATCACTAAAGTTATAGCAAATAACCTCTTTAGTTGTATTTCGGATTCTCCAAACACATTTTCAGCTTACGTCATAAATTCTCAACGATTCCGGGATCACTTAAGCGTTGAAGACTTGAAGCTTCAGCTCTCTTTTCTATTTCTTAGCAGTTAGGTTATCACTTGAGTGGCCTTGATAATCTTTAGAGTCTTTTTCGGTATTCTTCCAGCCATCAAGTGGCTACTAAAGAGTTCGTTCACATTTTTTCAATGTTCTATTTGATATTCTAGCTTTGATTATAATTTTTGAGTCGTACAACTATCACCAAGTTTGAGAAGCTCTACAGTGATCTGTGGCACAATCAGACTCCTTCTTGATCTGAAACCCTGCTGTAGTCCCTTAAGAGTTCTGAAGCTTTTTAAGCGCCCACTTCATGACTCCGGCTCCTTCCTAGAGCCCAGATCAACGTAAGCTCAAATGCAAGGTAAGAAATTCCCTCCCCTCCCCCCTTCCAGATCAGCGTAAGCGCAACTGTAAGACAAGAGACTTTTCAGGTGATCTCAAAGTAAGAGACTCCTTAGTGATCAGAAATTGCCTTTTCTAACTCCCAAGCATTCTGTCGAGGCCATTGCCATCCTCACTTTACTACTCTTCCAGATACGCATTCCGAAAAAGTTCCCAGGACTGTAGACTCTACTCGAACATAATCCATCATGCCACTCCACTCTCCGTAGGTATGCAAATGATCTCATATGCACTTGGCTGCGAAACAATTTCCTCCTTTCTTTCCTTTTCTCCGACCAACGGTACCATCGCCGTTCAACATCGGCAATTAACCTCGAAAAACTGTGCCGAAATCAAACGGCGGCCACCGAATTTATATGCGTGTCTCAACAAGATAACACCAAAATTGAGGATGATTTCGGCTGGCATGGGTGGTCTTTCCTTGGAAGGACAACCTTAAAAGGGAAGTTTTTCCAGCCGCTAGTTGAACTTTTGTTGAAACTTGACAGAAGTGTGATTAAGGTCTTTAAAAAACTCTCAAAATCGAACTTGTTTGCGAGTTGTAAAGCTTCAGAAGCTCTAAATAACCTTGGTCCATCATTTTTGTAGATAGAGAACTTTGTAGATAGATCTAGGGCTATATTCAACCTAGCGGTCAAAAAAACATTTGAATAAATGAATAAAACAATCAGAAACCACATCATACGCACTACGAAGCACAATTGATGACGTCAAACAAATATCCCGATTGTTGCACTTTCCGCTAAATCGTCTTAGGTGTGTACACAAACAATACGCGCACCTATAATTATAGTTTTTTCTTCGATTTTTGCCTTGATCTTGTTTTTTACTCGAAAAAATTAAAAATGAACGAAAAAGCCCAAAAAAGCCTTTACTTTTTTTCGAGAGATACGAGGCATTTTTTGACCACAATCTTCAAGCTCATCATTCCAAAAAACCAAGAAACCAAAACTTTCCAATGAAACTTTGAGGTCAGACACCTCAATCTCAAAATCCCGATAGTGTTGAAACTTTTTCCCTCCCCTCTGCGAAACGTGTGAGGTTTGCTTTGTCTCGTCATCGGCCGAAATTTCCACCAAGTCCAAGAAGATATCGACGGATCGGATCCGACCCTCGCGATAACGCAACAAGAGGAGGAGGAGGAGGAGGAGGAACGGTCTCTCTGACTAGCCATTGAGACTAGACAGAATTTGTGCCGATTGGCGGAGGGATGCCGTCTAAGCCGTCAAAGGGCGCGCGCCAGACACCCCCAGCGCGAATGGCGGTGGTTCTCAGGTAGACAGGCAGGAAATCGCCGCCAGAATTAAGCCGTCTGGAGAATCTGGGCTTGGAACAAGCTGGATAATTCAAGTTATGAAGTTGAAACGATCTAGAACTCAGGGATAAAGTCAAAGAAGGTGCTCAACTGGAAGAAGAACACTTGAGTAGCTACTTGATGAAAAAGTAAATAGAATGGAGTCGGAATAATCAAGTGAGGCCAAAGCGATAAAAGAATGACTATGAACTTCACTGTCTACTTATAAGGAAATTAATTGAACTAAGAAATTTCTCAAAAACGACCAGAAATGTTATCCACTCATGTCTCATTTGATCTTGATAGATACCTCCTGTTATCCACCCATGTCTCATTTGATAAATTATCGATAGAGCGCAGAAACTCCTCCTTTCCTCATAAAGGCCTTGTAAATCTATCAATACTGACCTCTGACCTTATCATGATTGATAGCCCCATATATATATACATTGGTATCTATTAATTTTTTGATAACGCGTCGATCGTTCGGAATAGATATTTGCCTTCTTTCGTATTGGATCGACGAATTGGCGCAGCTTCTGAACGATCAAAAGATCGATTTGAAGTGGCTGAGGCATGCGAGATCGAAAAGATCGAATTCGAGGCTTCGAAATTGATCAGAATTTTCATAAATTGTGTTCTTAGAATAAGATTTCTAAAAATCAAATTCTTAGAAAAAAAGGGAGGGTGCGCGTTTTTTAAGAAGAGGGTGCACTTTTGTTTGCGAAGAGCCAAGTGGTTGCAAATACGGCTACTCTTGATGTAGGGCGATTGGATGGGTCAAAAGCAAGAAGTACCGTCGTACCTATAGTATGAGCAATACTGAAGAATACAGGATAAGCAGATTTTTCTTTAAGATTTTAATTGCGAAAACAAATCAAGACAAATTGCAAAAAAGCATTTCGAAAGACGTAAAAATCTATCGTTTTTTTTGAAGTTTTTTTTCAAATCCAAAAAAATTTTAAAGTACAGGAAATTGCTTTCCGCAATTGCTAGACTTACATTAAAGCTATGAATAGAAAAGTAGTTACATGATTTTTTTTTTAGAACATGGAGTTCAAAAAATCACCTGCATAAGGTGAAAAATTGCTCTAACTACTGAAAATTTCATAGACTGAGTATTTATCAGAAAGTCAAGTCTTCTATGAGAAAATGAAAAGTTTCGAAAATCGCAAAACTTGATTGGAAATGGTCCCGATCCAACTTGTTTTAAAGAAGAAATTCGGATTTTTTCAATATTCCAAGATGAACTTATTCTAAAAATCTGCCACTTCATAAAAATTGTCAGAAGTCTTCAAATTTCTAAACAGAAAAACTCTATTTCATGAATTTTAAAACTATTTCAAAGTTTTCCAAACCAATCAAAACCCAATCGACGGGAGTTGCAGCGGCGGCTCATTCAAACGGGGACCAAAAAAGGGGAGATCGGAAGCGGATCCGCTCAAACAGAGATAGATAGTGGTCGAAATGCGAAAAGGCGGCGGCGAGCAGGCAGATTAATATTGACCGGTTGGTCGTCGACCTAATAACTGGCCTCAACTGGAGATTGGCTGGTCAGTGCACAAATTGAGCACCACGTAATGACTGGTATCTCTTTTTTCAGGTGCTATGAAATAGTCGATTGGACTCGAAACGAGCAACACTTGAAATGGACTAGCGAATAATGGGATTTTGAAATCCTCTTTTCCCTCAGAAAAAAAATGTATATTGTAGCCGATTTGAGATGACTCGAAACGAAGGTTTGAACCGCATTTGGAATGGCTAGAAGGTTAATAATCCATTCCATACACTCTCAAGAAGATTTTGAGAAGCTCATATTTTGGAAGTTAGTACGCGATGAACTCAATCGACGTCACCACAAATCTGAGCCGCACTTGAAATGGCTTTATGATCAATATTTAGGTTCATTACCCCTTTTTATTCTTACAAAGCTCGATGAGCTAACTTTTTTGAACTTGATCCGGAAGTATTTGATAGGCCGCGAATTTGAGCCGCGGAATGACTTGAAGGCTGAATTTAAACATTTTAAAAGCCTCATTTTACTTGAAAACCTGTTCAAAAGCTTTCTGTATTGAAACTGACCCGATCCCTTTAATCTAGGTGACCACAAGTTTGAGCCGCACTTGGAATGGATTGACAATAAAAAGTTATATTCTGAACGCCTTTTTTTCTCATAAAAAGCAGGAAACTCATTTTCAAAGTCGGTTTGTGTTGTCTTGAAAAACGTTGGCCGCAGTTTTTGACCGCGCTTGGAATGGCTCGGAAGTCGAAACTAGATTTCTAAATGCCAATCCTCAAGAAGGCCAGAACTGCTGGAATAGTAGTTTCAAGGAATAAAAAATTGACAAAATCACAAGGTTCAAGTGAATTGCACTTTTGGCTGGACACAACACAAACGGCTGTGTTTGTTCGTTTTTTTCCTCCTTCAAGTGGTTCGATGCCACAAACCGTGGCCTCAAATCGCAACACCCGGCGTTTTGTCAACAAATTTTCACAAAAAAAAAGCCTGGCAGATGTTTGACATAGCTACTAGGTATTCCAATAAGTACGACTAGCCGTTAGATGGGTTTGAAACTGTTTATCCAGTCCTCTTCCTACTTTCAGTGGAAAAAAAAAACTATTTGTGAACATTTTTGAATTTTTAGTAAGACCTCTTTCGCCAACCCTCTCCCCCCTCTCCCCCCTCCCCCTCAAACTATCAAGATTTTTTTGGCTAAAGTTTGTTCAGCTACTACACTAGTTTAAAAAAACGATGTTAAACCTACACTCCCTTGAAGAGGCATTCGCAACACTTCAAAAAAATGGCCTTTTTCAGCCCTACAGTAATCTCCAGCTTCCTACAGTAACGATTCTCCAAAAATTGTTTTCTAACGCAATGGTAATCTTACGAAAAACAAAAAAACACTCATTCACTTTCCCTCTCCGCTACAGTAGCCCTTCAGGCAGATCAAACTTCTTATTTTCACGCCTTTTTTTCCGTTTTTCCGGTCCAAATGTGTGAAAAAAAGAACGAAAACACATTGGCGGGCTTCCACCGGGGCCAAACTGACCATCGACCAAAATTTGCTCTTTTCCCGTTCTTTTCCTCCCACCTGTTCAATCTTCGGGAAAACCGTAGGCCTTGGGGAGTCACGAGAAAAATAGAAAGGGAGATGAAGAAAAAATCAAAAGCCAAGAAGAAAAAGAAGGAGAATGAGGGGACAGTTTTACCTTCATATACTAGAGATCACTTAGACTTGAATATTAGAAAAATAAAAGCTACAAGGGTCAAGGATATATCGAAACAAAAAAACAAAAAAATAATTGATGTCTACAAAACTCAACGGAAGATCTCTCTGCCGAGAAGCTATCGTTACAGCCGTCCAAAAAAAATTTTCTGGAGGCGAAAAACTCAGAAATTTTTTTGGCACAAAAAGTCCCATCAAAAAAAAAGACACTCAAGTCAAAAAAATTTCAGAAAAGGAAAGAAGGCCAGAAAGTTTAAATTTTTCATTTTTTTCCTCATTTTTTTCTCTACTATGAAGCGAAAATGAGGAACAATTGAACTAAAAATCTGCGGAAAAACTGAAAAAAAAGCCTCATCATTTTCGTTCCCAATTCCGATATAATACAGCGATTGGAAAAGTATAAAAAAAGGGAAATGGAAAAAAAAAACTCGTGGAAAAGAAGATTAAAAGTGTTCGTGCACAGCTGGTTGGCGAAGAATGGAGCGTTTTTGAATTTGGAACAAAAAAACCGCCAAACACAGGCGCCATTTTTGCAGTTAATATTCAATAATGTACGAATCCGCATTCGAAATCTGAATATTGCACTTCATAAAAGGGCAAAGGAACTGGGAAAAAGTGCAGCGGAAATTCGAAAATGAACAAAAATCGAACGTTTCGGGGGAAAAAGAAGAAAAGTTAGAAAAGGTTTTTTTTTCATTAGAGATTTTACCAATCCCAATAAAAATATTATCAATGTCTAACTAGACACTATGTAGAGAAGAAATGATACAGTAAAGTGGCAAATGTTTGAGAGAAACCGAAGAAAAACAGAAAAATTTGGATCAAGGTCAAAAAAGGGAAAAACCCATAACAAAACCGTTGAGATGATGTTTTTTCAATATGAAAAAGATTATGAAAATTGGAATTTGGTTTGAATTTATGGATTTCCAAACGAAAAAAAATGCTGAAAAAGCTCTTCAAAAGGACATTTCAATGTTTTAAAACATTCCAGAGGCTCTTTTATAACAGTTTTTGAACTAGATAATTTCTTATATGCGTTACTCTCTATTAAAAAATCCTCACACGGTAGCAGATTATGATCTGAAAAGAATTCGTAAACATACAAAGTGCAGAAATTTTAATCTGTTCAAAAAAAAAGAAAAATACGGGAGAAGGTCATTTAAAGGCTTCCGAAATACGACTTGAAAACGGATAAAGTTGTGGCTTCCAGAGCTTTAAACTCTCGATTTCAGTTCCGTTTTTGAATTCATTTTTTTTTATCGAAAAAAAATTATCCAATCACAAAATCTAGTCATTTGAATTAAAGCTGAAAAAAGCTGAAAAGAGCACTCAAAATTTTGAATATATGTCCTTTCAAAATCCGACAGTCATCCTACAGCCTCTGTACCTATCAAAATTCTCAAGTTCCGAAGTTTTGAGAAGATCAAAAATTAACTCTATATCAAAACTATAGTCCATCCGTCCTGGCTTGAAAGGAGAGAGAGGGGGAGCAGAAGGCGGGACGCGTAGCGTGTGCGTACGCGGCTCTTGGCACAAGTCCAATTCAAGCGCCACCGACTTTTTGAAACGCTCCTTCACCGCTCTTTTTGTATCTATTCCAGTAATTTTCAATGCACGAATGATAAAAGTCAAAGAACAATTTAAAGAAAAAAAGAAAATGAAAAGAGCGATAAACGAGCTCTCCAAGGCGTCGCCGGCGGTGAAATTGAACACGTACCAAGAACCGCGGACGCACACGCTACGCGTCTCGCTCCCTGCCCCGCCTCGCTCGCCTTTAAAGTCGGGAAAAATTGACTATATTCACCAAATAAATCACTCAATCAGGTAAAGATCGAGTTTTAGAAAGAGCGAAAGCAGTAGAACAATCTAGTATAACCTTGCTTGCGATATTACCATCAACTGCCACTGGAAAAAGTACTGGCTCGTTGACCTGTTTAGAAAAAGACCTATCAAGAAGCGGAAGTCGCTTAAGGTCAGGTCACGTTATCAGCTACGAATTGAGCGAGGAAGCAACAGAACAATCCAGTAGAATATCGACTTCTCTATTCACTCTAAGATCCGTAGCAGCAGATTCAAAAAGATGCTAGCTCAATGACCTAATGGTTCATCAGAAGGCGCGAGTCACTTTAGGTCGGGCGCGTTGATGAGCTACAAATTGACCTTGTAGAGGAGAGCAGAAGCAGCAGAACAAATTTTCGAATATATTCTTGTGGCCAAAGATGAGTGGGGGGCCACCGCGAACAGCGCCAATATTTGTTATGCGTTAGTTCGAGCCTCCTCCTCCTCATTCCGTGCTCATCCGCCACGAGAACACCCCTAATCGTCGCTCATCAACTGTTGCCAGGCTCATA